GTCTTTCGGCAGTTACTGCTGCACTGGCCGAAACGATAAACTTGAAATTATTGCAGTACTTTGAAAGTACAGCAATACTTCTAAAGTAAACTTTCAAAGTATTATACTGCTGTGCCAAGTGACCTTCCCGAACAACGCCGAACAAGCCGAAACAGAAGATCAAGCGCTGAGGCGTTTTAAGTACTGCAATGCTATAAAATAATACTTTAAAGTATTGCTGTAATTTAAAGTACTGCAATACTTTGAACGAATACTTTAAACTGACGATTAAGTGCTGGGGCATTTGAAAGTATGGCAGTACTTCGAAAGTAAAGCAATACTTTGAAAGTAATATTACTTTCAGTACCAGAAGGTGACCTTCCCGAACATCCCCGAACAGGCCGAAACTGACGATTAAGTGCTGGGGCATTTGAAAGTATGGCAGTACTTCGAAAGTAGAGCAATACTTTTAAAGTACTGCATTACTTTCAGTACCAAGGTGACCTTCCCGAACATCCCCGAACAGGCCGAAACTGACGATTAAGTGCTGGGGCATTTGAAATTACGGCAGTACTTCGAAAGTAAAGCAATACTTTTAAAGTACTGCATTACTTTCAGTACCAAGGTGACCTTCCCGAACATCCCCGAACAGGCCGAAACTGACGATTAAGTGCTGGGGCATTTGAAAGTACGGCAGTACTTCGAAATAAAGCAATACTTTTAAAAGTACTGCATTACTTTCAGTACCAATGTGACCTTCCCGAACATCCCCGAACACGCCGAAACTGACGATTAATTGGTGAGGCATTCGAAAGTACGGCAGTACTTCGAAAGTAGAGCAATACTTTTAAAGTACTGCATTACTTTCAGTACCAAGGTGACCTTCCCGAACATCCCCGAACAGGCCGAAACTGACGATTAAGTGCTAGGGCATTTGAAAGCATGGCAGTACTTCGAAAGTAATGCAATACTTTGAAATTACTGCATTACTTTCAGTACCAAGGTGACTTTCCCGAACATTCCCGAACACGCCGAAACTGACGATTAATTGCTGAGGCATTTGAAAGTATGGCAGTACTTCGAAAGTAATGCAATACTTTGAAAGTATTGTATTACTTTCAGTAACAAGGTCACCTTCCCGAACATCCCCGAACAGGCCGAAACTGACGATTAAGTGCTGGGGCATTTGAAAGTATAGCAGTACATTTTTTCATTCACATTTTGACCTGCAAAGTATTGCATTAATTTGTAGATAAAGCAGTACTTTAAAAAGCAGTACTTTGTACTTTAAAGCAGTACTTTATCTTTTGCAGTTTAAATGTATGGTATACGTATACATAACCCGAAAGAGTATGTTTTACGTTGTCAAATAGCTTCGATTATATTGTCTTTAGTCATATGATGAGAATGGATCAGACTTTGAAATGCTTGATGCATGCCATCATACCGTCAAGTAATTCATCTCATGGCCGCTTACCAATGAATTCAGCAAATGCACCACCACCAGAACGATTTGCAGGGCCACACCCAACCCACGCTTTCACCCCGCTGATTAATTACTTGCCGGTATCGAATGGGCAATCCATACAAATCGCTCCAAGTAGTGAGCGCAAAGACCACTACGGACCCGTCGAACCAATTCGTGTCCAGAATATTTCTCCAGTCGCAGTCGCCGATCCCAAAGAGCCTATGGGTATACCGGCACCGGACTTTCAGCTTCCAGTTCCTTCCACACTATGAGATCGCTCCCGCTTCATATTGACAACATAGTTCCCGAGTCGACACCATCCAGTGGCCGATCAAACCACACCACAGTGCTGGTTGCCAATGCAGCAGCAGCCCTTCCTGGTGAAATAGTATGGGTGCCGCAACATAGTGTCCGTACAAGCAGCAATCCTGCTGTTAATCTGGGTGCCCAAACCTAACCCTCCCAGAACCCCAACCCCCTGACGCGGCACCGGCTAGGTAATCGGTGTTAGTGGACTGATCTTAGCATAACAAAGGACTAATTAGTGGAGATTTCTCATTTTTACATTTTTTTAAAAATGCATTGCATTATGGTAAACATGCGACGACGACAGCTTTTCAATTCTTGTCTGCTTTGCAGATCTGCACCGTACTGATACAAAAACGGTTGCGTCATGGTAAAGTACGGTGCATTATAATGCACAGTGTCACTAGAGATACTGAAGATTGCAGTACTAATGAAAACATAGTTTGCACTGTGGTGCAAGAATTATTAACCGTATTGCATTTAAATAACAAATCTACACAATACAGGTGGTGGGCGTGTGATACAGTAGCAACAGTTGGAAAATAATACAGGCACGTTTTCATCGTGGTGCATTATAGTGCAGCGACGACGACAACTCATTATATCTATATAAGCCGCAGATTGATACTGTACCGGTACACACACGATTGTATCGTGGTGTCTTACTGTGTATTATTGACAGCAAGTACAGTATCTAGTATGCAATGTAATATCCAGCCAGCTGGATAGTATAGTATCTAGCATGCAATACTAGATACAGCTTCACATTGCAATCCCAGCTGGTGCAAGCAACTGACTTGTCGTCGTCGCTATTAGTATTGTCATCTGCACTGTACTGGTACGGTTCTTTACCTTTACCCTTGTCTTTTTCAAATCATTTTCTTTACTAGGCATTTCCAGCTACGCTTACGAAGCATCGCGAGCGGTACTGTAAATTCGCTTGAATTTTCGAATGTAAAGGTTACAGTTTTTTCTTCAGGTTAAAGTTGAAATGCAGAACTAAACGACAGGCTAGCCGGCTGATTAATTCAATCAAAGTGTATGATTCAATCATTAGCTGGGCTACGCCTACATAATCCTGATCTCGATTATTGTACGCGCAGTACAGCATTCTGCAGTCAGTACGGGTACGACCTCCGGTCGGAATTCTGTAAGAGACTTTCACAATCGTTTTTCCAAATTTCAGTCTTTCCTCACCCAGAAACTCTGCAACTAGTAAAACGTTTCGAGCAAGTTTACAGTACTACGGATTTACGGAATATTTACATTGGCCCTGTTTACATTGGAAAGTCGCGGTTTTTTTAATTTTATCACGTAATATCCGGTAATGGTACAGTAAGGCCTTGGCTCAAATTCGAACCGTATCTCGCTACGTTACGGCAGCTCCACCACACGATGTAGCTGTTTGCAGTGGCCACGCCTATAGATTCCGTTCTCCAAGCCACCTCGTGCGGTGGAGCCACCGTACCGTAGCGAGATACGGTTCAAATTTGAGCCAAGGCCTAAGACAAAGTACAGTACATGCCATCTGATAGTAGGGAGTGGCCACATCGGAAGCATCTGTACAATGTCAGTAAGATTCCTAAAGATCCTGTTCATTTAATAAGACTCTGAATAGCTGACAACATGTCAGTCACGCGAACCTCACCTCTTTAAGGTCGCACGTCACTATAATATCTAGCAGGACCGACTCTATACAGGCTTAAGAGCTGAAAAGGTCACGTGGCGGTAGTCGGTAGATAAGACACCGCTATGCAGCACTATGTAAAGCCAGTAACGGTACCAAAAAATATTTCTGTTGGTCCCGATCAGAAACGGTTGCGCAACAGCTCAAAAGAAAAAAGAAAAAAATTATATGCTTTAAGTTCACAAGTTTTGTGGCAGAATTAGCAGAATGAACGTTAAAAAGTGGTTTGAATTTGACATACGTATAGTATACAAGTCGCTGGCACTCGCTGGCTACCGTTGCAACGGTCGCTCCGTAAGCTCTGTTGTGCAAGCAAGGTGGATAAGGGATAAACCCTGGTGATGTTAGTCAACGCGTGGCAAAATTCAGTACTTTTTTTGCAATGATGTGGTTATCAACCACCACTAGTTATACCGGTTAACCTCCTACAGCATGCCATAAACGATGGCATTTGACCTCTGTGTTCGACGGAATACATGCGCAGACGCGATGGAAGTGTACGAGGACCGCGCTCAACACCGGCTGGTCGACGGTTACAGTATCCATGTCCATGTCCCAAGAGATTCAGGAACATTTACTGGTTGTAAGCGGTAGCAAAAGATCCTTTTCGTTGGTCTACAGCGTCTGCACTCTGCAACTTTGCGCCGCGAATAGAACGCCCCGTTTTAATGTGCTCCTACCGTATTTCGAAAATTTAAGCCGGCAAAAGCGAAGGCGAATGCGGTGAAATCGTGGACGTGAAGGCTGTTTTGTGATACTGAGACGAGTACTCCTACTGTACATGTATTAGGTTGCGTGCTAACGTTGCTCGCGATTTAAGTACATCTTTTCTGCTGTTAGTATAAGTACCAAAATTATCTGTATCATCGCAGAATCGTATGCTAATGCAAAAATCCACTGGTACAAACGGGTGTGACTGCTTATTCACACAGAACTGTAATTAATATTTATGACTTGTGTTATAAAAAAAAACTGCAATGACAAGCGGAATCTTGGCAGTTTTAAACGACTGGAACGGATGCTAACTCGCATCTGTAGAACAAAATGCGAAATTGTACCGGTAGAAGTTAGGTTATAACTAAAATAATGTACGGCGCACACAAGATAATAACAATTATTAATATTGTACAATGGACAACAGTATTACGAAAAAAGGAGCATTCGGTTTTCATGTATCCAAAGCCACAGCGTTGTTATGTCGTGCATTTTGCCCGTTTTCCGATCTCCGGTCCCATTTCGCCACAACCGCGGAGGCAATGATCAGCAGGATCGGATCCAGAATAATCTGGCAGGAGAACATATTACCGACAACCATAAAAATGTGAGTATCAGAAACGGTCGTAGCGTAGTTCGAAATCGTTGTTACGGTTATCGGCGTCCAGCACACCACAATGGAGCCCATCATTAGATAAAAAGTTACCATGTTGTTGGGCGTGCGCCGCCGAGAAGGTTTGTGGGGCGCTGAATTGGTCGGTGCTCCCGGTAAAACCGCGTTTGGGTTTTGTGCTATTCTGAGCCGCTTACTAATCCTTCGTCGACGTTGCCAAACGATGACCGGAAACAATCCAATGGTCAGCAGTTCCGGCAACAACAGCGCGTGAAATGCACGACCATCCAGTGTCCTGGGTTGTGCTGGTTGATTGGCCGAGCACGCTGGGATTACCGTTGTAGCGAGACGGTAGTACAAGGAATCGATGATCAACGCCGGGAGACTAATAATTTGACTGTAGAAAAACATGATAACGCATGCGCTACATGCCAGTTTCACCTTATGACGCAGACGGTAGGAATTGGGAAAGGTCACCGCCCAAAATCGGTTCAGCGTCATCAGCAGGTTGGCATGCATCGTGGAGGTTAGTGTGATGGAAGTGGCGAAAATAAAAAGGTCACAAAGTTCCGGATTGTGGAAATTGGTTGCGTTCCAATGCAACAATATTGCGGCTGGTTTATTCATGGTGGCATGGAGTAAGTTGCAAATGAGAAGATTAATGATGTAAATGCGGAAAGCAGTAAAGTTTTGCCGGTCCAGGTAGATAATATAGATAGCCACACTGTTCAGGATGATCCCAGAGATCATACTGAAGACATTAAAGATTGTTAGAGCACTCCAACCAAAAATAGCGTACGGGATTATCATATGTGTAGAGGAATTGTTCGCCATGTTTCGTCGCTATAAACTGGAAAATTAAAAGCGGTCAATTTGCCGATCGGTTACATTTGTAGGCAAACAAGGATCAAAAAGACAAACTAACTATGGATTACCACCAGAGCTATAATGGATAGCCGTAGTATTTTTCAGTAAAATGTTAGGAAAAAGAAAGTGCTTATTCTGACTGTTCTGTTCAGGTGTTTTCGCTTTCTGACGGCTATGCGATTTGTCTAAGTACCATTAAATTTTGATATCCTCAAAACCGTAGTTTCTGAAATCCCGCAAATTAATGGTCGGAAATACTGCAATGTTGCAGGTTGTTCGGCAGCCTACACAGTCTTACAAATATTTGTACTCCTCCTAGCTATAGTATTTCCACCATCAAACAGCATCTTCCTTACGCGCAAGGTCAAAGCATTGAAGAGATCAATATCAAGGAGATCCGGATACACGGCTTGGCAAACGGTGGTCTCTAAAGAAAATTGCTGCTCATCTAAAGAAAATTGCTGCTCATCTTAAGAAAATTTCTCATCTAAAGAAAATTGCTGCTCATCTAAAGAAAATTGCTGCTCATCTTCGCAAAAACACCCACGCATTTCAGTACAAACGACAGAAATAGCAAACCTGCGGAAGCATTTATATGCTGGAGCTTGACCAAAACTAATTAAGTAACACAATGATATATTCACAATCTCGGACACGTTAGTACAAAGCTTAAGCTCGAACTATCGTTTCTGGGTGTGGTATTCCGGTGGCCCCATTTGCTCTTAATTAAAACTGCCACAAATCTACCGAAAACAAGCAATTATTTCCGGTAGCAGCAGCAATGTAATGATGCGCCTTCTGAGGCGATGGGCTGTGCTGGCTGTTTGGGGGTGCGTGTCGGGTCAAAGATACTATAGACTCATTAATAAAGCCGGCTGTACTGTAACTAGAGAAATTGCTCATGTCACGTTTGTCCCGTTTTTCTGCATGCCGCGGTTTCGACGCAAAACCAAGGCATCGAAATACCATGAAGTGTGCGGTAAAGGTCATGATAATGAACTGGTGAAGGCGACAAAGCATGCTGTATTAACAGACCACATGACGCCGAATTGAAAGAATTGTTTGAGCTTATTTGCTAAAACACTCGCGGACAAGTTCTACATCATCGTACGAAACAGGAACTATCAGTACTACCTAGTAAGTAGTACCTACAAAAACTTTTTTTGGCAGTGGAAGGAGCATTGGTAAGCCATTAAATAGTATATACTTGTGCCTGTAGTAATTGATGGCCCCTTAAATAACACATATTTATTATCGACCGGAGCGTAGCGAAGGTCCTCTTAATTCAGCACCAATGCAAAAATGTATCTAGGTCCGTTACGAAAGGTTGTTGCGAAAGGTCATTACGAAAATGTTGCTGGCTGGAAGTTGAAATTTTTGATTATGTTAATTGTAAGTTAAATTGATTATCATTTGCACAAGCGAAAGCTGCATTCTGCGCTCCGGTCTGCCAATGCACGCCAACGTGCATTTTTCCTAGTTTATGTAACACGGCTAATGCCCATTTGTTGGTTGTTGCGCCCTTTATGTCCTGCGCTCTTATACGCGTCCATAAGACATCAAATTCCCCGGAACGCTGTTGAATTAAGAAGGTTACAACATCAAAGTGTTTCTTTGTGGTAATTATGTATGTCATAAGTAGAAGCAGATAAGTACTCTGTATATATGGAGAACCATTGAGATTTACTGGCATTATTTACGAAGATCAAGCAGACAAGCTTTGCCCAGAACTACACAGATATGTTGGATAATTCAGAAGAACGGAAACTGCAGATCCTGGGAGCGTTCCGTAACTAATCAAGCGATTTCCGGAACCCCGACACTTAGGGCACTTTAATTCATTTGTCAATTATCTATAAAGAACTGGCGTGGTATTGGTAATCTTACAGGTGTTGTCCTATTGCGAAGATGTAATTTGCCGGAACTGCATAGCTTGTCTTGCATGGCATTGAGCATGGAAGCATTCCGTTGGGTCTTGCAAGAATTGTTTTTCAGGTTTTTAGTTCTGCAGTTCCGGATGTGCACAAAATGTCTTACGCATTTTCTGCACAAGCCGTCTGTTATGCTCCGTGTCATATTCCAAGAGATACTGCAAACTCATCCCAGTTTTCGAATCCTTAATATACACTGTTACGCTGTAATCTAGAGAGTCTTGGTGTAAAAATCTAGAATACAATTGCAGTGTCATATGATCATTCGATAATTTTACGGTAAAATTTAGAATAGTCTCGTCTTGGCTTTTTTTATAACAAGTACGATAGCTTTAACAGGGGTCAGAGGGCTACACTTCGGTAGGCGTCTTACAGGTTGGTGTTGAATCTGTTGATCGTTTGCATCTATGGCTCATTTTGTACCACTCATTATATTCCACGTATTCCGATGTATTCCACATGCATTCCGTCTGTATTCACCGTCTCACTACCTGACAGTACCTGTCCCTCGATTGACCTTGCTAGCAAAGCGTAAGTAATCGTATTCGTTTCGCATTCTAAAACGAAGCAGATAGGGATGCATTCGACGGCAATCCAGAGAGGGAATTTAGAATTAAAGCAGCGAGTGCCACATCGCAGGCCATCCGTTGTTTAGTCATTATAAGAAGAACCGTGAACTCGGGAATTTGAATCTTTTTCCAATACTCACAGATATATGTTTTATTGCAATATTAAAAGCAGTTTGTACTACTGTCTAAGCCAGTTAGTTTACATGATTTTCCATCGCCCCCCCCCCATAAGGAAGCTAAAATAAGTTAGAATCCTGCGTCATTGGCAAGCAGCATCCACGTATCCCAACCCGACACTCAGAAAATAAAGGTGCAGACAGATCGGAGTCGCAGCCGAAGTGCGTGCGGCCGTGTCACAATCAAAAATTAATAATCTCAGTTCTACCTCGTACTAAAACGAATATTCCTCTATATATGTATTAACATCCAGAACGTAATGCGGCGAAATTGCCAGACATGCACAGTGCTGGGTCGGCCCGGGCCGTTCGTCAAATTCCAGTTTTTTAATTAATTGTTTTATATTTTTCCGGTGCCAGTTATATATACGTGTATAAGGTCAGTTTAATCCGTCGCTGTTTATTTTGCGTCGCTTTTATTTCTCGTTTCCTAAGTGTTAAATAGTACAATTCAGAAAACTACTATAACGGCCCCGCTCGGCAAATGTTTGCAATTTGCATGACTAATGCAAACATTTGCCGAGAAATTTGCCAGCGTCCACTACGTATACGATTTAGAGATCAGGCTTTGCCAAAGTTTATAACTGCGGTATGGCAACAAAAACGAAACATCGGTATAACGACTAAAGTATCGCAAACAATGAGTACGAGTCTATTCTTAATGAAGCATTCCGCTATCTCGTGCCAGATGCTGGGATTTCAGATTTCAAGCGTCTTATGCATCTCGACATGAAACTGTTGCGTGTTGCGCACGAGTATTCAATGTTTCTTGGCAATATGCCCACTTTCGGAAATAATTTCGAGTTTCGTGTTTTCCGTTTCTTTGTTTTTTTGATTTATATTTATCTACAAAAAACAGAACCTTATGCAGCATGAACTGCTTGACGTTGTAGCCATTTGATGACACAGCACTTGAATTCCCATTACCGAAACAGACAAATTGACTTGAATTCCCAGCACTTGAATTCCCATTACCGATTCCCATTACCGATTTTACTGCGGTTAAGCCAAGCGTGGATAAAACGTGATTTCCGACTTTTAAAAAAATACCGTAATTGGCCTAGCGGCATGTTCAGTAACTCTTCAGTGGAACAGTCCCTCATCGCGTTTGGGTGGAGGCCGTGGAGCTACATTACGCTTCTCAGTCTAATTTATGATCTATGCGGCATTCGTCACGATATGTTGGCTCTGTACGCATTACACCTGGACCGCTAAACTTCTCGCCTTTTCGCATTTACATCGTGAACGTTAACCTGGTCAGTCTGTATGACGCTGTTTTCGGGAAAATCTCCAGCATTTTACTGTACAGATCTGTACAGCAAAATGCTGGAGATTTTCTAGAAGTGAAGAAGCATTTCTGAACAATAAGTATGGTACTTATGCAATTGGTATAGGTGTCAACGGCCGTGTTTTGCAGTACAACGCGTCTATGCTAACTTTCTAATGATTCTTAACCGGTTTTGGGCACATTCTTATCGTTTACAGCAAAGCGTTCGTGGGGCGTGCGCCACTTTTACTACAGTTCGGTGACCTTTCCGCCATTTCTACTGGACGCACTACATTATCACTGATCAACCCGCATCTCGGGAACCTACTTACGAAACTTTTTCGCACAGTTCCAATTCGTTCGTGCTGTAATCTGTTTAAAAACAGCATTTCCTGTTGCTGTCATTCTGATTTTTTACCCGATCACTATTTTTGTGGAACGCAAAACAGCAAAACCTACATGGTGGCTGTGAAGATGGACAGAGAACTCATCGGCCAGGAAGTTCTCACCAGGAAAACCAGATCCCGAAATATCAACATGGTCATGATTTATTTGCTAGTCATTTCGATAGTACGACGAAATTTCCTGAGTGTAACCCAGCTGGCACTCAAACCCGATCGAAGCCTCCATCTGTGCCATCTCCGCCTGCCCATGCTTCGTATGCGCGTGTTGTTGCTGGTAAGCGGCTACCAAAATCAATTCGTGGAAGTCAGACCTACAACGATGTAGAACCTCGGAACGATTTGAGTAAAACCTTGCAATGTAAGCGAAAACCTCACGCCGATTTTTGTGTCAGAGGCATTCCTCGCCTCGAAAATTCAAACTTCGCCACTGCGAAGGAATACAACGACTTCATCGCCAGTCAGCTGAATAGTGAAGGGATTTCTACCAGATTTGTGAGTGTGTTTCTTCCTTCTCGCGGAGACAAGCGTACTACAAAGTTTGCTACGATTGGAATATTTAAAGATGATGCGGAAAAAATCTTACGACCTGAAATTTGGCCCTCCAATGTTTTCGTTAGAGAATGGGTCTATTGACTCATTTAATGACTAAGTGCTATCTCTTTTGTTTTCATATTGTGATATCTCAACGAATTGTTAAAAGTGGCTGCCATTATCATGGCAGCTGATCTTCTACGTTTGTCTACAACCTCGTGCAGGTTCCTCCTGATTGTTGTAGACGTTAAGCTGATTAAACAAACAAACAAACAAATAAACAAACAAAACAAGTAGCCTGTTGGAACCCGTTTGTTTCCATCTTCGTGATGCATATGACTGCATAGAATACCGTACTGTAACGCTACTGTTTTCCTGACACCGGCCACTTCTATGGATTGTTTTGCCGAACGGAACTGGAGCTCAAGCGGTGAAGCGAGAGCTTTCCTCGCCACCATCCCAGCTTTGGACAATTCCAAACATTCTTTATACTTCAGCGGTTACTATATCGACTGGTCTCAAAGGATGTTGTGACATTCTCGTAGGCATTGAAGTTAAGTTGTTTCCTTCTGAAATAACTGCTTTTCTTTTAGTCAGATCTGTTTTCAATACCTTGTTCAATAACGCATTGATCAGTGAGCAATTGGGAATCTCTGTCATGCCAAAGTATCTGGATCATCGTACAATCGCATGATAATGCAAAACGCGTTGCACTGATTCAGATGGCTGTACTGCACAAGTACCAGCTTATTTGTACGCAACAGTAACTGTATTACGACTTTTGTTATAAAACAATTGAAGGAATGAAAAGGGGAATAATTTTTACGGCTGGGACGGTTGTTATCTCGCATTTGTAGAACAAAGTGAGAAGTTTTACCGGTAAAGAGTTAGGTAAAGAGTAAAATACATACGTGTACAAAATAATAATTATTATTTTTGCACAAGTAATAGCGGTATTACGAAGACAACCTCCAATTTTCATGTGTACAGGGTCGCAGCATTGTTAGGTCCATCTTGCACGTTTTCCTCCCGTTGGTTCCATTTCGACACAACAGCGGAGGCAATGATCAGCAGAATCGGATCAAGAATAATCTGGCAGGAGAACAGCTGACCAGCGATCTGAAAAAGGCGATTATCCGAAACGGTCTTAGCGTAGTTTGAAATCGTTAATCCGGTCATCGGCGTCCAGCACACCAGGATGGAGCCCATCATTAGATAGAAGGTGACCATATTGTTGGGCGAGCGCCGCCGAGAAGGTTTGTGGGGCGCCGAGTGGGTCGCCACTCTCGGCAAGACCACGTTCGGACCTTGTGCTGCTCCTGGTCGCCGACCAATCCTTCGCCGTCGCTGCCAAACGATTACCGGAAACAATCCAATGGTCAGCAGTTCCGGTAGCAGCATCGCGTGGATAATACGGGCGTCCAACGTTCTGGGTTGTGCTGGCTGATTGGGTGTACACACTGGGATTACCATAGTAGGGAGACGGTAGTACAAGGAGTCAATGATCAGCGCCGGGAGACTGATAATCTGACTGTACAGAAACAGGATAACACACGCGACACACGCTAATTTTACTTTATGTTTCAAGCGATAGGAATTGGGAAAGGTAACCTCCCAAAAACGATTTAGCGTCATCAGGAGAGTGGCGTGCATCGTGGATGTCAGCATGATGGAGGTGGCAAAAGTAAAGAGGTCACACAACGCCGGATTGTGAAAATTAGTAACGTTCCACGACAACAGTAACGCGGCTAATTTATTTACGGTAGCATGGAATAAGTTGCAAAGGAAGAGGTTAACTATATAAATGCGGAAAGCGGTAAAGTGTTGTCGATCCAGGTAAATGATATACAGAGCCGCGCTGTTCAGGAAGATCCCGGAAATCGCACTGAATACATTAAATATCGCTATGGCTGTCCAGCCGAAAGCGGCGTATGGGATTATCATATGCGTAGAGGAGTTGTTTGCCATCTTTTCGCCGCTACAACTATGAAATTTAAGGCAGTTTGGCGGCTGATCCGCGAAATTGGATGAGGACAAGGATTGAAAAGACGAACTAACCTTTGTTTACGACCAGAGTTGTAAGGGATATGCGTAGTACTTTCGACGTGCGGATGTAAAGATAAAATACTAGGGAAAAGGAAGTGCGTACTATAATTGTTCTGTGCAACTCTTTTCACAGTCAGATAGCTCGTGCGATTTGTCAAGTTACCCATATAAGCCTATATTTAAGTTTTGATATTTTCAAAACCGTAGTTCTCGGGATTCCGGAAATCATTGGTTCCGAAATACTGCGAAGTGACAAGTTGTTTCGGCAGCCCACAAAGTCTTACAAATGACTTGTACGCCTGCTGTTTCCACCATCAAGCGGCAACTTCCTTACGCAGCAAGGTCGTAGCGTGGAAGAGTTCAATATCAACAGGATGCGGATAAACTGCTTGGCAAACCATTGTCTTTCAAGCAGTACTTTCAAAAACTGCGAGCCGTCTTCACAAAAACATCCACAAAACACAAAATGACTTCAGCACAAAAGGACCGAAGCAGCAAACCGGCGAAATCACTCATTATGCAGGAGCTTGGTCAAAACAAATGAACACATTGATATATTCACAACCTCGGAAGAACACGTACAAAGCTAAGGCTGGAAACTGAAATGTCAATTATTAGACAATGTTGCACTAAACATGGGAGTTTCACAAATGGACCGGTGTGTCCGGTGACTGCCAAACATCCGGCGACATTGTGGTGGCTGAGTGTGGCGTTCCGATTACCGCGTCGGCTTACCATCAATGCTGCCGCCCATCTACCCCAGTTCAAAATCGCCCTCCCCGAAGCACCCGGGGGAGTTTATGACCCAAAGGTCACGGCGGGCCTCCTATGCGCCGGCCTTCATCTCCATTAACGTGCAGAGCGTGGAGGAGGATGAGGATAGTCAGGATAATGCGCTGAAGATCGATGAGAATATCAATCTGACATTGTCGCCGTCGTTGAACAGTATGTGTGATCCCAAATACTGGGACAATTATAGGACTGCTGTTTTTCTACATAATTATCATTCCTGTTTTTCTATTGATTATGATTGCTGTTTTTCACATAATTATCATTCCTGTTTTTCTATTGATTATTATTGCTGTTTTTCTGCATAATTATCATTCCTGTTTTTCTATTGATTATGATTGCTGTTTTTCTACATAATTATCATTCCTGTTTTTCTATTGATTATGATTGCTGTTTTTCTACCATACCGTCGCGCCTGATCCCTTTTTGAATCCTGTGGTTGTTGTATTGCTTTATGTTTCTTTTGATCAAAGGTTTCTAATATTGGACACCAGAATTTTTTGGTGTTGGACACCAAAATTTTTTGGTGTTTTCAATTGCAGATTTTTTGGTGTTGGACACCAGAATTTTTTGGTGTTGTGTTTCTTAATTTTTTGGTGTTGGACACCAGAATTTTTTGGTGTCGGACACCAGAATTTTTTGGTGTTGGACACCAAAATTTTTTGGTGTTGGACACCAGAATTTTTTGGTGTCGGACACCAGAATTTTTTGGTGTTGGACACCAGAATTTTTTGGTGTTGTGTTTCTTAATTTTTTGGTGTTGGACACCAGAATTTTTTGGTGTTGTGTTTCTTAATTTTTTGGTGTTGGACACCAGAATTTTTTGGTGTCGGACACCAGAATTTTTTGGTGTTGGACACCAAAATTATGGCGTAAAAATTATGGCGAAATTACTCGTAATTAAACATACCTTGGTGAAAACTGAGTCGATCCCCGCTCTCTGGTGCAGCTGCCACTCATCGTAGAAGATTTGCATGAGTGAGCGCCCGGGGTCCGCAGAATCTAGTTTCCGGTGAATAACACGACATTCCCGAACTCCCGAATGGTACGCTAATCCGTCTGGTTCTCCTGAATCCATAATCGTTATCAATCAAGAACGCAGATAAACCGTCACGGCACGTAACGAACTAACGGCGAAACCAACTGCAAGTACAACTTTCATTAATCATCACGCCGTTGCAGAGAGTAATGGTGATTTCCAATAATTTAAACGAAAATAACAGTACAGTTTACTTAGTCAAACGTCTACGACGGAGAAATCTATAGTATATGAAACTGCGTGTAGAACGGGCAACGGCAACATTCGTGTCGATTTCTAATTCTGTCCACGTAACTGTCCACATGGCGCATGTACCTTGTGTCACACAATTAAAAGCTGCTTTTAAGCGCGGCAGCCACCATATACGGCAGCGACAGCAGTCCATGCCTGTAATTCGCAAGTTACACTTTAGGATATTTGAGTCGCTACGTACTCGTTAGACGTCAGGGAGTCGAATCCACTGGATGGATCTCGCTAGAAACTTTTACATTACCGAAGACGATGTGAGGAACGACTGCGATTGGACGCATGCCTTAGTAAAGTACGGAACTGAAGCCCGGCGTAACGGTGGAGATCTTCAAGCATGATTTGTCGCAGGATACCGTTGAAGACCTACTAAAGCACTTCAGCTGTGTGATCGCCACTGAGACTCCCTTATCGCTGTGGATCGCTATCAATGAATCACTACGTGTGAACGGGAGTAAACACATCCCGTTTATTAGTGTGGGTGCGTGTGGCATTTTCGCCGGAGTGTCCTGTGATTTCGGTGAGGAATTCAAGGTGTATGATCCGCAAACCGAAGAAGGCAGGGACTTACTAATTTCTTCGTTTACACCAGTAAGTCTGGCAGGAAATGCTTAATAAATAGTCTTTTACATCTTTTAAGCTGCCAGAATTGTTTATAATTTATCGGTGTTATTTTATCAGTTACTCATAAATTGAGCCGTCAATAAAATATGGGTGCATTTTTTATGGCACTTCTGCATTCATGAAAAAATGCTATTTCCCAGTTAATTTTGCTTTTGGGTAAAGTCGCAGAAATGCCAGTACAGTACAGTAATAATTAATGTGTTTTTCCATTTGACGTGCTGCGATTTTCGCATTCTATGAATAATCAGCATTCTATACTACTTGCTTCTCTAGAGTTTGTACTTCCGGTGCTATCATACGGGCATTGCTTAGCAACAATTGCGGGATATCAATAGGGTCCATTTTTTGCAGGTATCAGCTGGCTGATTCGTTTCTAACCGAAAAGCTATCCGAAGATGCAGTCCACTACAAACTCTACGAGCAGTCGAAGCCGCCTTCCGGACGGACTCCCACTAATGAGGGCGATGTGTTTATCTTCAGCGAAGGATCCGTGGTCTTCTGGAATGTGAAGAAGGACGATGCGGCCTCTTTTTTGAAAGTGCTCCAGCAGTACGCCGTTAAACCGTATTCACGTATGTTAAACAGCGACAGCCGATAAGGCGATTGCTTTATCTTATCGTGTTGAATATTATGCCAACCTTATTATGGAAATTCAAGGGAATTCCGTATTAACGGCTCTCGCTCGCCGTTAATAACGTATTTTATGTTTTTTTTTCACTTTTGTGAAGTGTTTATCTGTTTTTTTTATCAGTTTACATTATCTGTTTTTTTATCTTTGTTTTTTATCTGTTTACAGAGTCTATTGTCCAGGATGAAGCGGAATTTCTGGACTACTCTTTTACGGATGGCCCTGGTGACGAGTACCGTGGTCGACCAGGAGTCCCGTCGGCAGCAGACGCTGCCAAACTGTCATCCGACGGCCATATTCTGCTGCGGAAATCCATGGAGGTTGTCCATCCCCAGTTGCTCAGTCTGATCAAATACGCCTTTTCCGACGCCACTGTGCTTTCTGGTGCGTAGCATAAGTGTTATTTATTGTGTTCGCAGTTATTTGGTAAAGCGTTCACAATTCTTTATGTTTATCGTTCTCACGACTACCATTTTCGATTTCTCAGTTGAAAATGTTTTTAAACTATTAAATTATTTAATTTTTTTGCAGTTAAGTTGGCTGTTTATGAGGCTATGCTGCAAGAATACGTGGGATCCATCGAAAACGTCGCTGAGGTGAGCACAATAATAGATTCAAAATTATTGTACTTTCTGTATTCCATTCATAATTATCGCGGCTATTACTGCACACTACTGCCACTACTGCTTCAAAATAGAATCGTAATTACTGCTTCGTAATAAATTTGTGCATTGTAGAAATTAGTATGATTCTCATATTGTTGTGACTTGTACGTGGTCACGTCAACAGGACATCAAAACAAACGGACGTGATTAGCTTGTCGAAAGGTCAAGTGCTGCGTAAAACAGGGAGCTGTTCTTCCTCCGGCACTCCATTAATCTGGGCTCGAATATGCTGGATCCACCTGATTTCTACTGGGATCGTGAAGATTTGGAAGCTGAAGATTTGGAAGCACTGTACCGTGCCATGTGCACGTATCTTAACATCGGTCGGCGTACACGCATTTTCAACGAAAAACTTAACCACTGTTATTCTTTGGTAGAGCTGTTGCGTGACCATCTGAACAACCAGCACCATGTTCGATTAGAGCTGATGATTATTGCGCTCATTTGCGTGGAAGTGTTATTTGAATTCTTGCATTATGCCGAGAAGTACATGAGCACGGCTCCGTGATTTTGTATATTTTTTTACGAGTCAGTGTTTTCTTAGTTTTTTATCGTTTTATTGTGATCTTGAATAAAGCAGACTTGACAGATTAAAATCAGGGAATGTATTTACCACATCCAACAGTTGAACTAAGGTCAATAAAAATGGAAAACATTGGGCTGTCACCGAGGTACGCGCAATACAAAGCGGCGTCTGGGCTCCGTTAAGAGAATAATATTATATAAAATCAAGGAGTATCACGACAACACACTGATTCGCACTGCGCACGGATCGATCGAAAATAATTACATAAAACACAAAAAAACTTCAATATTTAGGTTTCACATTATTCGAATTTCAAAGGTCGCTTAAATATTATCGTCCCGTGAAAGGGTGTGCTGCACTTAACCGCCCTGCTTCAGCTGCAATCGGTCATCTGCCACCGCCGCATACGGTGAGTACAAAGCAGTCCGTCTGCCAAAGCCTCTGAATCCGAAGGACCCCATGGTGGTCATCGCGAAAAAGCTGACCATTCTTTGCGAGCACCTTGTATTGCGGAACCGTTTTGAAGAACTCTTTATCCACCCGTCGATCCGTGATCTACCGCATGCGATCGCCCAGAAATTGATTCAGCTCCAGATCAAGAACGGACTGACCTTCCTGGAAAAGGCCATGACCGCATGGGCGATCATGTACCGTAACACCCACTGTACCTAGGTCATCCACTGTTTTTTCTGTTTTAACTTTACTTCATTGATGTGCACACCGATCTGAACGCACTGTGATGATCCCTCTTTTAGTTTGTTAATTATATGAATTATGATAGCGCTTCTATTCACGTGTGTATGCATGCGCGGTATGCATACTTCTATTATTAGTGTCGTTATTGTGCAGTTTGTAATGACCGATAACCGAAACTGAGTGTAACGCTAACACTTTTTTTGGATGAAAACCTAGTATTTTGCACAGTAACTCCGAACACTGTTGTGATGTTACTAAAAAGGAAATACACAAGAAACCGAAAGTATACAATTATACAGTGCGACCTGTGTCTTTAAATTATGTAAATACGGAACACACATTTTTATTATTCAACACGCAGCATTCACGCAATTGCATTATGTCACATGCAACTGGCATCTAGTCGAACACGAACGGCTGAATTTCACATGGCTACAGTACCATACGGACTGGTGCATGGTGCACTCAATTGCGTGTTTTTTTAGTGTCCAACACCAAAAAATTCTGGTGTCCAACACCAAAAAATTAAGAAACAAAAAACCAAAAACATATGCAATTGAAAACACCAAAAAATTCTGGTGTCCAACACCAAAAAATTCTGGTGTCCAACACCAAAAAATTTTGGTGTCCAACACCAAAAAATTCTGGTGTCTGACACCAAAAAATTCTGGTGTCCAACACCAAAAAATTAAGAAACACAAACACCAAAAAATTCTGGTGTCCGACACCAAAAAAGCCTGGTGTCCAACACCAAAGAATTCTGGTGTCCGACACCAAAAAATTAAGAAACACAAACACCAAAAAATTCTGGTGTCCAACACCAAAAAATTAAAAAACACAAACACCAAAAAATTCTGGTGTCCGACACCAAAAAAGTCTGGTGTCCAACACCAAAAAATTCTGGTGTCCGACACCAAAAATTTCTGGTGTCCGACACCAAAAAAGTCTGGTGTCCAACACCAAAAAATTCTGGTGTCCGACACCAAAAATTTCTGGTGTCCAACACCAAAAAATTAAGAAACACAAACACCAAAAAATTCTGGTGTCCGACACCAAAAAAGTCTGGTGTCCAACACCAAAAAATCTGCAATTGAAAACACCAAAAAATTTTGGTGTCCAACACCAAAAAATTTTGGTGTCCGACACCAAAAAATTCTGTTAAGAAACGTAAAACATACAACCAAAGCAATACAAACAATACTTTACGAAACATGAAAATTGAAAAAGGGATCAGGCGCGACACAGTGGGAGAAACAGTGGGAGAAACAGTGGGAGAAACAATGGGAGAAACAATAAAAGAAACAATGGAAGAAACACAGCAGTCATAATCAGTAGAAACATAGGAATAACCGCCGCAACGGGACCGCTTGTATAGTCGGCGCCGGTCGTCAGCGCTGTCGAATCTCTCGTCGGAGGACAACAATCCAACAGTTCCGGTAGTAGCTGCGCCGTTATGATGCGCCTTCTGAGGCGATGCGTTATGCTAACTGATTGGGCGTGCGTGCCGGGTAAAATATACAAGAAACGCCGTAATAGGCAGACTGAATAATATAACCCTGTCTAAATAGTAATTACCATAACTGCCTGTAGAAACCTTATGTACCCGTATGTAACCTTATCTAGCTTTCTTACATGCCGCAAACGATATAGCGATAAACCGAGCGTTACCGGTTACGACGCTAAGCAAAGGCATTGAAAGGTCATGAAGTACGTGGGGAAGGGCACCCTGATGGGTTGACGAAGGGGGCAGGGCTTAAGAACATCTATACGTACTGGTTTATGAGGTGATCAAAAAGTAATTCAAGGGTGTGCTTTGGCAAATAAATGCAAACAAAATGGCTGCATGTACGTATCTCAACCGTGCAAGCATTTTCTGGCAATACAAAGAACGCATACTGATGAGACGTAATAAATTGTACGTGCATGTGAGTCTGTGACTGCAATATTTTATGCCCAATCCAGTTAAACCCATTATTATTATTAATTAAAAATGAAATACCGCTAATGCCCACTTGCTGCGTGTTGCGCCCGTTATGCAGCGCGATCTTGTGCCGCGCCTATAAGACAGCAAAATCGCCTGGATGTACTAAAATTGTTGCATTAAAAATCAGTTTCTTCGTGGTATTTTACGTTTGTCATTAAATGAACCAGACAAACAGACAGACAATCACTTTCATTATTTAGCAAGCAGACAAGCAGGAATTTGTGTATTAACCAATACGGGAGAACGGAAGCTGCACATGCTGAGAGAAACCAGTTTTGCCACTTAAGCTGTTTCCGCAACCAAGACATCTGGAGCACTTTAATTAATTTATTTACTTTCAATGAAAAGCGCGGGATTATTAATCCGACAGGTGCAGCCCTGTGCCAGAGATGTAATCTGTCGGATCTACAGTATCTTAAAGTGCCTTACAGGCTCTCTCAAGAGAAGACATTTCCGTAATGTTTCCCAAGAACTGTTTATCTGGTTTCTGTTTCCGCATTTCCGGCTGCGCGCAAAACTTTTTTCGCATCTTCCGCAAAACAGAATATTAACTACGGTATCCAGAATCCAGAAAAAAATACAAATCATTAAAATAAAAAGTGATTATAATGCTAGACGATTTTTGCTGAGAGGTTAGTGGTGGCCCAGCATGCTCGGCTGTCGACGACAACACGACACTCTAACCCGTATTAGTCCAAATCGTCGCTTAATCTTTTGCCTTCGCTGTCGCAGTAGTGTCGTTTCGGAAACAAGCCAATGGTCAGCAGCGTCGCCTGAATAATACGCGCGTCTAGCTTCCTCTGTTGTGCTGGCTGATTTGTTGTGCACACGCGGATCACCGTTGTCGAGAGCCTACTTTCCCAACCCCCAACCGAAAGGTCGAACGTATACACCGTAAACTGTAAAATTTAGAAGCTGGTTACGTTCACACTTCACAGATTGTTTCACCAACCAAAAGAAGTGTACTTCGTCCTAGGTGTGAATCAGTGAATGCGTCAACTGGCGAAAGAACTTTACCTAGGGCAATCAACAGAGTGACTAAGTGTATTTTCACCAAAAAGCAATAAAACCTACGGTACTTCAGTATCGATATTGAGAAATCCGTCTAACGTTAACGGAAGTAATTTGTAGCTAGGGTTTATTAGCGTTAGCTCTGTCTCTACCGAGACGCTACTGGAACTTAAAATCGGCTGTATTAACTGTGGTTTGTTCAGGATAAATAGAGTAATACTAATTATATTAATATTACAAACCAGTTCAGATGGATTTTCGCCAGAAGGGTAATTTTGCTCTACCAGTTTATGTGGCAATGATTAGGGTTGCGATTAGACGTTCTAATCTTTTTCATAATGTTTTCTAGTTGACAACACTTGGTACGAGTAACTCTTACCGTAGATTAGTTGGCATAACGATATATTACAACCAGAAACAAAGGTGAAAATTGTACTACACTGTGAAAGCTTACTGCCTCTCGATCTTTTTTCTGCTTTATTGTTTTCTGTTTTGCATTTCGTTACATTTTGTTACATTTTGTTACATTCAGTTTGTTACATATTTTGATTCACTTTATTTTATTGTTTATTACATCTGCACTGCTGCTGAGTGTTTGGATGCTGAATGTCTAAAATAAGAGTTGTTGTCTATAGGTTAACTGACTGCCAGGCCAAAGAGTTAATCAGTTAACGAAGATGGAAATTATTTCATTAGCAAACGATACGCAGGACATAACTGCATGGGTAGAGGATACAGACGACATGACTTCCCTGGAAAATGATACGGAAAACATAACTTCATTGGCAAACGATGCAGGGGACATAACCTCATGGGAAAATAGTACTCCGTTTACTACGTTCTGCAGTGATAACTGGACGTCAAGAGCCGAAGTCGGAAGTGGCATCATCCCCTGTCAGTACAACAAACATCAACTAGAACAGGTGTACTTATTCTACATTTTCGCATATCTACCTCTTCTGCTGGTTTGCACCATCGGCAACGTACTCAATCTGGTAATCCTAATGCGCAATCTGCGCAACTGGAAAACATCTGCACGGTGTTATATGTTGGGAACTGCCGTTGCCGATCTCGGTGCTCTGTAAGTACTTTGCAACTTATGTACGGGTGTCGATGTTGTACAACGGGTTTTCGTGCAGCTTACCATTAGGCGCATTCAGAATTTATTTCAGCATGTGCACTCGCTCAGGAGAAAGCAGGTTTCCGAAGTAAAATGAATTGGCATTGTCCCTGATATTAAAATTTACAATAAAACATACCGTTGTAAAGCGTGAAGTATGTGCCGCATCGTTATCTCCTTGGCTGCCAACAATTACGTTATATTATATTTCATATATATAATATACATATATTATATGTTATATGTTATTATATGTTATATTATATATTATATTTATTATATTGCCAACAATTACGTTATATTGTATTTCCCTGATATAAAATTTACAATACAACATACCGTTGTAAAGCGTGAAGTATGTGCCGCATCGTTATCTCCTTGGCTGCCAACAATTACGAGTCCTCGTAGTTTTGTCTAGCTTTGTCTTAAATTGTCGGTGTGTACATATTAATATTTTTTCAGCATCGTAAAATTAATGGCTTCCCGTCAGTTCTTAAAACAATATGAACACTTACGAATTCCTAAATTATTTAGATGGTTAGGATTGCCCTTTTGCGTGGTGAATATAGGGATACAGTACAACCTGCCGTTTGAGAATAATTCGGACGTAACCACAAAACTGGGCCTCCTGGGTGGGTGTACCGCATGGTTTCAGCAAATCTGCATGCAGTGCTCTGACTGGTAAGATCAGATCTGGTCTGGATTGACCAGAAGACTCAGTACGAATCATCTGTACGACCATCTTTGGTGTCTTGGCCTCAATGATTTTGATTCCCGATATATTTTAGGATACTAGTAGCGTTTAGCTGGGAAAGACTGCTGATAGTTATTAGCCCATTCCGCTTCAGACCGTTGCAACGCGTGTCGACGGCCTGGATCATAATAGCGATCCTACTTGTCGTAGCGTTACCGATTGGCGTATTCCCTTTTGTCGGTTCCTACTTGTACTATGCCGATCGTATAGACGATGTTTTGCACCCTACCAGAGCGCCAGTTTGGTTTACTCGATGGTTGAAGATGGACGGCGCCTCTACGGTAAGGAAGCTTATACTACTCTGTGAGTATCGATCTTATGCACGGAATAAGTTAATTTATACTTCAAATGTAAGGGGGATACTTACGTACCGTTTCAGCTCGGTAGTTCCAGATACAAGTACAAGACTTTATTTCCTTGATACAAGGTTATCATTCTACTATGTATCTTCGCTGGCAGGTCATTGTGCAAATCGTGACCTTTATCCTTATCTTGATCCCAAGCGTTTGTCTGATCGTGTTTCTCAGCCGGCAGCACCGCTCAACCATCAGCCAAATGCGCCTTCAACAGCTACAGTCGTGGCGGTCGCGGTCCAGCTTAAAGCAAAATGATTCGAGTCCCGGTCGCTCCGACGCGGGCACTACCCTCATCCTGCTTAGCAGTTCGGCATTGTATCTTGTCACCAGATTCCCAATGGTCGTTGAGTCTTGCTTGTTTTCCCTAAGCAATTTACATTACGACTGGACGGTTGAAATGGTTGTCGGGCCTTTTGTCGACATTGCCATGTACGCTGGGTATTCATTTACATTTTTCACTTATCTTGTCACCACGAGGAATTTCCGTGAGCATTTCTTCAAATTGTTTACCTCTCTGATGTCCATGAACGGTTCTTACGTATACCATACTGGATCGTGGTGGTTCTGTATGTGCTTCGAAACGGGACTTTCGACATCAGCGTCAGCCGCGTAAATAGTGCAACTCCGGATACTTCCGCCACAACAACAACAATCTCCAACTGTCAGTAAAACTGTGCCACCAGCTTGTGCAGGCAGAATATAACGTGTTAATAAACTTTTGCACATGTTTATTGCTTTTATTAAAGCAGTCCATAATAAAATTATAACATCCATTACTTCGTATTGTATTGTAATTTGTACATATATAATTTTGCTGTTGCAGCTTATTTTAAAAGGAGACCACGATTCTCTGGCCAGTTTTATTAATTTTTATATGAAAATGAGCCCGCTTTGTATGAGGAATCAAACGTGGCGTAGTTTTTTATGTGTTTTTCCCGTGCTCCAAGGTTAAGAAAGACGGGCTTGATATCTCAGAAAGTTGGCAAATCTAATTCAGCAATCATAATACTAAAAGCCTTACTGCACTTTTCCTGCCAGACACTTATCTGCTGCGAAAAAAACTGGAATTAATGTAGAATTTCCAGGAAAATCTGCACATCGTATATTTTACTGTTTACATTAGTTTCAAATCTGTGATTGGCATGCTGCTGTATTTGAGCTTCACACACAATGTACAATACAAACAATGATTGTATCTGTATACTCCTATACAAAATTAAATACTCGTATATTCAGACGTCGTTCATTTTTTTCACGAGTTCTTTGGTTGACAGTTACAGAAGGTAGAGATTTTGCGAAAAGAACTAAAAGCTTTCGTGGCGTCCAATAAACAAAATCGCTTTGGACGGATTATGCCGGATGGCGTACATGAACGGATGGTCAGCGATAAAATCAATGGGGAGTTCCACTCTGGGAGGAAAAATGGCCGAGAGAGTTTCCACCATCATCACAGCACTGGCCCCGGCCGCCTCCGTTCCTTTCTCGTCCACTTCTAAACGTTAAAAATCAAATTATTATACTCTCTCCTTATCAAACACATTTCGGGAATTCAGTTAAAAAATGCGTGTGCCAATTTATTTACAGTTAATGCCTAATATATATTGCCTATCTGACGTACCGATAAAGGTTTTATGGAAACCTTGTGAGATTTTTAATCCCGGCCCCTGGCTGACAATTCCGCTCAAATCCGAACCATCTGTGAAGAGGTCCTTCACACCGAGTTTTTCTAACAAGGCTTTCAGATCAAACTGGCTTTCCACTTTAAACTTAGGCAACTGCAGGTTGACCTTTGTGTTCCTGGATCGACTAGATAGATCGTTAATCATCTGCGCCGTTAGTTCTCGCTCTAGCACTCGCAAACCGGCTTTCTTCCTGGGTAGAAAAACCAGCATAGACGCTTCGTCATCCATGTACGGTATCTCCAAATACTGAATGTCCAGCCTGTCGTCAGTGGCATACCGCCATTTTGTGGTTTGGCGCATCATTTTGACGGAAACGGTTCGACCGTTCAGTAGAGTGAATTTCGAGTTAAACGTGTTGGACTCTTCAAAAGCAGAGTCCCAGGAGGCTTTGAAATAAATAGCATTTGCCATGACACCTTGAGTGTCCTTCGTAACCGCTCCTGGTGGAAGCAGGTGTTTAATTTTCCCAGCGGTGTTGTTTTCCACCCAACGGTTAATGTCACGGCGTGCACCTTCGCTATTGGTCTTGAAGTTCTTTTCTTGAATGGTAGCTTTAAGCTTACTACTGACTGTAGTAGCGTATCTGGTGTTTAAATTCAGTCCGCTGCGAATAAACACCTAATAGACGGCAATTATTAATAAACATTAATAATTAATAAATTTAATTACTAGTAAGCAGTAACTCTTGTGGCGAAAATAGCTTACCCCATTAGCTAAGGTCAGCTGCATAGGATCCCCACTTTGCTTCCACATTTCAACATGCTTGCCGGAAGTCACTGAATTATTTGCAACCGACGACATTTTCATATGGTTCATTAAGTTGCTGAAGGCGTCGACGATCGCATCATTAGCAGCTTGTCCGTTCCTAGCTGCTTTGTTAAAATCCAGCGCTGTGTAAAGATTATTCCGGGTCTTGCCCTTGGCTCCCAGAAACACCAGCATTGTACAGTACATAATGCTCAGCGGCGAGACCATTAAATTCCCCGTGGGCGTCTGTGCGGTTGCAGCATTGTACAAGTTTACGGACACACTGCTGATGGACGGTGTCAGGTCCAACTGCCCGGAAAAACCTGGTTGAATGGATCTAGACATGGTAGAAGTTGGTCAAATTCGAAAAACTACGGAGAGCTCGAGTAGCCGGTGTTGCAATAAAATGACGCTCAGTAACCACTGTCTGTGTTACGCTGTGCTGTACTGTAGTGCTTATAAACAGTCCAACGTCGCATGTTCGTAAAGCATAATTACTGTAACCAAAACACACAAGAGAAACTTGGAAATTGTACGATTCATCGTTACTTAACGGAAACACCGGGTAAGCCCTGCCCATTAGCAGTAATGTGCAAGAATGTACCAGTAATGTGCAGTTCTAACTTGTTATCGGTTGTTCGCATCGGAAAACTTTGTATCCTTTAGGCATTTGCGTGGAAACTTTTTTATTGAGGTTCTAGTGACTCAACTGTCTCACTAACAATTTATTTCTTTGTTTATTTACGGTATACAAGTAGTATGTACTAATCATTACTTCTGTTCTGCGTTACGAAGAAAACGATACCGTAAATGCAACCGTAAAACTGGATGCAAATTGTAATGTTAAAACACTCAGAATAACAAAATATATATGAGCGCCTGCTGAACATTTCCCATAAGAACACGTTGCCATCTGCATTTTACTTATTGGGAAACACCACGTTTGCTGTGTTAAAGATACAAATAATCGCAGTAAGCCAAACTACTCGTGTTAACGATTCTCTATCAGACTGCATATTTATAGAAACAATGTTTTGGACCCGACTTGTCTTAATTAAGTATTTTACAAGCGAACTACGATTACAGGCATTTCTCGCTGCAGTCATTGATGTTTCATTTTTATGTCGTTGACAAAGGTCAACCGTGGGAGCGCATTTGACGTATATTCTGCGTACTCGTTACACAGCTGTTACTAGGCACTTTCCCTCATTGTCAGGATCATTGTCGATAGAGCACAAAACTATGGTTGGAAAAGTTGGGTTTTTAAAACCCATCTCACTAGAGTCAATAAAATGCTTTTAGCGACTATAACGAATCAGCACTTGGGAGGTTATAATAGCGTCAATGCAAAGTATTTATTCATATAGATATCACCAGTGATAACGATCAGTAACACTTCGAGCGCTGACCGGTGCAAAAAAATATCATACACACTTTTGATAGAAAATTTTTGTTATCTTTAAAATGTAAAACGTTAGACAGACTGCAAGACAAACCAAAGAGTGGACAATTGACGCTCTATGCGAGAGAGCGACGCATGAATATTACCGATGTCATCGTCATGTGTCGCGCTTAAATCTACTCCCAGCCAACCGCATATTGTACATGCCTCGTATGTATGTAGTATGTACCAAGATTCTACTACAAAATTACACAGTCTGTCATAAGTATATAAACGATCGCTGGTGCGATGACAGGATTGTCTGTTTTCCTGCCATCCTCAAAATCTCGGCATGCCCATTAGCGATAAAATTAAGTGCAGTTCTACTTTAATTACCGTCCAAGATGAATAACACATTGTGCATTTATTTTGCTGTGCTCATGCTCACGATACTCGTCGTCTTCGCAAACCTTGCTGCGGGGATATATGACGGTACAGCCGGCAACTGTGCAAATTCGAGAGGCGATAGCGACTGCAATGACCGGTGCAAAAGAACGATGGGGCAAAAGGGATACTTCAACAGCGGGTCATGTGGAGGATACTTTGGACAAACTTGTCAGTGTTATTATAGTGCCAGTACTGCTTCCACAGGTTGTACCTGTGCATGTCCTTGTCTTGCTGGTGGAGCGGACATTGGCCGCTAGATGACGGTGATTCCACCGAGAAGTGATGCGCCAATTGGACCTTTCACCGCTTTACAGTACTCTGTAAATCAACCTCTACTTATGAATTACGTTTGAACCTTCGTATAACTGCGGCAGAATTTGACCATCTTATGGCAGAACCTTTTGCATTGGCGTAATTCACATTGTGTTAAGTTTGTTGTCTGCAAATTGCCAGATAATTTAGAGTATCATACTCTGTACCTTCCGATTACGATTCTAGATAGCCAGACTGATGCTAACCTGGTAAAGTGTGGTCTATAAATGCCTGTGGCTGCCAATAATGGCTGTAATGCATGATTATCGATTCTATCAACGGGGTCACATTAGTGCTGAAAAATGATTTTGAGGTAACATCATTAGCTGGGTCGAATCAATAAGCGATGCAAAGAAAATTCCCGATGACTCTGTACTACCCGAGTACTTTAGGTTTACACGAACAGTATGTATTGTACTGTAATTGAACATTATTCGCCCTTAACAGATTTCGCTTAACGCGCGACTGTTCAAACTTTTATAAGCCCACTAACAGCCAACGTCGATGGAAATACATATACGAAGTAGCCAAATAACAGTATCGAAGAATGGTAAGATCGCCTAAGGCACTGCTTTTTTTATGCCGACTATCTGGTATTCTGCATTTAAATTTATATATTAAGCTTTTTTATTGTATAGAATTCAGCCATAGACGTTGGAAATGATGTAAATACACTCGTGAGGCAGTGTGCGCTTTGTAACCGGCATATGAGAGTTCATGTTACCGTTAGCATACGGTCAAGAACCAGTGCAACGAATGAAAAGCTGGTTGGTGAAAGCTAATAAAAAGGAAAATAAAAATAGGGAATAGAACAAACGAGTGCGGTCCAGTGGATGATCACAGTTGGTAGAGTCGGTAAAAGAGCAACATAACGCAAGGTCATCGCAAAACGTTTATTAGCTGTGTGTACAATAGTGCATAAGGCACAGAGTTCCTGAGAAAAAGGTTTATATAATTAGCTTCAAGCAAAGCAAACTGGACAAGAATAAAGAAGGAAAGTAAATGCGAGGAACATGCAATTCTGACGGCAAAATACGATCCGTAAAACTATTCTGAAGATTTTGAGGTAACAACTTATTGATGCTTCCAACTTAATGGCAACGCACATGCAGAGTCTGTAATCTTGATACATACGCCATTGCACTATCTATTTGGAATCCAAATAAAAAATTTGTTGCACCCAACCCAACAGTTATATTACGGCAACCAATCCCGCGGAGTCAATTATTTCATAACAACTATAATATTTAACAGTTATCTCCCATTACGCTTCCATGCTTCGAATTAAGAGCGTGAGATTGTTGGGTCCATACTTCGGTTTCCTTTTGTTTCAACGACGAAGAAATCGCCATCGACGCCATGCATACCTAGTATAATGTCGCCGACACCACAACGAGTAACATCAGACCGCAAGACGGAGTACAGTTCAGTGTAGCAAAAATTATTCGTTTTTCTTGCATCGATGCACAACCTACACTGCTACGCAGTAGTCCCTGCCATTGTTAGAAGCTGTGTTTACTCGGAATACTTTTCTTCCGTTGTTGATCACGGGCGTTAAAAATACGCAGTGCCGATACAGCACATTTACAATAAAAGACCCGGAACATCCCCCTACAATCATGTTGAAGACAACTACTACTCTACGTTTACTGGACGCGCCAGTATCAGTGAGTCTGTGACCTATTGAATGTCATGCTAGGCTTCCAGATGCTGTGTTTGCAAAACCGCTGCAAAACTCTGTCGCGTGATTTCCAAACAATTTATTATCGAGGTCTTGACAACAATACCGAAAAATGGAACGATAATAAAGCAATGTAAACAGGCATTATTCAGCCTACGTCATGAATAGAAACTCTGCTGATATCACCTTGTTCTTGTCTAAGCGAGCCAAAAACCCGGCTTTTGTCGGCACGTGAACGTTTTTGCCGGGCCTTGCCGCCGTATAAAAACGAGAAAACCTTGCTGCGAAGATGTGTGCCACAAAGCATAGAAAATCTTGGGTAGCTATCACATTTACACGACAGGTAGTAAACATTGTCCATTGGCTAGAATGAAAAATACACTTGTGATCTGCTTTGTCGTGTGTCTTGCGTTCGCCCTTGTTCAGGGCCAAGTGGGCGGGCAAGCATGGTTTTGTGGTTACACCTGCAGCGATCGATGCCAGAATGCCGGTGGACGAAATCAATACGGTTCATACTTCTTTGGCGGATTTTGCGGCTCCTTCCTGAAGCAACAGTGTGGATGCGGTACCGTTGGTGTAGACGTTGGTTAGGACTGGGCTGATTGAGGCAACATTAGGTCACGCGGTTAGCAACGTGCGAAGTCGGTTAAAGAGCCATTAAAATACTTACAAAATGCATAGGCTACGCGAGAAAATGTGGGCAGTCGCTAGCTAGAAATGTTTACGTAAAATCGGCTGTTGTCCAACTTATTGCTTTCTGCTGAAGCCCTTGTGTTCTTATCATGGCGTGATCGCTACTTTGGTGTCATGATTCAAGATTCTCAATAAAGCGATTCTGGTATGCTTTACCGTAAAATTTCGATCTGGCGATTCTTCAGAGAATATTTTAATTTTCAGTCCGCTCCATATGGGCACACGATTAATGCAGCACTGACAAAAATGATTACTGTATGTGTTTCTGGGACTATCTTTGCGTGCAACAACACTGATAGATATATACTCGTGCGTTAGCCAATGTCACTAGGAACCGAATTAATCTTGCACTGACAATAGCGAAAGAGTAAATTTCCACAGACGCCGTATGTGTAATATCCATTGGGCCCTATGGCTTTCTGGCATCCGTCGCCGCAAAACGTTGCGCAAACGTTCAAGGGGGTGCCGTTCCTCGCATCAGCTCGGCCCTGTAGCATGACGGATACGGTCAACAATATAACGAAATACGGCCAGGACCGGCTTTCCATTTTTATCCTGCGGTCAGGGTCTTGAAGTGTCTTGTCTGGAAAAGCAAACGTAGAACTCTAAAACACCGCGACTGCTACATTTCAAAAGTGAAGGCGTTATTATTTTGCTCACAGAGACTACGTACAAATATGTTGTACCGACGGAGTTTGGCTACTGTAACTGCTCACTTCGACAAATTAATATAATGAACACAATTAAGTACACCACCTGTAAAAAGCCTTATACCGGTGTGTTTACTTTGTTGTCACCTGACTGGTTATTTGTTGTTTGGAGGGTGCGCATTGTTGTCGAGCAAGCCTTTTTGTGCTTGCAAACTCCAACAGAAACGTTTTGCCGGCCGGATAATGGAACAATATTTTGCCGAGTCGGCACTGGCTAACCGGGACGGCCTGGGCAATGTAACAATGTGCAAGCACCTAGAATAAAGGAGTGCACCAGGCATGCTAAAAAGTAAAAAAACGTTCACTTGGTGTCCAGTGTAATTTTAAATGAGCAAGACCGCATATTCTTAAATATTTGGTTCTGTTTTGTAACGAGAACATAAGAAAAAAAAGTGTCAAGTCATGGCACCTGTTGCAGTGTCTCTGCCTTTGTCGTGTGGCAACACATCTCTCCAACAATGAAAACTTTTAGTGTGGGTAAACATCGGGCTTAACAATGTATCGGCAATCGGCAAGGAAGTTTCTATACAACAATTTCTAGCCGGTTTATTCGACTTCTTGACAATGTTCAGTGGACACATGATAGTTAATGTGGCATCGACAAGAAATCTACGATACTTTAGGATGATCGGATTTGTCAAAGTGAGACAATTCGGCATGTTCTTACGACGAATACACTTATTTCGCTGAAGTAATTCAGCTGAAGAAACACATATCTCATGCAAATGCAAAGATAATGGAAAAGCAATATAATTACTGTACATACCTATTATAAAGTGCACTGGAAAGTTTTTATTAATTTGTTTCCCCTGAGCCGTTACTTGCAGTAGCCGCAAACCCTCAATGAACCAGACTGATCCTGAATTAGTGGCACGTACTTACTCGATCAAGGAAAAGGGTGGAAAGGTCACACAAATTTTGTTTACTCAATTGTTTGGTAGCACGTCAAGCAAACATCAGGTCTTTCAATGAAGTTTAATAACACCGTGTCCAATCAAATTGTGCTTTTACTGACTGACATCAAGATGATACGTATAAAAAGCTGGACACTGCACAGTATAAAAAATTGCCTATTGCGTACAAAATTAAAAAGTAAAGGTTAATATGGAGAGATTCGCAGTAAACATAGCAGCAGCACAGCACCACCCTAGCCACAAAAATTTTTATGGATTCGTAGCATAGACGACGCTAAACTCGGTAGTGAACGATATGCCGTAAGACAGTTTTGCCATAAAAATCTATTGCGGCAGTAGACGAACGCCGATATTCTATTGAAATCGAAGTAAGTGGATATCAAGAGCTAGCATTATTCCACTCCAGACTAGCAAGAAATTTGCTGTTTCGAGGACAGGTAACAGTCTCCGTTACCCAACATCGAAGCCACCGGGATTATCAATCGGACTGACGGGATTGCACGTACAAATCTGCTGGTATCGACCACCACACAGCCATGGCCATCTTGGTACTGATCCACCCGTACACCATCTACAGTACATATTGGCACATATCCTCTCTCTGTTGTCCGCATCAGCTTGTCCGTGAAAAAGGACAAACAGGATAAACACAAGACAGTATTTCCAACACATACTCTTCATTTTCGTGGGTGTATTTGGTTTCCTGGAAGACAGAGAAAGAACTAAATTATTTGCCGCTAAATCTCCGTAGTAGGTTTCCCTTTAATATATTACGGCACATTTGTGCGTACTTGAACGGTAGTGGAGATTCGCTGCGCAGTCTAGTGATCACGTGACAATGACAGGGCTGATATTCCTGAATGGGGTAGCTCGTGCTTCGTTGATGCAGCAAAATTATTCTAAGAAGCCAGAGTATTATTTGAGCAATAAGGATGAAGACTAATAAACTGATTAATGCAGCTACATGTTTTTTAGCATTTCGGTGCTTGTGGTTCTTTTGTGAGAATCAGCCCGGGTCACACGTGTTCGTTCTACAGACTCGAGATACGCTTACAGCTGCACAACCGCATGCATTGTTTGATGTACAAAGTATGCTGACTTTAAACCTTATAGAAACCGCTTTCATATGAAAAGTGTATGGCAAAAATAACAATGCATTCACTTGGACAATCAAAGCAGATGAATCAGCCATTACAATATCGGGGTTGCTTTTTTTAAACACCGCTAAGTATTCAGCGCCTTATTACATTTACAAGATTCATCTATTTCTTAAGAAAACGTATACCAGTCACAATTAACTGGTAGCGTATAGATCTCGCATAGTCGATCGTCAGTTGAGAATGATATAACAGTGATTGCAATCCATTTCATGTTATGTGTTCGTCACTGTATTTAACATAATATGCTGTCAGAAAATTTCGTAGTATAGTGGCAACTTCGCTTTCAGCGACCGATGGGACCGTTTCTCTCATAATATTTCTCTGAAGATTTTAACAAGACCGAGCGGTTTCCAGTAAATTTTTTTGTGTTCGCCACTGTATTCCTCCGACAATGCGCAAGCTGCAAAGTTAAACTAAAGTATAGAGTTATGATTCGGTGTTAAAACTGAAATATACAAAACCGTTTTCGCGTGAGGGGCGCTCCGGCATCACGGATGGTCATGATGTCATCCAAGCATCAGCCATGGGTCCGGAGTGGAGGCGTATTAAGTACCTACCCGTAGAATTGTAGGCGGTAATCATTCTACTCCAGGGCTGCAGAATCCAGACGCTTAAGCGAAAGACACTGACGTGTATTCTTCCAATTATTACGGAACACAATCCTTGATTATACGAAAACCAAATAAAACCATCAACTCCTATGTAATACGGGCATAAACCATGACAAACTCGGGATAACATTAAAATTACTGGAACCCGGAATCGGCAAAAGCGTTAGACATGTACGAGGGATATGTATGCATCTTGCTTGCATTGATAATATCCCATCGAAAACCAATGCTTTTGGGAAGTACCGTTAGTATTATTATAACCGTTTTAATATCTAACCGTCCAGTATGAGCAGTGCCATTTCGGAGCTGCGTAACGGTAACCTTTATTCGTTCGGTCCGTGTCGATTGTCTTGCTAGTCGTTCATACGATAAGCGGCTACCAAGTACAATCAACCAAATACTTTTTGTAGCTAAACGGCACAGGTCTTTAATTTTTGACAAACAATCAGAACACGTCTGATGCGACGGCAGTTAACGGAACTATTCCAATAGTCTCAAAACTTTTCTTGACGTCCCATAAACAAGATGGCTTTGGACGGATTATGTCGGATGACGTAGACAAAGGGATGGTCGACAATAAAATCGATGGGGATCTCGATAGGCCCATGACTCGCAGATGTCCCCCATCCCATTATTAAAGCACTGGCAGCAGCCGCTTCGGTTCCTTTTTCGTCAACGTCTAAGCGATAAATAAAAGGGTCAACTGCATTCTAGCCATGTCGGTACAATTAATTTTCGTTTTTCATTAGAATCCCGGATGGATTAACAACATACTGCGTACGTAGTATAAGAAAAAGTAAATCTTTTATTTTGTTTAAAAGATTGGCATACCAATAAACGTTTTGTGGAAACCCTTCGTGATTTTCAGCCTTCGCCCACTGCTGACTGACGGACTGACGATTTCGCTTAAGTCCGCATCGTTGGTGAAAACGTCCTGCACACCAATAATCTCCAGCATGTCCTTTAAATCAAACTGGCTGTCCACTTTAAATTTTGGCAGGCGAAGTTTGACCTGTTGGCGGGATGACCTTTCGGCCAGCTCCTGCATGGCTTGCGCCGTCAGCGCTTTTTCCAGTGCGCGTAAGCCATTTTTCTGTTTCGGCAGATAGATCAGCATCGATGCTTCACGGTCCATGTACGGAATTTCCAGATACTGGATCTGCAGTCGCTCGTGATCGACGTAGTTCCATTTCGCTACCTGCCGCATCATCCGTACCGTCGCTGCTGTGCCGTCCAGTTTTGTGAATAAGGCATCAGTAGTACTGGTGGTTGCAAAGGCACTATCCCATGACGCTTTAAAGTAGATGGCATTGGCCAGGAGGGCTTGCGTCTGGCCGTCGACAGACCCCGGTGGGAGGAGGTCCTTGATTTTGCCAGCGGTATGGTTCTCCACCCAACGATTAATATCCTGACGCGCGGCATTGCTCTGGTTTTTAAAGTCTTTTTCCTGGACGTCTGCCTTTAGCTTGGTCTTTACCAAATTGGCGTAACTGATTTTCAGATTTAGCCCATTGCGAATAAAACCTGCATATAACTGCGTATATTAAATCCTTGAAAATGCTAAATTAATCAGTACACAATTTGTGCTAAATTGGCCCACGCCATTATCCAGCGCCGACTGTAGGACTACTGGTTATGCAGCCTGCATATAACTGGGCATCATGAATTTTTAAAGCACTATTCTAAGAAATAAAGTTACACATACACCGTTAGCCAGCGCCAACTGCATCGAATCGCCTTGTCGTTGCCATGACCCACCGCGTCGCGGCGATCCGGTGGGGTCCACCGATTTGTTCACAGTGTCCGAGATTTTCATGGCGTTGATTAAGCCGGCAAAAGCGTCAACGATCACATCATTTGAGGCTTGTCCATTCTTCGCGGCTTTACTGAACTCGAGCGCAGTGTAAAGATTACTCCGGGTCTTGCCCTTGGCGCCCAGAAACACCAGCATTGTACAGTACATGATGCTCAGCGGCGACACCGTTAAATTCCCGTTGGTATCTGAGCGGTGGCAGCATTGTACAGGTTCACTGACACACTGCTGATGGACGGCGTCAGATCAAACTGACCGGAAGAAGCCGGGTCGTTAGATCCCATGTCGGAGCGGATTTGTTGGGTCAGAAAACTGTTATTCGAAGTTATCCCAGATACCAGATAGTAAACGCCGACCGACACGTCTAAGAATTAAATTTAACGGCGGAAATATCAGAAACCCGAAATAATTTGACCGATATTTATAGCGGTGATGATGCTTTTTTAGGTCCCACCTTCGCGTGTACTAGTAAAATAACCGGATGTTCGTGGCAAAACTGGAAAATCTACCGGTAATTTACCAGTTGGTCGGTCGTTTAACCGCACTTATCAGCGCTTCGCATCGAAATGACTTTTGGTTTCAGGCAGCATGGATTGATTTCTGAATGACGCCCACAGTCAGTTGTCTTGAAGAAATGCAACTTTCCAAACGTACCGGTACTTCCATAGATGCACGCACAGCATCGATGTTAAATCGTCGGAATTCTTGCACCGGTGAGTAGAAACTAGAAACTGTTTGCTAGAACGTGTATTACGCACTGGAAACCTACAGATACCGTAGTCAGGATTGAAAGAACATGACTGCCGGAACATGAATACTCGCAAGTTAGCTGGAACAAGAATCAGTAACTAGTGGGTCTGTCTGTAAACGTACTTGCTGTCCTGCCGTACAAACTGCAAGTCATTCTGGATTCAGCTGTTTATCCAAAAAAAACAGCATTGCTCTGGAGTCTGGACTATTGTAACATTACAAACATTACTACTGTAACTGTCAAAATATTCACTTCTACCTCTTGTAAGTACCTCTACGGTATTTAAATAATGCAACGCCCACCGAAACACGTATGCATGTGCTCTTTATAATTAGTGCTGGATCGACCGAAATCCCTGCGAAAAGCCTGCGGTAATCGAGTCATATTTCTCGTACGGTTCCCTTATGGCCGGTAAATATTAGTGTACTGGTTGTAATTCTACGCTAATTACTAATACACAGGTTACAGGTATTACATATTTCACCACTAGGCCTGCAGATAGCGATTGTAAACTAATTAACTCCGACTGTCTTCATACAGACTGTTGCAGAAATTTTACAATTTAATGAAAGCAGATTTGGTATTAGGAAAGCTCGTAAATACAGGCAGGCAGGAAACATTTTGGCCTTCACAATCTAGTTTACGTTAAGTGCAACCTACCGCAAGCTAGAAATAATTCCTTTTCAATCTACCGTAATTTAAAAGGTTTTATAAATAGTCAAGATGAATACTCAATTTTTGTCGAAGAAACAGGACACCCTTGATGCCAAACAGTTAGCCCGATTATTACATTCCACAAATGTTTGCAAAAGAGTCAAAAATTCTCCTGACGTCCCAAAAACAGGATGGCTTTGGATGGATGATGCCGGATGGCATAGATGAAGGGATGGTAGACAACAAACTCGATGGGGATCTCGCTAGGCCCATGGCTAGCAGATGCCGCGCGTCCCACTTGCAAGGCACTCGCAGCTGCCGCTTCGGTTCCTTTTTCGTCAATGTCTAATTGTAACCAATAAATAGAAGGTTAACCACGTTCTTTCCGTGTCGGTAAAATTAATTTGCATTTTTCATTCGCAGCCCTGCTGAAATTAACTACAGGCTGCATAATTATGTTATTGATTCTTTCACTGTAAAATATAGTAAACGCTTCGGTTTTAAAAACAATAATTGACATACCAATGAACGTCTTGTGCACACCCTTCGTGACTTTCAGTCTTGGTCCATTGCTGACGATACCACTCAAGTCCGCATCATCGGTAAAGACGCCCTCCACACCGATTTTCTCCAGCAAGTCTTTCAAATCAAACTGGCTCTCCATTTTGAATTTTGGCAGTTGCAAATTCACCAATTTTCGCGATGACCTTTCCGCTAAATCCTCCATAGCCTGCGCCGTTAGCGCTTTCTCCAGTGCGCGTAAACCGTTTTTCTGTTTCGGCAGAAAGATCAGCATGGATGCTTCACGGTTTATGTACGGAATTTCCAGATACTGAAGCTGCAGCCGATCGTCATCGGCATACTTCCATTTCGCAGTTTGACGCATCATGCGTACCGTGGCTGTTGTGCCGTCCAATTTTGTGAATTCGGCATCAGTGGTTCGGGCGGTTTCAAAGGCATTGGCCCACGAGGCTTTAAAGTAGATAGCGTTGGCCAGGATAGCTTGCGTTTCACTTTTGACGGATCCTGGGGGAAGGAGGTTCTTGATTTTGCCAGCGGTATGGTTCTCCACCCAACGGTTGATATCTTGACGCGCTGCGTTGCTCTGGTTTTTGAAGTCTTTCTCCTGGACGTCTGCCTTTAGTTTCGTCCTCACTAAATTGGCGTACTCGCTTTTCAAATTTAGTCCACTGCGGATAAAAACCTGCATAAAATTGCGTTTAATAAATTTTTGAAAATGTTTAATTGATTAGTACTTCTACACAATCTGTGCTAGATATGCCTACGTCGTTGCCCAGCGCCACCTGTAGCGACCATCGCGCATACAAAACTGCACATGATGAATTGGCGATAAATGCTAAATGCGGTACATCACATGTTAATCACCGTTTTAATTATAACATGCATTGTGTAAATTAAATCAAGTTACACATACACCGTTTGCCAACGCCAACTGGAGCGAATCGCCCTGTCGTTGTCGTGAACCACCACGGCGCGGCGATCCGGTGGCTTCCGCGGATTTATTTGCATTGTCCGAAATTTTCATGGCGTTCATTAAACCGGCAAAAGCTTCGACGATCGCATCATTTGAGGCTTGTCCATTCTTCGCCGCTTTATTGAAATCCAGAGCTGTGTAAAGATTGTTGCGGGTCTGGCCCTTGGAGCCCAGAAACACCAGCATCGTACAGTACATGATGCTCAGCGGCGACACCATTAAATTCCCCGTTGGTATCTGCTCGGTGGCAGCATTGTACAGATTCACTGACACACTGCTGATGGACGGTGCTAGGTCGAACTGAGCTGGAGAAACCGGCTCGCTGTGTCCCATGTCGGAGTCAACTTAAAAGGCGAAACAGTTATTATCCGGTTAAATCAGGGATCGAGTAAATGCCCGTGCTTGAGAGCAGCATAAACATAACCACAGAAAATGCCAAGCCTGAAATATTTTACCGGTATTTATAAGTAGCTTTTAAAGATGTTTTCTCAGGGCCCACCTTCGCGTGTACTGGTTTACTAACTGGATATACTTGCCAAGATTGACAAGTTTACCGGTAACATGCCAGCTTGTCAGCGGTTTCACTGTTCTTATCACCGCTTCATATCTGGAATCTGAATGATTTTGTCTCCTGACACTGGGTTAATGACATGCATCTTCGCAGGCGCTTGCAAGTTGCAACCAGCCAGAACTAGGAAGAACAAAAGCTAAAAGTTTCGACGAGATTTTGAGCACTTTCTTGTTACCGTGCAGTAAGTATTGTCCAAACCAATACTTTCACTTCCACAACTCATTCCATTAACTTGTCACACTACTCTACGATAACGGACGCAGTTGTCATTAATGAAGTTACCGATGTTACGCTAACTTGGTTTAACCAAAGCCAGTAGACTACTGTAATACAAGCCAAGAAGCAGGCATAATATATATATAACACGGTCACGTAGCCACGCCGCTGATCATAAAAGACTTCAGACCAGACGTCTTTGATACGTAGTTCTTGGAATTTATTCCATAAGTAATAATTCGTCGTGCGAAATATGCAGACGAGCTTGCTGTACGACCTGCACAAAACGATGTGGCGAAACGGATGCAACATTAAATAAAAATCACAATTAAAAACTGGAAAGTAATACAGGATGTTTCCGAAAACGGTCTATTCACTACTACTGGCATTGTCTGTTTGCCTTGTTTCTAGTACAAATTAGCATTGCCTATCTATGTCATGACCAAATAATACGCCAAGCAGACTTGTGCAGTGATGGATCGCATCGCAAATTAAAGAATGAACACATGTCACAAGGGCATCGGAAGTTAAGCAGTTTACAAGAATATAAAATAATTAATTTTCGCGATAACTGGAAGGATAACTTATATTTTTGACTTAATCGCGATCAAACATCACAGCACAGGCCGCAAAGAGTCTTGCACAGTACTTTTAAAATGCCATCATGTGCCGTCCCCGGATGCGGTGTGGCGAACAGCTCTTATAAAGGCCCGCATAAACATTTGTTTGAATGCCCAAAGCAACCGGCAGGTATGCGTGAGCGTTGGATTCAAGCGATACCGCGGGACTGGGAGAAGCTACCACGGCCACTCCGTCTAATGGTATGCGAAGATCGCGATCGCTTTGTATCTTCCCTTATTGTCCGCTCGCGGCGTGTGCAAGTAGCCGGCACATTTGAAGATATGCCGATCAAACCTGCACTACAACCCGGCGCTGTACCATCTGTTCGGCCAACACATCCGGCATATTTATCGAGAGTGGATATCGCCTTACGTGAAGGGCCGGCACTGAAGATCCAAAAAAGAAAAAACAAAGCGCTTCTTAATGGTGTCCATCAGTGTCAGCAAAAAACTGCGGAAACTAGCATCAGTGATTATTCGCAGCTCGCGGCGGAAGTGCAGAATATGCTCATCAAAATTACAGCGGAACTGGAATACACAAATCAACATGAAACACTATCAACCTGGCATGTGAATGTGTCTCCTGGGAAAACTATAATCTATCAGTTTGACACAAGCTGCCTTGAATGCCTTCCACCGGTGATACCGCGGAGCATTATTTTTTCTGGATCACTGTTCCCAACTACATGCATAGGTACTATAGTTAACTGCAATCATTGTAAAATTCAGATATAAAATAACACTTCGATAAAATTTTAATTTACTACTTCGCTTTTCTCGTATTCCGGTCACTGTAAAATTTTAATTTACTACAGATACAGTACTTAATTCGCTTTTTCTCGTATTCCGGTCACATCAACTATACAGTTTAATATTCCTGCAGTGCGAAATACCGGTATGTGCGATCGTACCAGTAACCGGTGACCGGAATATGAAACCATTCACTCAAAGTGACCGGAATATGAAAAACAGCGAAGTACAATAAATGAGTATAAACTGAGTTAATACAAAAACTTACTGCACACTTATGGCGGTTTTTTAATAAAGGTACAAAGGTTTTTGTCGGGTCAGCGGCTGTAAACCTGTGGTCTGATCTTGCTGGACTCCTTATTTCTGTCTCCGGAACAGCTCTGATTGCCGACAAAAAAGGGCCCGGAGCATTTTACGAAGAGATTTTGCCGATGTCTGAGAGGCATGTTATTTTGTTGTCCGAGCAACTGTTGCTAAAGCGCGGTTTAACGATGTTACGCTAACTTGGTTTAACGCGGTGAGAGAAACACCGGCCAGACATGATTTCTCATTTATTTAGGGCAGCGATGAATAGTGGAGATCATCATTCTTGAACTTCACCTGCTGGACAATCACATCTTCATCCAACTTCGCCGAATTCATTATGTTCGCCAGCGTATTGCCGGCCTGTTCCTATCTCGTACCACCAACCTCTCCACTCACGCATCCGGCAATAGATGGCCTAATTCTCAGCTCGCATTGGATTACATGGTGTTAACATGCCGTTGTAGTAATTTCGTGATGCGCACTGAATTGTGTAAGTGGAAATTGTATTGCGATGTGACCTTTTATTATTTCGGAATTTGCGATAAGCAAGTGGCCAGTACCCATGCTATAGATAGCATGACTTGGAGGCACCGCGTCCTGCGTCTGAAAGGGATGCTTGCCCCTTTCGCCTTGCGAAAAACTGCACGCGCAATGGACCGACCACGGGCAGACACAGGGCAGACCAATTTCTCCCTCCTCCTGTGTCTCCTCCATTGTTTTACATCGTGTATGCGCATGACCACTACCGGACTCCGCATAGTCACTTTTGTGAGTCGGGCCCGTGCCTGTGGGAGCAGGCCATGTCGTAGAGAGCAGCGTCTTAATTACTTTTTAATTACTTTTTATGGCCCCTGCGCCCGGCTTGTGCGCCTGCTCTCTTGATCGGCGGCTTATCGCAAATCAGGTATTATTTAAGATCACCAGCCTTCCCATCCGGCCTTTTCTACTGCTAGTGTTTAAATGTTTCTACTGCTAGTGTTGCGGACTTGAACCACGTTCTTTTTCTGAAGAAGTTTATTAAAGGTCAGTCCTCACCCGTGCAACTCTTTCGCATAATGGTACGCACAGAACCGCACCGGAAGTAGCCGCATACGCATCATTTGGCCCCGAATCCGGATTCAACTCCCCGACCACGAATCAGGCGTTAGCATCGCGCAGTCGCTCGCAAACACGCTCCTTCCGGTGGCCGTGCATGTTCTGACGTTTGCACGAGACTCCGCTGCCGGGCTGAGGCTGGTCAGTTGCCCCAACAGCGCTGCCGGCGTTTCTCTGTCGTTAAGAAGTTTGAATAACAGCACAGATACACGCTGCAAGTTTTACTAAAGTTAATAAACTAAGCAGTTCTTAAAAGCTTATCTACCGTCATGCGGAAGTTGTTTGCTAGAACGCGAGGTACGAACGTTGGAAATATACGCTGAGGGTGTACCGGAAAATGCGTAATAGTAATTCAACAGTGTTTTTATTGATTTGGCATTATAGCACTTAATTACTTGTCCACTGGCCGCTGCCACCTAAACGCATAATTACGCTGCGACACAAACCACATTCTGTAATTGTTAAATAAATTACAACACTTCTTCAGCCATTATAATCCTTTTTCCAAGCAAGCACTCACAAGAAAACTCAAAACCACAGATAAGAACACAGAATTGTTTTACTCCACTAATTGAATCTATCTACGCCCCACTACACACCGCCTCCCCGAGTTATCTCCCTCATAAAAGCATACTCTCCGGTTGTTCTAAAAACTTCTTAAAATGCTGCAGCCATTGTGCGCCGACCGCGCCATCCACCACCCGATGGTCACAGCTCAGCGTCACGCTCATGACCGTCGCAATGCGATGCCTAAATAAATCAACAGGAACAATGTTATAAAATCAGAAATTATTTGAAAAAAAATTATCTCACCCTTCTTTACTCCGTTCATCGGCGACTAACTGTTTCTGTGCACCACCAACAGCCAGAATGCAGCTCTAAAATTAAAACAAAAACATGTCAACAAAATCGTATCCGTACATTTCAGCAAATTAAACTGTTCAAGAAAATAAGTTAGCAACGCTTTCCAGGATTATTCTTGGTTGGGCATAGCATACCTGGGGTGGATTTATGACAGCGGAGAAATTCTTAATGCCGAACATGCCCAAATTGGACACGGTGAAGGTGCCGCCCTGGAATTCATGGGGTTTCAGTTTGCCTTTGCGGGCTGCATCCGCCAACCGCACGACATCGGCGTTGATTTCCACCAAACCCTGCGAAAAATCTCGAATTATTTTAAAAAATATCAAAAAATTCTGTGGAAATTTTATATTCTGCGTTACATACCTTCGTGTCTGCGTTGGTAACGATGGGAGTTATCAGACCGGCATCGGTGCTGACAGCCACACTGACATCCACCATGTTATATCTGCGAATCAATGCGAAAATCAGTCTGTTGAAATAGGTCTAACGTAAAAACAAACAAATCTGAATAATAAAACGACAACAAATTTAACTGATTAAAACGACTGTCAATAATCAATAATTAATCATTACAGTTAAGCTCGCCCGATTTCTTGTCGTTGAAAGAACTTACAAAAATTCAGCTAAATGTGTGTTTTAGATTTCAGATCGTCACATTTCTCAGTCTAATACGTACTGCCGTATGAAAGTGTCCATCCATGACGAGTTAGCTTGCGGGACCTTCTTGCAGGCCAACGCCGACGCTTTGATGATGAAATCGTTAACGGATAATTTCACTTTCTCCTTCTCCAACATGGTGTTCAGTTCCTGCCTTAATCTAGCAAACCAAGAGGTGTGAAAACAATTTTTTCCAAAAATTGTCAGCCGTTAACGACTTACTCCATAATTTCATCCAAAATGATATCAACGGATAAGTAATAATGCGGTATAGTCTGCTTGGATTGTAGTAAACGTTTGGCAATGACCTGCAAAAAATGGTTGAAATTAAGCTATAACATACTAACACAACTAATCCTCGCGCACTGACTTTTACACTGTCTTGAACATCCCCATACCGGATAACTCAGCCACTTTACTACAACAGTTCGTATTCAAAACTAGTCCTCGCCACATCATATTTTGTAGTGTCTTTGGAAGGACATCAACAAATGAAATTAAACATAGAGAAAAACTGCCTGTGCACCAGAGTTATTTGATTTATAATGCTGTGCATGGCTGTATGTATGCCAAATCAAAATACTCTTAAATAGCGCTTTTTAATAGCGCTTTTTTAATCATACCTGCCGAATATTGGTCATGGGTATGTCTTGGTATGTTCCCTCTTCGACCGCAGCCCCCTTCTTGGTCGTCGCCTTCTTCGGAGCATCCTCGGCGCGGGCCGCTTTCGCGCCCGGCTGATGCTTTTCCACATCCTCGGCGACAATTCGGCCATCCGGACCGCTACCCCGAATTTCCTACACCCGATTATTTCCCATCAACGAAAATGCTTAAGCCACCAAATATCTTTAATTTCGCTATTACTTACCGACAGATCCAAGCCTTTCTGGTGCGCCAAGGATCTCGCCAGCGGACTAGCAAAGACGCGGTCCCCTTCCTTCCTCTTGGGCGCCTCGGTAGATCGCCGCTCATCGGCCTCTTCCCGGCGCTCTTCGCGCGGCTCCTTGCGCTCCTCACGCTGCTCTTTCTGCTCGTCGTCCTGTTTGGCGGGTTTCTTCTTCGACGACGCACCGGCCGCATCGGGCTTCATGTCCTTGAAGGCGGCAATGTCTTTCTTGTCCGACACAAATATCGCGACCATCTACAATAAAAAAGTTGATACTTCAAGTATTATAATTATAAGGCTTCGTGGAGAAAAAAAATAGAGCGTAGAAAACAAGATAATGCCGAACAGCCAACCAAGGTTTCCACATTCGATGATTTACCAAAAATAACCATTTAACAATACTTATTTACAGGTGAGCAGAAGATTTTTTCGTTTTATGTCGAAAATATTGAAAAATATAAACCCCAAATAATTTGCATTTAGTATTTGCACATGTGAAGCAGATGTAACAGCGAGACCAAAGCCTATACTCTACATCGCACCGCTAATTTAGACGGATGAGTGCAAGTACTGCAACTAACCGAAACGAACAATTTTTCGAACGAGCATTCGCAACAGGCATCTACCGTTTCCAAAATGCAAGTAAAAACAAAATCAATTACTTACGAAATGTATCGTTAAATAGACGAAAAAGTGCTCAGGAACTAAACCAAACGTCAAGTAATGTAAAACATAAAAGAGAGCGCAATGCAAATGCTCTCCTCGGTGCATTACCTGACCAACGGGCACATCCGGCGTCCCATCGGGGACGAAGAGCTTGGCCACGTAGACCTCCTCGGGATTCTCCCAGTTCCAGTCGATGGTCGCCTTATCCGTTTCCACCTGGGCAATCATATCGCCCTCCTTGATCACATCCCCTTCTTTCTTGCCCCACGATTTAATAGTGGACTTCTCGACGGTGGGTGAGAGCGCCGGAAGGTTGACCTTCTGATGCGGGGGTAGTTGCCCTGGTCAGCCGATGCGGAACTCTCCGATTTCTTGGTGGACTCCCGCGAGTCGGTAATCTTCCGATCTTCCCGCTCTTCCGAGGACTGTTTGGATTGAGATTTCTCGGCTGACTTGTCACTGCTGCTTTTGGCTTGCTCGGGAGTGAAGTCCTTAAACGCAGCTATATCGTCTTTGTTTGGGACGATTACACAGACAATCTGAAATAACCGAAGAAAGTTATTACGGAAGAATGTCAAACGACACACATAACTCAAAAATAATCTAATAATTACATCAAATCATGGCTCAAAAGATTCATATCATTCATCAAAATGTCAAGTAAGAGAGGAAAACAGATAAACTTATGACAGCGTTAAATAAATAAATTACTACAGCGTTCAAAAAGATTAGAAAATAATTTTCCGGAAAACGCAGTACTGTAGTAGTACTGCGTCGTTGTGATTAATTAGCATCAGAAAAAAATTGAAAATCGAATAATCTAGCAATAAAAAATCTGGTGAGCAGAATTCAAGCAAAAGAAGTGCGTGTTTATGGATATCATTAATTTGTTGCCCAAATAAACTGAGGCGTATAGAGAGAACAATATTAACTATTACAGATTATGACAGCCTGTCATTGAATATTTTTGTTTATGAAAAGCAGACCAGCGCATCATAATAAAAAAAAACAAGTAACAAAAAAACAAATCTTCAAGATTAATTCGCTTTAGCGTTGATTTGATTTCAAAGACTTCGACAGGTCGCGGTAGCAAGCCCTTATTCAACATTTCTCGACGGCAACCTGCACCATCCACGAGCAGAAGCTGACTACTTTCACAGGTTTACCTGGCCGAGGGGAATATCCTTGGTCCCTCCAGCCACGAGAATCTTGGCCAAATAGCCCTCTTCCGGCGTCTCAAAGTCCATGGTGGCCTTATCGGTCTCTATCAGCGCCAACAAATCCCCTTCGCTCAACTTATCGCCCTCTTTCTTCTCCCAGCTCTTAATACTTCCCCGCTCCATTGTGGGAGATAATGCCGGCAGCGGAACTTTTGTATGCTGTGGTAAACCTGAAACATTTTATACATTTCGTTATACATACAAACATAATAAAACGCATTACTTACAACTAGAAAAAGTCCGGTTCTAGGGTACACTGCAGTACCAACATTTTAAGTAAAATTAGCAAAAAAGGCAGAAGTAATTACCACAATTAAAAAGTGAATTAAAAGACTGCAGAATCAAAATAATTTATTATTCAGTATTTTTCGCATTAATTTTTCGCATTCTATTCAAATTATTCGGCGTTATTACAGAGTTATCGGCATTTCTCAGCAACATCAATAAAACAAAACAAATATAAATTTTTGTAAGAAATTATAAATACTCGAAAATAACCACAGCTTTCAAATTAACACGCATGACAACACTATATATAGTAAAAATCATTAAAATAAGCTGCACATAAACTAAATATTTTATGCTGACGCTAAATAAACACGATTGCATACCTCCTCCGGAAGCAAAGGAGCGAAAAAGGCGGGGACCCTTCGAATAACCACTGGTATACCACACATCCTCCGCCTGGCCGTTTTTCAGCGACAAGACACTGCAAATATTTTACAAAACATGTAAAATTCAGGGAAAAATTGTGCTCTGCAAGCACCCTTACGTTGCCCGTCGGGAAAAGGGAAGAGCTGAGTTTGTGGAGAGCCATCTGGCGTGTCGCTCCACTGACTTCTGGATATCCGATCGCGGCAGCTTCCGACACAGCATACGCGCATTTCTGGTGATTTTATACATGGTGCTTCCAGTCCGTCAAGGATGCAGATCGCTTAAAAAGAGAAGTTTCCGCCAGGATAAGCAGACGGCCAGCTGAGAAAAAGGCGAACGGCGCTTTATCTGTTATCTTCTCTCAGTTTGTCATCAGCCGTTTAGCGCTGTCGGCCCTGCAGCTGCAGAAGATAAGGGATGGTGAAGCCCACTTTTTCCGCCGATAACAAAACAGGATCAAGATAAAATATTGGATTCGAGATCAAATGGGAACAAAACGAGCAGAAGTTAACAAAATTTGCACTAATTTCCAATTTATAAATTTCCCAATTTTAACTGGAGAAAATTTGGAAACACCCGAAACAAGACAGTGGTGTGAGCCGACCCCCAATTCCATTCGGCAGCGTAATGGGGTCCGATTTTACAGACACGCAAAGGCCAAAGACGCAAGTCGCAGACTCGCAGACTCGCAGTCGCAAGTACGTACTGCGTCCTGTACTTGTAGTTGTGCCATTAATTTTGTTATTTAGTTTTTCCATAAAGTCCTTGATTTTACTTCCATGAATACTATTTAAATTTGCGATTATTTTCGTTTCTAGCCCTTTGTTGTTCTTGAAACAAAAAATGTCGGGAAACATCTCAATTCTCAAACATTAACTCAACTAAGGAAGCGCAAAACGTTACAATACGATTATACGAGTATCCCTCCCGATCGATGCATTCCATTTACAGTGGAAATGGCATGTGAGACTTTTGAAGGTGGTGTTTGTAAATGTTGGAAGTTGGAACCGAGCAAATGATGAACGGAAGCAGGAAGCAAAATTGCGAAAGTGTTATGATGTTATGATTATGATGTTATCATAATATTTTTTGATCGTTTATGTGGAATTGATAATGAAGGTTGATTTTTAATTTGCTTGCTATTAATTTTATCAGTTTTTGTCCAGGATATCAAACGGTACAAATAACAGCGGGGACCGAACGAGTTCCGTGGATTCATTCGATCGCCTGTCATAGCTTAGCTTATAGACTGCAGAGACAGAGAGCCGCACCACACACTGCAGTTTCTCAAACGTGCGATTCGATTGTTGGTTATTTTTTGAAATCTCTTTAACCGTTTTCTGGACTCTTTGAAAGTGGAGCATCCTTAATCCTTACCATGCATCCGTTGTGTCGAAGGCTGCTGTATGCCGAGAATGGAATCGTTTCGATAGCTCGAAGGTGCGCTGTTTTCAAAATTTCAGTATACTCACTATACTGCATACACTATGCAGTGTGTTTGATGATTCTGTTAAGTCACTGCTGCTTTCTGAACGGAAATGTTTTTTATACTAATGGACTTCATTTGATACAGGACCGCGCGGACATTATCTAAGCCTCCCCGCATCACCAGCGTCAAGCAGGTGGTCACTCCGGGTCCGGAATTCCAAGGGAATCCGGGAAGACTCTTGGGGACCACGGGATTCTGCATTGCGGTACTTGTCTCTTATTCTCGCCAATTTCTTCGAATTCTCACGGTTTCTGAACAATTCCTTAGGTTAGTGGCGCCACATTTGTAGGTTGTGTTATTTGGAATTATGAAAAAGTGCGAAAGAGTTTAAAGGAGAAGATTGCGGGATTGCTTCCCTCTTTATCATCCAAAAACAACGAAAGTATTACAGAAAAGGTAGGAAAGAGTTTTAAAACTAATTTGTTTATTAATTATGTTTGATAATATTTTTCTATTTCGTTATAGTGTTTGTTTTTGTATGGATGTACGTATTTTTGGTATGTCGGTAAACAGTTGGCGTTTGCAGATAAAATCATTCTGGAGAGAACAGAACCATGGGAAAAAGCTGATTTTAACGATAATAACATTAAACTGCATCGTGTTTATGATGTGGCAAGTGCGGAGTCTGCAGCCGTTCATGACTAAATATTTCCTGTCCGATCCTAAAGCCCGACAATTAGGAGTGCCCATGTTTTTGTCCATGTTCAGCCAGATTGCGCCGTTTCATCTGCTGTGCAATATGTATGTACTCTGGAGCTTCTCCGACGCGGTTATGCACATGTTCGGACAGGAGCAGTTCCTTTTCTTCTACATCTCTGCAGGTAAAATACGTATGCCGAATAGTATGTACCTGTTCCCACTTCATAGTATTTCTCTTGTTTAATTTGACTGTGTATTTATCTAACTTCTCTAATGCGTATTTTGTTACTCTACATACCGAAACTTGGTAAATGATAAATTTTTAGATGTTATCTGACATTTTATCCGTTTACGGGACCTCTTGAATTGCAAATTCACATGCTTATTACTATTTTGGATAGTGTGGCGCTTCTTTTGAATGATGTATTCAGGTTGTTTTGATAATGTTTTTTTTTCTTTTGAATTTTTAATTTTATTAAAAGAGTTTTATATCTGTGTTAATTTTCATGCTTTACAGGTTTGTTTAGCGGTCTCTTTAGCCTAACAAACAAGATGTTCCGCGGCATACCGCAGCCCTCGTTGGGCGCATCCGGCGCCATTATTGCCGCGCTGGCAGCCGTGTGCACCGCCTTTCCCGACTCCAGACTGTCGATAATATTCCTGCCCATGTATACCTTCAGCGCGGACAGTGCCGTGAAGGCCCTCCTTCTTTTTGAAACACTGGGTGTCCTGTTAAAGTGGAGATTCTTCGATCACGCTGCTCATCTGGCTGGCATTCTTTTCGGAATGTGAGTGTTCTGGTGTATGATGTTGAGCATTTAACCGTACTTATTCTGTTGAAATTAATACTCGTACTGATTTTGATATTTAACTGAAAAGTTGGGAGCGGTTGATTGGATTCTTCAGGTGTTCGAGTACCTTTTTTCGGTGCACGTTTTAATTCGTTAATGAATGATACTTACAGCTTACAAGTTAACCGATACAAAATGATGCACAATTATCACACACACAAGGATATAACAATTTTTGTTGGTGTTTATGATGTAAACTATTTTATTTTTGAAGTGTATTTGTTAAATTTTACTCGTACAACGGACGTATGCATTTATGTTTGCATAATATCGTAATTAAATTTAAGCGTGTAGTAATGTTGCAGATGGTATGTGAAGTACGGCCATAAAATCACCTGGGCCAAACGGGAAGGCGTGCTGCAGTTGTGGCATCGTGTTCGTGGATAAAATTTGGAGGAAATCAGAAAACATAACTCTCGCACATCGATGCAGACGAAGATGGATATTATTGTGATCATCCCATGTCACTTTGGGTGGGTTTTTTGTTAATCAAGAGGAGCCCGGTTAACCTTGGAGACTGGAATTACTTGATTTATCGAAACTTTACTGCAATTGTAATTTCTGATTTTTGCTCCAGATGTCTTTTGAGTACGTTCAACGTTGGTTGTTTTCGGAATTAATTAAGTAACTGAAATAAAGTGGTGCTGCAGTCTGCGAAGAATTGAAACCGCCGTTTTTATAGCGACAGTGTTTTACGATCGGTTTTGAAAAAGATAATGCTTATTACTCACAATTTTCACATCCAGATTGATTTAACGAAAACGTGACAAAATTAAACGGAATAATTGCCGTTGAATGATTGTAAAATTGGTATGTACGGGCAGTACCGCCCAGTTTCATGATTTGTACAGCGGCAAGATTTGCAATGCGTTATATACGTAGGTACGGAGGCCTTATCAATATTATTGAATTACAAATTATGCAATAGTAGTTCGCCACCAATACAAACAAACCGAATCTTATCGCGTTTTATCAGTCCGGTACTGATTGGTAGCACTTCCTCATTCAACTTTGTGTTGTGAACCAGACCACACACAGTTAGGCGCAACAAACCCCAGAATAATTTTTTCGGAATTTATTCACATCGCCTTATTGGGATAACTAATTCAGATTTCCTAAAAACAGAATTCTGCAGTCGGCAGACACACGTGTACGATCTTCGGTGTAAAGTTATCAGCTATTAATTTTTAAATCCGCGCTCGTACAGCAAGCACAGATACGACTCGTACGAGTACATCAACCGTCCACAGCTGCACGAGATCGACGCCCAGCAACCACCGCGCCACAATCTTGGCACGACATCAGTGAATTTTGATTATTCCGAGTCGGGATTTTCTGACTGTTTCTTCAGGTTTTTTGGTTCACTGACGGGTTCGTCTTGCTCTTCCCTGGTTATCGCATATTTTTTCCTTTTTGTACCGTTATCATGCGAATCTACGTGGGCAATCTACCAAACGGGTATCGGCTGTCAGAGTTGATTGAGCTGTTTGAGAATTACGGGTGTGTATCGCGGGCGACGGCCATTCGGGATTTCGCCTTCCTGGCCATCTACGACCGCGACACGGCGCTCAACGCCATCAACGGCCTGAATAACTGCCGTTTTGGCAATAACGACATTATTGTGGAACCAGCGCGCTTCATCCGCAATCGTTTCCCTGGCTATCGGGGAAATAGTGGACGCTATTATGCTAATCAGAGCGCAGGCGGTAGTGAAGCACAGGATGCCTATTACGCGCAACAGGGAGACGCGGGCACCGGCACTAATGAGCATGCACAACAGGCAGAGCAGGGTGCTGTGAGTTACCAAGGGGACAACCAGAACGGTAAGGCGTCTCTAGCCATTTTTCAGGGTTTCTTTGCAGTTTTCTAAGGCGGAAGAGCTGGCGCACTTGCACGATAAAGTGATACGGTGATACGTCACGAAGGCAGACGGTGGTAGCTGATATCATGCTAGATAGAAGGGCGACGATCAGAATAGTCTTCGGTCAAGGCTTTTTTTGACTTATTTTTCCGCTTGATTTTAGTACAGTAACTGTCCCTTGTTCCATGCGATAAAGTGCAGAGTGGCCAGAATAGAAAAATTGTTGGCATTAAGACTCGTATTGTACCTTCCTGTAAACAGTATACGTAAGTTTTGCCAACAAACTACGAATTTGCAAAATTAAATGAATTAATTTTGCCAGAATTAACAATCATCCAAGTTTATTTGCAACTTTGATAGACTCGCCGATGAATGACTGCTGAACATATACGGGCAGCTAATATCATTAATTTTTCTAATAAGTAGTGTAATAGGTATTAATTATAAAAAATGTTGTGCAGGCCATTTAATTGATTCTTCGACTGTACACAGCACACAGTATATGCTTGTACTTAAAATTTAATTATATTTGTATGTTTAATTTGGAAATTAGTAAAATTTGATTGATTAATTAATTGTTGTAGTAAAGATAAATGAAAATACTAACGTCATCAATAAGCAGACGTAGTTAGGCATTCGGTATCCGTACCGTTTTTTAGAATAATGTGGATAACTATAATATTATTATTTATGTATTTAATTCTCCAGTTTTGACTAATCAAGTTTAATCGTAGTTAACTATAACCCCAACTATAACAACAACCAGCAGTACGACGAATCCCAGGCCCCGGGCAACCAGCAAGCTCCTGCCCGTGGCCGTGGACGCGGGCGCGGCCGTGGTCAGACCTTCCGGCGCAGCAGCCGCAACTACAACCAGCCGGCGGCAGCAGCGGGCAACACCCAACCCCAGGACCCTTCCCACGCGCCCGCCACCGTCCCTACCGAACCGGCCAACCAGGACGCTCAGACCGCACCCGGAGAAGGGACACCGACCGGTCGCGGACGGGGCCGTGGCCGCGGAGGGCGTCGGGGCGGACGCGGACGTCGGGGACGCGGCGGCCATCCGGATGAGCGTCGCGACAGCACCGCCAACCAGTCGGCTCCCCCCGGGAATGTCAGTACGGAGCCGGCCGCCACGGGAGCAGCGGGAGGGAGTGCCCAGCGACCGGCGGATGTGGCAGCGAGTATCGGCGGCGCCGGGGATGGCGTGCAGCAGCCGGGGGCGGCGGCGTTGAATGTCGTCGGGAAGGCGGTGACACCGGTGGAGAAGGCCGGCTCGAGTGCCGGTGGTGGTGGTGATGCAGTAGTACCTGTGACGGCGGCTTGTTAAGAATATTAGATATTTATTAGTTAGTTAACTAGCAGATGATGGCATTTGTTTTGTATGTTGATAACGGAGTAACCAAAAATCCCTGCCTTTATTTTTTTCCCTTCATGTTTGATGATTTTTTCTAATTCTGCATTTTCTGTTTTTACCTTCGTATCATATTTTCATGTCTGTTGTACATCTTACTAGATTTCTTCCTCCTCTTTCTAATTACCCCGCTGCTGTAGGTCTAAATAAACACGGGTAAAATTTGTTTTGGATCTCCGCCACTGATTCAGAAACGCAGATGTACACGGAATACGCACGCTTGCATCGCTACACGTACTTACGTATTCAACTTTGATTATCTATGATTAAATTAGCTATGATTATCATTTTTTTAGTTTACACAATTATATGGTGTGCACTGTGCAGTAGTTAGTAGTTAACAATAAACGCCTAGAATACACTCTATATATTGCTCATAGGTACTTACATATTACACGACTGGTGGTCAACAATTTAATGGAATTATGATTTTATCGTATACATACTAACAATACAATAATACATAGTAGCTAGCCACTAGTAATTTAATATGAATACATAAACGATTTACACTTGCATGATGGCAATAAAAATGTTGTTTATACTTTATAGTCACTTGTAAATACCGCTTTGATAGTGCACAATGGGGACAGCACAGTGATATGCTGTATTGTACGTGAGTAGTAAACAAATTAATACGAGATGATATACTCAAATACACATATTTATTTGTTAATCATAATAATAAAAACTCTTTGAAATATATAAGCACAATGGAGAACTTCTGTAATAGTTGTACGTCAAGTAGTTAGCATAAACTTCCGGTTAAAGGTTGATGGATATTTCCTGTGACAATTCACACACAATCTCCATGTACACGCTTTCTATAGAGTCTTCCCAATGCATAATAATGCCGGCATTGACTGACCACCCTCGATGGCGAAGTACATAATCCGCGATAACAAATGACACCTATCCCCGATTATAGGTTGCTGACATAGCTCCCACGTTACTCACCCGCATCCTCCGCCGGCCTAATCCCCGCCATTCCCTTCCCATAAAACTGAATCTGCGTGTAAAGTTGATCAATTGGAGCATGTAATAAAGGCCTTCCTGTTGTCCCTAATCCTGCCGTCGTACACGTGCCGGTGTGCCGGTTGCGGCCGGCGCGGTATACCCGGCAACACGCCAGCGCTATCCACTGCAATTGATAGCATGCTGCGTCGCGGCAAGTGATCCGTCAATGTTTGTCAACCAAAGGTTATGTGTCCGGTACATCATAATTTAATAATAGTTTGAGAAAAAAAAATATCCAACAGACTGTTCTGTGGACATAGACAGCTGTAGGAACAAACAAATAACAATACCTTTCCTTAACATTTAAAAGGGATGATGGAACCGATCGACAAGAGAAATAATTATTCAGTGACAAAAACTATCGATACGCAATATTACTGTACTGTCGAATAATTTTAAGTTGCAGTATACTGACGATGATTTATGGACTTGTGGATTACAGAGATTTGTAGTGTACTGGCTAAATTCTTCGACGACTGGAATGGGCCATATCTTGAATTTGTCATACTGGTACGAATATTTATATAGTAAAGGCTGTAAAGCTGAGCGCGAACGTTAAGCGAGCAACTGAAAGTTTTGGATTTCCCATAACAGTCATTTTTTAGTCTCTATCGGTTTGTCAGTTGCCATAATAATTTAAAGTCATGTTAAATTAAATACAGCACAATAATTCATTACTTTCTAATTTTAATAAGCAGAGCTAGTTCATGAGATACGACGTACATACGGAGTACAAAAACACATAATAATATTACAGTACTTGCAATATTAGTCATATTATGGACATTCACCTGCAGCATTACGATCTAAATCTGGCGGGGCAATTTTTTATTTTATTAGCCGTATAATTTTATCTGTACATGCTGTCACAACACTTCGCTTATTTTTCCATAAAATATTTATACATGCAAACAAAAATTTATCTTGGCCATAAAATTCTGTATATGGATGGGTCTGATCATCATGGTTACATTAAATTATACGATAACAGTATATTTATATGAATTTGTACCGGAAGCCGGGAAGCGTCCGCTCACGTGCGGCGGGATGAATTGGTGTATTATTCCATAATATGTTAGAGCAGCGGAAGGGCTATTAATCGACTGAAGTGCTCCCACAAACTATGATGGATGCGTCGCCGTGGTCAGCACACGGCGGCACTGTGCGGGCATTGGTGGGACAGCGTCTTTGATGGGTTAATCAAATGACAGCATAACAATCGTTCGGGTAAAAGACGACAACGTCCGCTAGCCCGTGGGTCGGTTGACAATGGAAATTAATCATCACGTAACAAGGGAGGAATTTGTGCGTGATTCGTCCCGTGGACGCCGCTCCCGCTGCCGACACAATGGGGCACGCGCGTACAGGAATGCCGGAGCCGGTCATGCGTTGGATCGTAATTTTAAAATTAGGTAAATTTCCCGGCCTTAATCGTTCTGCTGTGCACGTTACCATGAAGCTCGCACTTTTGTTGTGTTATCAGACTTATTAAGTTCTAGAAACATACAGATATACAGCGAGTACATAGCAGCGGAAAACTAATAGAAGTTATTAAAATGCGGGAAATCATTCAAAATTTATACGTTACGCGTAAATAACATCGCGACCATCAGCATAAAATTATGACGAACACAACAGTGACCTTGGGAGTGATACCACAAAATGTTTTTTCAATGAAAATCTGCAGTTTACAAAGAAGAGTTGATTGACTAAATAATATATAGACTAAACCGAGAACTAATAGATAATATCATCATTAATATGGACTAAACCGGGAACCGTACGCAACTGACGACGATAATGACGTCGACAATGACCGATATTGTTAATTTCTTGAAACTGACCTTCTAGATCTGTAATGCATGAAACCGGCGAATTACCTATATACGAGTACAAGAACCTGTGCTGCATACGTCTTTATTCATGTAAAGTAAAAGTGTATACAGTATAGATAATTTTATTATCCTCAACTTAGCAATTTGTATACTGTGCAGTATCGTAATAAGATTTGTACAAATGTACATATATTTATATATAATAAAAAATAAAAAAGCTTATTTACATTTGCGTGTCTAATGTATTGTACATACCGAATTACAGATTAAAAAAGCGCAAGCTTGTGCTTGTGTTCTGCATCAATTGTGTATCTATAGTACTACAGTTGTATTTTCTGATCGAATTTCACGATATTGTCAGAATTGTAAACGTACGGTACTCAGTACTGTACTGTACCTTGGTATGCCGTTGCCGCTGCTGTAATTGTACAAGTACAGATATTTAATTTTACAATCAATATCTGTTTATTAGCAATTGTGAGAAGCAAAACAATAATGGACGAAGAGGCGCTCGTTTTCAGCCTCGTTTTTTATAGGCAAAACCTTCCGCAATTTTGTTTTGTACAGTATAGGCACGTTTTGCCTGTTAAATAAACGAAAACACAAAAACATCGAGTATTTGCTGTTTTTTTTTCTTTTTTCATGAAAATTATCCACAATTATGACTTTTGCAAACCGTTACTAACTTACTAATGCCTTCCAAAAGGCACCAACGGGCTTGTTCGGTTGGTTGGATTACTTGGATAGCATAGCTGACCTTAACAGGTTGGCTTTCTCAGCCGTTGCACTTTGCTGCTGTTAGCATCATATTGTACACTGCTAATTGTAAAATGTAAATATCGCCTTCCGGCTTTCGATGTGGCAGAATCGTAAAATACATAGAACGGTTTTCGCCCTGATTATTTGGAATTTATTATTCTCATGTGCCACTGTGCTAAGACCTTAAAATTATCTGAAATGGAAGAAAAATTATGCTACGCTGAAAGTACTAAAAATTATAATATTATGACCTTAAAAATACTGTAAATGATAAATAAAAATCTTCCATTTTCTGTTTCTTTTTTACTATCTTCGACTTGCCCGGTCAATCTCCGCTGTTTGTTTACTTATGTGCAATAAAGTAATAAACCCCTCTGGACAGTGGCTACAAAGAGTTTCGCGGGTGACTCATCGACTGTCCAGTGCAAAACGGCTGACGTCATCGTCACCACTTGTTTGCTTTGCAACGCTCAATTGGCTGGCTGTCCAGTACGCCCGCCCTACAACCAGCCCCGTTCTGAAATATTTTGCCCTCTCTTTGAATCCGACGCACTGGCGACTCTGGCCTTCACTGCAGTCTACACTGGCCTGCACTTTCCTCTCATCCCTCATGAGATTGCATCGTGTAATTTTGATCTGCACTTAACATCTCTCGGAACAAACTCACTCTTCGCCCGAAAGTGCCCTATAAAAGGAAGTTTATTCGACAGTTGATATCCGTTTATGGATGTGCTCGTCATTTTTACATAATCATCCACTCGGAAGTGGGGTTTCACGCAGCCACTTGATTATTGCGTGAATCATTAGCTCGCTGTACCCGGTCTGTATTGTTTCAATGATGGCACATACGGAGATCAATACCTTGCGCCGTATTATGTTCTCCAGTTGGAACAGGTGCCTGGAGCCTGTTGGATGAATCCGCGTTTGCTTTTAATCTGCCTTGATTCCTCGTGATTTATTCTGAATGGTAAGGTTTGAAAATGTTCAGTGCAGTGTAAATTTAATTACATGCACCTGATGATGGCACTTTTGAGGGATACTTCACAGTCAAGTGGATTAATGACAGGCTTTAGTGGCGCAGCAAACGACGAGTTTTTCGAGAGCAGGTGGCTGATAGACCTTGTAATAGATTAATTATGGCTTTGACTAATTGAAATCTGTTCTGTTAATTAATGTTTCTAATGCGCTTTTATGTTCGACTCATTAATAAACTTAATCATTATTGGCTTCATTAGCATCTGTTTGCCGTCAGAACATCGGATCCGTGATTTATGACGCGTGTTCGTGTTTGCTTCTGTTGTCTCCCTGTACCGATTACGTGATTTCTGCACGGAGTACAGCATCTGTCTACGTTGCATGTGATTTAGGAATTTCAATGAAATCTGTATTTGTTTGTGTTTTCCGTTTGGCCATGGTCCAGCATCATTTCGCTCATTGACCTAATTTTCGTCACTGATAAAGGATTTAATTGCTTTTAAAATTCGCAGTAGTCGGTATGCTAAATTTCCGCTTCCATTTAGCACACGTGATAAGCGATTTAACTCAAAGATTTGAAGATTTCATGGCCGATTGCTTTCGAAGGGTTTGGCTAATATTTACAGCTATCAGCAAAAATCGAGAATAGCCACGGATTTCATTAACTGGCTGTTTTGAATAATGCATGGCCTAAATTTTTCTTATTCAAATTTAAAGCGCCATTTATCATTTGTTCGCTATCTGATTTTTCATCGTTTGTAACGCGACGAAATTCAAGACAGCCAATTTCCTCGTATTTTCCTTTATTCCGTTTTTTTGACAGCTCTGAGTAAATCAAAATAAATTCTCCTCTCCTGGATATAATTTTTTATTTGAGATTCCTTGGAATTGAAAATTTGTGAATTAATTTATTGCAGTTATATCGGTTACGTGTCAAAATTTACAGAAGTCAGCAAACTTGATTGGAATCATCAGATAAAACAGTAACACTGCAGATCGAAAAAACACTGACCGACCACTGATTTACTTCCTTGCAGCGTGTGACTGATAAACATTTGACTCCGTTTCGCTATGGCCGATGATGACCCGGCACCTTCGTCCTCCCTACCGTTGACCCCCTACACTGCCCCGTCCTTCCGCTCCTGCGTCCTGCCCTCCGACGATTCCGGCTACCGTACCGCGCAGTGTTCCACATCGCAGGCGTTTGTCATTGGGGATGAGGATGATCTAGTGGATCAGGTGAATTTCAGCGATCTGGACATGGAGGACGAAGTGTTCGACAACGAGGAGGACGAGGAGGAAGGCCCGAGCGTGGAGCGTCCCTTGTCCGTGGCCAGCAGTGTGGTGTGCATGCGTAACCGGGCCTTCAGTTTCCCCTTGACGCTGGCGGATGTGCGCTTCCCGCTGACCATTCCTGTTCCCGAGGAGATACGCCACCGGGCTGGTTCCGGGATGATGGTGGATTTTGAACGGCTGCTGCGCAGTTCGTCGCGGTTGACGTTGGAGAATGGACTGAACGGTAAGGAAATACTGTATTAATTTTCTAGAATTAATGGTCGTTGTGGTCAGTTCATTTTAATTTTTTAATCAGTTAAGTTTAATTAATACGGGAATTATTGGCTACTTTTTGTCGTGACAAGAAAATACTTTTTTTGCAGTAATGAGTAGGTTTTAAAAAAATTTTCTGTCATAATCTGAAAATACTGCAAGTCGTTTTTTAGACTTATATCGACCACTTATCATAATTAAGCTATCAGATGGGCAAGAAGGTACTGTTTAAATTTTTTGCGAATTTTCCATGATGGTTTTTTTGGCCATAATTTGTACACAACTGTTACATTCTGATGACTGATTGCTTTTGAAGTAAAAGTAGGGAAACTGTGGTCCTGTTTGGCTTCTGTTTTTTTGTGCCTCTTTTTTATGGAGTAAAACAACAAAAAAGCCGGACAGATTTGTTAACACATGTAACATGTGAGCGTAATGCAAAACATTTCACTCGTCGTCGGCTTCCTATTGGCCTGCTTTTTTGTAGTATCAGCTGTACTGTGCGCTAACTTATGAAATTTCTCTACCAAATGGTGATGTCACTGTTGACAGAATTTTGGCGGATTCTTTCTTTTCACAGTCAGTAGCCGGGTCGCCGCTGGCTTGTTTAATCTTTAAGCATGGCGTGGCTTGCTTTCGAGGCTCGTTATTCTGTGATTGCAAGTTAAAAAGTCGCCTGATAAATTGTATAATATTTCTTACAATTTTATGAAATTTGTTGAAAAATTCTGAAGATGGGAATTTAATAACAATTTGTTAAAAATTATTCAACATCATAATAATATTGGAAACTGGAATTGCTTTACAGAGTCTATAGACTACATACCGGAAGCTGTGTTTAGTGGATTACTATATTGATGGTTTTACTAAGCGGCAACGCAGCCACGCGTTTATGCTTTTCTTTCTAATTTGCGGTGTTTCCATATGAAAAACTGATTTCATTTTGTGGTTTCTGCGGAGCCATTTCAGGAAATTGTCACGCTCGTGTTAAAATCGCACTTGTGCTAGAGTTTGTGATGTCATTGAGGCGGTAAAAAGCCGGGTTTGTTGCTTAATCAACCACCGCGACAGTATTGTTCGACTGCTTGAGAGGGTTGTGTTAATTAAGCTTTGCCTGCTAATTGTTTGCTGGATGATTTATTTCCTTGTCTAAGATCTTTTGTCTTTTTGTTAGTGGACTGAGTCCACTGGCATTGTAAGATGGACGCTCAGTGAGATCATAATCCGTTCCCTGTTTTTGCATCTTTGATGAGTCAGAGAATCACTGCAAAGATTTATTTTTCGCTTGTTGTTTGTCAATGAATGTGTGTGGTGTGCGTGCCTGCACAGTTTCGATTATATTTCGGGTTCTACTTTTGTCATTAGTACTCAAATCCCACCTGCTAGTTAATGTAAGCCGCAGACGCAAATGACTTAGGAAAATTTCAGAAATTTGCTGCTCGTTTTTGCTGTAATCAGGTGGTGTTAAAGGTCAGCAGTATTTATGATACCGGCTGCTTCATTAAATCCTCTTCTGCTTCAGTTGAATAGCTAGACGTATTGAACTTATTTGCATTAATACATCTTTCTGGCAGATATTGATAATTTACTGACAATTGAAAATAGGATTGAATAAGTGAACTGGTCATAAAAAGATTGGCTTGATTTGTTGGCACTTGGTAGTTTAGTTTAGACTGTCAGATTATATTCATGTGGTGCGGAGAGAAATTAATTAACATCCAGCACGGAGACGATTTAAAACCGACGCGTGCAAATTTTAAATTGTGGCTTCTTGGAGGCTGACCAGAGCGAGCAGGTCTATTGTTTGTGCACGTGCAGTGTTCAAATTACAAAATCAACCAACTTGGAGGGGCTCCACTTGGTCGCAACTGCAGCCGATCATCGACAAATACATATTAACTATTTGATTAATCCCTATCCTCGGCAAACACCGTAAATGCATTAAACATCAACAGTTGACAAAATCGTCTCGTTATCGCGGAAATTAGTCCACTTTCCAGTGGAAGAGAGAGAGAGAGAGCATTCCATTTTTCCAAAAAGTGGTTTCGTTTTTCCGACAATATTAGTTTATTTTTTGCTTTACAGTACCATTTACGATTGTTTATAATATAAAAATGTATGGTAAATACAACTCATAACACTGTAATTTTAAAATTTAAACTCGAAAGTGAAAACGAAAGCAGAAATAATTTGACTGAAATTTTTTTAAGTTAATTAACTAATTTAACATTATATTAAAAAATGGATTCAGGCAGTGTATTATTCAGTATTTCTCGTTTTATGGCCAGCTTGGTAGTGCTTTTGGGTAGCTTGTTTGCGTTGAAATATTAACCGAAATCAGATGGTCTATCTTGTCCACTTGGCCGGTTTGCGTGTCTGCTTATGTAACAGACGGCGGATAAGTGAGGAGAGAATCCGGAAAATTGGCAAATTATGAAATGTGATCGCCGCATAACAGCTGGATAAAAGTGTTGCTATTTGGGCGATGATCCGCGTTGGACGATCAACTGATGGGTCCAAATTGTTGCCAGCACCTGTTTAGTATGCATGCGAAGAGGTCTGACTGAAATAATTTCCAGTTCATAATAGAGCCTTTTTAAAACGGTCCGGCACTGGTTCATAAGTGCGTTAGATGATTTTCAATAAGCCACTGCTCTATGTTCAACAGGGGACGAACAGGCCGGCTAAACTGTTTTCGTAACGCCATATATCTTTGCACCTGATCGCTTACGCACTTGCTGCGCACTGAGCATCAGGGATTTGGTATCAAATATCAGCGGAAACGTGTACACACATTCACAAATTTGTCAGGATACGCGTTAGTTAATAATTGTTTATTTAGGCTGTTCCAGCACTGAAGAATAAGTGCTCCAACTGAAGAGTAGAACAAATAATACTATGCCAATTAAAATTCGAAAATTTTATGATTTTTAAATTATTCAATGTGGAAAAATACAGAATATTAACCGGAACGTATTTTTCAGCATTTGCATTTAACTGGAAGGTTGAGAAATTTATTCCGATGTTTTATTAACAGGAGGTTGCAAAACGGTTATTTGATCGGTTTCGGTGGCGTAAAAATGTAATTTTCGAGTTTATTGCTGTCTGCGTACAACAGTATGTACTGTAATTTCATGAGCGATTTTTATTTTTAACCGTGAAGTTGTAATGTGCATTTTACAACTTTTGAGTGCATAAAGCGCATAATAAACAGTAATTTTTGTAATGCCGGCGGTCTTGTCTTCCCGCCCGTCAGTCCAAGCTGTCCAGCACGAGCAAATGATTACCAGCTGTTTTTACTCTGAAAACCGGCTGGAAAGTATATACACATTTTGCAAAACTCTTTAAAAATGGGCAACGCCAAGCGATGAAACGGAGTCAGAAGAGGAGAGAGCAGAGCGGTGGTTAGCAACATGTTTGCACACTATTTGGCCAAACAGGTTGGAGGAGAAACGGTTCAATATAAAAGTCGTTTTTGAAGTTTTCCTGGGCGCTTTTTGATAATCGGATCGGGTTTTTGTTCCGACAGGCGCCAAGTGTCAGCCACGTGCGGTCGATCGGCCGCCCTCCGGTGATATTTGTGTGTTTAATAGCTCATTGTTACCGATTTTCAAGCTCAGGTGGAAACTGGTTGCAATTGCCGGGTATTGTGGCGGAGGAGGAATTATTCATATCAAATTTTAAAAGTGAAGAAAAAGAAAAATTTTGTGATTTAGATGCAGAATTTATGATAAGAAATTAAGAAGGAAAATGAATATGATAAATTATGCCACGATACATTCATCTAATTAACAAAGAGCGCATAATCTATAAAGCAGTTCATTTCCAAGAGAAAGGGCAACAATAATCTAAGCCAGATTTTGCTTTTTAAAATGCTTTGCTATTGATAATACTCTTATAATCGTTAAAAATTTCAACGTTTTTCCGCATTTCTGCTTGCCGGGTAGCAGTTGCATCTAACTGCGTTTAGTAAGACCAGTAAAACTTAAAGGTTATTCCGTTATTCGTATGGTTTTAAATCTGTGCTTTCCTAACCTCATCATTAGAAATTAGAATCTATACTCGTAGTGTGGCTGTTTCATTGGTACATTAATTTTGGCATGTTTAGGAGAGCCATCCAGTCGCTCACCATCCGTGCATTGCTGGCAAAACAGGGATGATGTGGATGAGGTGGATCGGTCGGTGTCGCCCGCTGGCCGGCGTCCTAACCTGCCTGACCTAGTTTTATCCGGTGAACGTCGCAAGCTTCCTCTTGCAGCAGCGAATGTGCCCAAAGATGCCCCGTCCAGCTGCGATTTGGACACTATAGAGTATCAGCTGGCTTGCTGTCTGGCCCGCCTGGGAGATGACTTCGAGAGCAAATATTTTACGCCGGTACGTATTAATTAAACGTATATTTTTTGTTTAGAAATGCGTCGTTTTTAAATTAACTGATTTGTTTTTGAAAATTATTTGGTTTATTTTTTGGAAATTGTTTGGTTTATTTTTGGAACTTTTTATCTGACATATTTAGGAAGAATTACACGTCGAAGAAATATTACCGCGCTCCAAAATATACTTTCTACATTTATTTTCGGCTCGAAGTCTTTTCTGTCTCTATTTACGTGCTTAGTCGTGGTACTGTTTGCCTGTGAAATTTTTTAAAATAATATTTAATGTTATAAGTCAGCTATATCTTTGAAAAACACGAATTTTACAGCGAGAATTGTAAATTGGTTGATACCCAGGATCGAGAGGATGGGATTTTTGAACGAATATATTGCACGTTTGCTGAGAACGAAAAGCTAAATTGTTAGCGAGATGATAATTCGCAACAGTAACGGCTTCTGATGCCTGTTTCATGCTATTTGCACTGTTATCGGAAGCATGAATATTGGTTTCGTATGAGTGATTTTATAGCTTGTTGATCAACTGCCGTGTAGTATGTTTGTAATAATATTTCATAAGACTTTTGATTATCACATCATTTGCCAATAAGCGCACACCGCCGCACATACAGCCGGCTGCTTTCTAACGTCAAGAACGCAGCAGTCCATAACCGTTTTATATACCGATTTCCACTTTCCACACCGTCAGCCTTGTTACAGTTCCGCTTGGGCTCTCAACTGCGTTTCGAGCTAGTGTATCCAGATTAATAAGTAAATCTTTGGGCGGAGTAGAAAGCTTTACTTTATACTTTTCCAACAAAAAATGGGGAATTCTGTTGGGCTAATTTTCTTGAATTTTTGTAAAATAGGATTTTCGAGTCGGTTTAACGGTACAGCATTATGCTTTTTTGTTTTTCAGTTTTTTTTGAAACTTTTTAAACATTGGGGCATACAAAATAAGTTACGTGTGCAAAATTCCTTAATATCTTTTCGCATCATTTATGTATTAATTTTCAGTATTGTGAATGATTATCGAGCACTTTCGTTAATTAATATTGCACTGATGATGTGATCGTGTCATACCATTAATCGTCATCACAAAGGGAAGATGGTCCATTTCCGGTTACGAGAAATTACGAAATTGTTAATTTACAAGTGATCTATTCATCCCAGGAAGAATCCCGTTGCTAATATAAATGATTTTTCCGGCATTTTAATTAGATTTTCCTCTTGTATGCATTGTTGACGTGCTGCACCGCGGGTCACACTGCATTATTTCCGCTATGTTTATTCACAGTTTCCCCCCGCATTAATCACCATCCGATTTTCCGAAGTTGGCACTTTGGCGGTAATTATGCCCATGATTTATGGTAGTGATGCGCGGTCGGGTTAATGTTGCGCAACCGGTGGAATCGCCGCTAATTTGATTTATGCGATTAATCGCGCTCCGTTTCGCACGTGTCAATACGCCGCAATCGGATGGCGTTGAAAATTAATGTTCCATAGTTGTTTTTGATCATAATGTGAATAAAATATTTCGAAATTTTATTTAAATATTTCCTGATTAATGCAGGGGAAAAACAAATATTTTTACGGTTTTAAAAAAATAATTTGCATTTTTAATTAAATTTTTTTAACATTTCCTTATTAATGCAGAAGACAAATAAATATTTTAACGGTCATAAAAAGTTTTTATTTTAATGTGCTGAACATTTCCTTATTAATGCAGGAGATAAATAAATATTTTTTACGTTTTTTGTACATTTAATTTGATTATACCTACTATTGAAATGAGATAAAAACATCTAATAAACTGATGGAATTATTTCGTGCCTCTTCGCTTATTTTGGTTACATCTGGATATTTTGACGTGTTTTCTTTGTAATGTATTTTCATGGAAATCAGTCATCTTGCCTGGTCCCTCTCAGTCTCCGCTCTGTGTTTCCAAATCCAAATTTAGTTTGTCGATAATCTGATTGTCAGTTGGAGATGTCTAGCGTAGTGGCCGCGTAGTAGACGCGCGCGTAGTCGATTAAGTAGCCGGCTGTTATCTCCCTCATCGCATCTCTGACGCTGTACGCGGAGAGAGAGAGAGAGAGACACGGAGGGACAGGAGCGCGTAGAAAGGGTGATAGAGAGAATTGACCTGTGCCCGTTTAGAGCAGATTACGTTTGCCCGCCAGGCAGACACCTGTGTTTGTCTGCTCCAGCAGGCTTTTCAGTCTGCAAGTGATTTCTGTTTTGCCTCGACCGATTTTTATAAAATCTCCCTGCACTTAATTCTCCGGCTGATCAGCAGGTGATTTTAAGTTCAACGTGAGATAAAATCACACGTCAAGAAATTTTAATTTCGTGTGCGTGCGTAATAATCCCATTATAATTCGTTTGTGTACAGTACTGCTTTCAAAACTCCAACGGAAGATGTGTTTAACTCGATAGTTATTTTTAAAAATTATAAACGTTTATTTATTTAGAAATAATTATAAAATACTGGTAAATTTTTTTGGTGATTTAAAGCCGATATTTATTTTTTAAAAAAATCTTTGTAGCATGATTTACCGTAGTGTAGTGGCTGTCATGCGTGCATGATTATGGGTTTCAGAGTCGCTAAATTGCATGTATTAAGTTGTCGCGCTGACTGGTGAGTTGGTTTTCTATACATTTATTTAAAATTTTTCTATAGCGACTGTTAATTTTTAGTTTTTGATTTTTCACTACTCTGGAGTCTGGACTTGCTTACATGCTATGGACTTCTTTGATAACTGTTTGTTTATTTTAGAAATTATTAGAAAATATTGGTAAATTATTTTTAAATAGATGAGACGGTCAACTGGATTATAGGTCATTTGCCAGTATAAGGGGCGGAGTTGAGTGACCTTTCGGTGCACGTGCAGTGGTTGATGGCCTGATTTGCTTCAGTTCTGCTCTGTCGTCGACTGCGTGTGATATTGCACCTTTGTCTCGCGGGTGTGTTGTTGTCATCCCGTCTCTTTTAAAAGAAATTGCTGACAAGGAAGAATAGCAGACAATTATTCTTGAATTAATTATGAGCAACAGCTAATCGTCTGCTGCTGCATGAAGGGGGACCAGCGAAGGATTATGCTAATTATTTCTAACTGTCGCCCGGTACAAGTTAACTGAATAATGTGTCCCGGTCGTCTTTTCAATCCGGTTAACGTACACTCAGTCTTTCTTGTGAAAGCGATCATGTGTGAAGGTTTTGATCAACCTCAGAGATAAAAAGATTTGTAAAAGTCAAGAATAACGAAAATGATGCCAATACCCACCTGTTAATGATTTATTTTTATTATTAATCTTACGTATTTTTTTGTAATAATTGTGTGGATTTATTTTTACAGAACATCTTTTTAGATACTTGTGAAATAAGTGGTGTATGAAAACAGCTCGATTTTTTGACTTTTTGTAGTAAATACATAAATAATAGGGGAAAATCTGTTGACACATTTATATTCATCTTATTTTGATAGGTGATCATTACCGTGTTTACTTAGCAGTTAGATATTGCTTCTTTTGTGATTTATTCACTGACAATAGGTCGCAGCCGTGGTTCGGGTAATCAATCAGCACCTGCGTATTGACGAGTTGCTGACGCTATTATGATGATTTAACAGTTTAATCATCTTATCAAGTGGCTGCAGCGCAGAGCCGAGTAAACTGATTTTAAGCACGCGTCGCTCAAATAGTGGAACCGGTTTGTTGTGTTGATGGTGTGTGTGTTATGGTAGTGCAATGGCTGCAGTGCACGCGACAGAATATTATTATGCATGTGGCGTAGTTGTGCTTCTTGATGCGGAGCAAAATGGAGAGCTGTTTGATTTTGTGTCAAAATGTCCCAAGTAGGGATTCTCTCTGGTGGCGGGGCGTAAAAACAAATAATTATCAACGGTGACCTTTTTGCTGAACTTCTACTGCGGGTGGTTGGGTTTGCATTAGACTACACACGCAAAATGCAGTGGCGAAGATTGGAGAGTATCTGTAGTATCGATTTTCATTTCAGTGAAGGGAGAAAATGAGCGAAAAATTAATTCACACATATTTTATAACAACGTATTTTTTTAAAAATCATTTCGTTAAAATATATATATATTTTTATTTATATTTCCGGCAGGAATTAAAATTTAGAAAAAAACGGTTAAATTAGTATTATTAATGTTGCTAAAGTTAGTGTTTTGGCGGAATGAAGAGGAGCGATGAATGTCGCGATCTGGATCGCGCATATAAAGGATAAACTGTGACTAACCGAAAATATTGTAGTCCAGATTATCCGGTGTTATTGGAATGGTAACAGCAGGCGGAAGATGCGCTAAAGTGGCCGGATCAGTGGACAGCGCTGCGTATTTGGTGGCTCATTAAAAATGATAATAAATGAAACATTTGTATTGTTCATCAGGTGGCCCTGTGTGTGTGACAAGTACACTGGCGCTTTGTGCCGTCTGATCAGTGTTGATCACTCCCTGGAGAGGCCTTAATGAACAACGCAACACAGTGTTAATTTGATCTGGGGCGGGTTTTGTTAATGTAAACGCTCCAGCGGCTGTTATCATTATGTGCCAGATATTAGCTGTATTAGAAATGTGTTGCACTGTGCCGTCGATTTGGCTTGTGCACTTTACACCAAATGTCAAGCTTTTGTCAAGTGCGGCACGTTATGATTATACATTTCTGGTCGGTCGTTAATGTGATTTGCTGCTTTGGCACGATTACGGGGCCAACATCATTATATGCAACGGGATACAGTTCGGTAAATGAAGCGAAAACTGGATACATCATAATATTATTTGGTACACTTCGTACGAGATAATAAATTCTGCGTTATATGTAGAAGAATTTCAGTGGTTTTCGAAAAAACAAGTACTGGGTCAGAATTTCACAGAATACGATTCGCCACAGATTTATTATTCGATGATTTGTATACTGTATTTATTAATTTAAAAATAGAATTTTTGTATTTGAGAAATATCAAACTTTGAATTTGCTGATCGTACTTTGAAAATGTATGAGCGGCGCAATCGCGCGGATTGCGCCAGGATCATTTTGGACCGTTATATGTACTCGTATATATGATGTGACCTTTTCTGAATTAACCTACAATCGGCAAAACCACTTGCAAGCGCGAACAGCCATTTCTTGGCACTTGACGTGAAAATGTTATTGAAAATTTGACATAGTCGGTGGTGTGAACCGCAACGGTTAACCATTTTAATTTTATAAACTCTATTGTGATGTTCTTCCAAGTTTTGATTGGGAATGGCAGGCGTTGTGGCCGTTTGCTGTTTTGCGGGCGTTTATACGTGGGAGAGCGCAGCGGTTGACAATACGGTGCACTTGTACCCGTTGGATGCTGTAAACTGCTTTTCGGTTGAGCCGGCTTTTAAAATTGTGCAGCCGATGTTCCAGATCATGAGAAATTAGTCAGAGATGTATTTATGGGCTTTATACAGCATTTCACGCTTGAAAAATTCTATAGGCTTCGCAGTCTATTGTGGTTGTACAACTTCTGATATCGAATTTCCGTATCGTAGAGACAGGATATCACCAATCTTTGAGCGGTATATTGTTCAGTTGATCCAGCGAAATTAAACGTTTTTGGGAGTCTTGATAATTGATAAACCTCAATATTGCATATTTGTAGAATTGGTAAAGATGTCCTTCGTATGAGGAATTGTTAATCGTAGAGTAGTGGCTGCGTAGCTTTTCAAAGTCGCGGCAAAAATATGGCGCATATTCTTCAGATATCATTAGAATTTCGGGCTTTTCAGATATCATTAGAAGCTCTCTTCATCTGCTTTTTGAAATAAAAAAATCCACTTAATCCAGTTTTTTATGTAATACGTTGCGGTAAAATTCAACAGGCGCAAAGAATGTGATTACTAGATGTAGAAGGCATACATAGTACCGAGACATTACGAAAGCTTTCGTTATGTCCCGATAGTACACGTACATTTTACGGTCTGTGCTCCGTGGCAAATACTGTGCGTAGGGGCGTAAATAAATGACCATGAATATGTTTTGCGTGGAATATGATCCTGTTTTGATATTGAAGATTAACGATGCAGCCCATCTGTTTTGCCCGCTCAGATTCTGACGCTGGGTGCCACTAATAATCACTCAAAATTCTGTTCGCCGGCTTTTGTAGCGGCGGTGTAATCTCTGATGGACGCATTAATTCGTAAATAGTGTCTTTTTAATCTTATCCGTCGTGAATTTTTGACATTTGATCTGAATTTTGTTATTACTCAATATGTCCAGTTATCTGACAAGCCGCGGCTATTCATAGCGCGTAATTTGCTCAAACTAAACAAAAACATCTTGACAACATAGCGGCTTTACACTATAACTGCAACCTGCGAAATAAATAGTGAAAAATAAAGAAATACGACATAAAAAATTGGTTTTTATATTTTTGTGAATATCCGGTTTTTATATTTTTGTAGCCCAGATGAGAATCCGTATGAGGGAAAAGTCAACCGAAACATTTTTCGATAAAAAAGAACTATTAAAAATAACTCTGAAATGCATAAATTGGCAAAGTGGACAAGTTCCTCATAACTTTCGCTTTGACTAAATATGTACAGAAGAAACATTACCTTTATATTGAAATGTTTACAGAAATAAAATAATGAATTTTTCCATATCCACAATGCTGCATATATGCAGATTTGGTAAATGTGTAAAAGCAATCGTTGTCCGTAGAGTAGTGGCTGGACATGAGTCCACGTTACGGCATGAAAGCAGCGAATTTTCTTGAAGCATGTAACATGTTTCAGTGAATTAAAAAATAATCGGTCTTTTGAGTAAAATAAAAATTATAAATTTTTGCATTGCGTATTTCATTCTTTTTGGTTTTTGTAGACGCGTTCAGTAAAATCGGACAGTCCCGACAGCAGCGCCAGTCTGATGACGCGGATCAGTTTCGCGTCGGCGCTGCGTTTATGGCGTCATCTGATGGGACCGCGGCATCCCGCTCCGCCGCTGCACCAGCGTCAGCGCTCCCGTTCCACGACAGACTAAAGCGCCGGCAACCGGAAATGTTGTGTATATGATGCTCAAGATGATTCCTCTTCCTTGTGTTGTCTTCCTGGCGCTCCCTTCTCAAATGCTGTCCTTCCGGTGTGTATCCAATAACCCGGATCTCTGTGTTTTTCTCTCCCCGTTCCGTCCATAATTTTTTCCTCTGATCTTTTTATTAATCGCTGTCGATAAGAGTTTCTAGTTTTTTATATATGTATACAGCGGTTATGAAATTTTTGTTTTTTATTTTTCTTGATTTTCGTTAGATTATGCACGAGCTGAGCCGGATACTGCGGCGGAATTGTGTGCGCATTTTGTTTTTTCCATTAAAAATGCTTAACTATGTCTTGTTGCCGGTTACTTGTCAAAACAGACGTGACAGAAAATATTTTTTGTGTAAAAAAATAATTGACCTTCGAGATTTGTGGTTCTGTTTACTCTGTTCTTGACGTTGCGTTGTAATTTGTACAGATTTCGATGTGTTTGCTATACACTGTTTTTTTGGCTCAGCTTGTTTGCGTTGAATGTCGTTTGGGGTGAAATAAATAATTGCAAACGGTTTGGCGGCGCTCAACAATCTCACAAAACATTATTTCTATGAAGCAAAAGTTCGTTAATTGAAAACAGATAATGAATTAGGACAGCAGTTTTTTTTTTATTTTTACGCTTAGGGACCTGAATGTCGAATAGGGGTGGTGAAATCTGTAGATAAATAAAATTAAACTTCAGTTTATATTTTAAACAAGCCACGAAGTTCCGGCGTTTCAAACTAATTTTTGCCAGGCCAAGACGTTAAGCTGTAAACGCTACAAAAATCCTGAATGTGTTGCAATGTTAGAAACTTAGAATGAGCCCGATGGCTTTAAACGCCGCAAAAATCCGAAATCGCTGCTGCATTATTATGGGCGGTAATTCCGTACTGGCAGCGAGTTATCGTAGTGCATAGGCTAACTTATTTCACAAATCGTCGATCTCTTTGCACCTCTGCTCTACCTGAGGTAATACCTATACTGCAAAAATATAAATAAAAAGCTGTTACATTTTTTTCCTGAACAGTTATAACAAGAAAAGCGCGGGAGAACTATAAATAATTTTAGTTGAGAATGCGGCCAGAATAAACCGAAACTGGAATACTATTTCATCGCACAATATGGACACTGAACGCTCCATTAAGCGTTATGATTTACCCCACGTAGCGTTTTATGTTATGTACTGTACTGTATCCAGTATCTGTTCACTAAAATCAATATACACATCGTACAATAATATTGAAGGATGCGATGGCGATAACATAAATTTCTTAATTCCATTGGCGATTAATTTTAAAAGTCACACGAACGGGCCGCGATTAACTGGGCCGTATTATCCCTTAATTCACCGGGCATCTGCCCAGATAAGCAACTACGATCGCGTTGTATATACCGACTAATGATCGTATTCGCATCCACTGGACATATTTCGTGGGGCGATTCGCATGGATGCATGCGTTGGTATATAAGACAGGACGTGCAACTGCCCGTCCGCGATGCGGCTACCGATAAGGAAATACGCCGCGCGCCAGTCGACATATCCCGCCGCATCCCGAGCAAGAGCCTCGCACCGGCTCCGGAACCATGGCGGTACGAAGCAATTAATCTTCCTCTGCTGACACGGGAAACGTGCGCGTCATCCGAATTAACCAGCATCGCTAGCTGCAGCGTCTTTAAGACACGTGTCACGCGCGCTGCATCGACAATTATTCGCGATCGCTAATCCCGATATTAAGTGACATTTTCTTATCCAAAGATCAGTAGTAACTGTAGTACTATTTGTATAATACTAGAGTACTACAACAGAACTGAGCAGTTATATTAGGTATATCTCTCTGAAAAAAGTAAAACTTTCCGGGGCTTTTCTTTGATCCGAATCGGATCATCCAATTACGTATGTATTTCTCCTTGAACTAATATTAGGAGTTCTGGCTTTATATTGCTGCGGGAAAACAACAGATTTAACATTGGAAAGTGCAAATGTTGCAGCAATACTGTACAACCAATAAATTATTCGTAAGAGAACCGATTTACATACAGCCTAGCGGTTATTATTTAATTATAAAACGTAAAAATTTATCATATAAGTACACAAGTACATATATGCAGTCGCTGTTACTGTATGTCCTTTATTTTTTTACCGCGATAAAGTTTTGTAGAATTTAAGCTACATATGCGGTTTAAGCACACTGATTGGAAAATATTTTAAAATATACATGCGCAGCGTATTTATTTCATGTACAGAGCCTCTGCATTTGTACTCGTATGGATGGAGTGAACGGAACCACGTCAGATGGTCCGATTGTTGCAGGTGCACAATTATATCGTCGGGATGAGCAGCCGTATCATCCACTGCAAGTCAAAAGGTCAAGTAGGATAAACTGTGCGATCCGGCTAATGTTATCCATAAAACCAGAGCGCGACATTCTGTTTTGCACTGTACAGTCCATTACACTTGTTCCACACCTGCTGAATCCCGGCAGTTTATCCAGTTTTAGCGCAGTCGACTGTGGACACCCACTACTGTATTGTACAGCGATACAAACACATATCCCGTCCCAGATGGATCCATTACCGGCTGCTCTGATTATTAAATATTAAATTCCTTTTATTTTTCTCCACTCAACATCCGCGCCACCGGGGAATTCGACTGCGCATTGCACCCGCTGGACATATGCTGCAGTTGACCAGCGGCGCCATATATTACAACGTTATGATAATATTCTATGCATACTTCTAGTACTTGTATTGTACATGTGCGCCAGATCATGGCGTCAGCGCGTTGGCTGGTATATATACGTATAAACAGCGATAACACTAGTGCAAATTTACAAACATATTTACCACTAACAATTATTACATGGTCAACGCTTACTGTATTTTTAGTTCATAAGTATAAAAAAACAATATTTTATCGGAGACCGAATGCTTAAACGCAGAACAAAATGATAGACATAGTAAAAAGGCTTCCTGCGCGCCTATCCTGCGACCTACACAGTATATTTTGTACAACCCCCGATTTTCAATAACGTAAACATTTCAGTACATAATAAAATCACATGAAACTGTAGAATTTTAATTAAGTATCATGCAGTGTAAAGTAACTCTAAACTGAACTAGCGATTTCAAATCCTTAATCCATATAAGTTATAACAGTCCAAATAATTGTTAGCTACTTTAGTGATATTTTTAATACCGGCAAAAAGACTGCTGTCAACCACTTCTTTCCTGCATTGGATGGGCGTTTCTTATAATTATACACAGTAGTTAACTGAAACTGCAAACGGCACTGTTAGTACTGTCAGTTGTTCATTTCTGTGGCTTGTGCTAGCGCCAAAAGAAATTAAGTGAAATGCAAATTAAGCATAATCTTTTCCGGCCACTCGAGAAAAACACGCATTTTGGCGTGAAAATGCGCGCACGGTATTGCTGATTCACACGGCTAACCTTGTCGACAAGATTTATTTCACGCTAAAAATCAGCGGAAGCAGCGGCATCAGTGTACCCATATATAATTTTACCGTCGTATCCACCGGTAATTTACAAAAGGTCACCTGCCCACAGCCGTATCACATGTACAATGGCCGCTTTTGCTACGACAGTGAAATTATGCATATTCCTGACGCTGTTTTGCACACTGATCCTGCATATTCATGCAATGCCCGTATCGAATTCAGAGGGATCACAAGCAGTGCAAAATGGTAAGGTTTTATTATCTTACAATCGTACTACGTACGTTGACGAACGCAAAGCATTGCACATCTGCTTTTAATGGTAGCTTTACTGAAATGGTAATATTTTATTTTAAGTTGTGTATTGGTGACGGGTGACCTAAAGGATGTAGACTCTACGATGACCTAGTTTATGTATATATCAAGACTTTCGTTTTGTCCTAAATTTGTAATAATCGTATCATTCTGGTGAGCGTCTTTATACTTATGATTGCGCAACTACAGTAAATGACGTGTATTTGATTTTTATGTTTTTACAAATGTACAGATGCATAATTATAAGATCGAATTGCACTTATAATTACCATACTTTGTCTGTTGATGACCCTCTTCGTTTAATTACAAGCCCACTTCGAAATACAGCTTGCACTCATGTACAGTATATATATATATTTTTTTCTCATAAAAACTATGGTTCTCTTCATTATTTTCTTCCTTTTTCTGTAGGTCCCTTAAAACAGTAACGCTACTCGTAAGGTTACTACGACGTAATTCGGTGGAATACGGTTAATTCTTTAATTCCTTGCAGATGCGGTACACAGCAGGTCGAAGCGGCAGTTTGGTGGCTGGGGTTTAGGAGGGGACGCTCAAGGTTTCCTTTGGGGTTTGCTCTTCCATAATTACTGTAAGTACACAGTATACTGGTAACCGGTAATGCACAGTCCAACCAGTCGTCACTATTATTTTATCTCTTCCCGCAAAACGACCGAGCTTGTAAATCTTAATTCATAGTTGCTGTAATAAACCGAAACTAGCAAAGCTGGTAACAAAGCCTTTTCAGTTACGTCCGCACCAGCGTCCGGATAGCAAATCAGTGGGATGTACAGTTAATACATGGATCCAATGCTAACCACGTGACCTTTCCGCGCTTGCGCTTGAAAATTCCAGTATCAAGGTTAAAATGGATAAGCGCGACAATTTATGCCGTCAATATCTATTTACTAAACGTTCAGTACGTACGGAAAAAAGATATTTCGGCATTCTTAGTTAATATAACGAACATCTGTCTGAAGTGTTTAAGAAAGACTGGTGCCACTATGCACATGCTCAATAAATCACAAGTCTGGCGCAAAAACCATTCTACTCTTTCATTTTTATTCCGCTAAGCCGTTTCTGTACAAAGAATTTTTTTAACATCCTAACGCGAAAATTTTCACGAAACCAGAAGATTATTAACGAAAAACAAACCACGGACGATTGTTTCCAGTCACAAAAGCGTAACTGAACCACACATATCATGTTTTCTTACGGAAAACATACACCGAACGGATAAATCCTATCTACAGACAAATGTAGTCACAAAAGCCACATTCTTCCCGCGGAAACGTATACACACGAAGGGTCTTCTATCCTCCGGAACCCATGGAGGAGGCGCCCGACTGTTTGTGGATGAATTCCGCCGTTGAATCGTGGACTTTGCCGGCGATTTCCGGTGGGATATGGCTCTTCTTGGCGTGCTTGGCCAGCTCCTGCTTGTTGGCGGTGCCCGGGGAGAGGTCCTCCTTGGTCTCCAGGGAGCCGTCGTCTTCATCCTTCGAGTCGTCGGGTTTGATCTTATCGGCGGCATTTGAAATTCCACCTGTGAAAGAAAATACAAATACATCTCATTCAGGAAACAATCAGTTAAAAAATCAAACAAGCAAGCGGGATAATTTTCAGTCGAAATTAAAATCATACTAAATTTATTTATTCCTACTCGAAATGCACTTGATTATCAAACAATAAACTGTTACCAGTACTACATTATAAGAGTCTTCATAAAATCCATTAACTGATATTCCAATTACTCTATCGGATCGGAAAAAGCCGGTAAGCCATAAAACGTCTCTAAAAATGCGATACAAATCCAACCGACAAGCGATTGCAAGGTGATGGCAATTTACCAAAATAAATGCACACATTTTACAGTACCAAATCAATTTCAACAAAAAATTGCGAATTCCAGACGTCGCACCGAAATCAGTCCAAAAGGTGGTATTTAATTAGTATTCAACTAAAACAAAAACTTTTTATCCTCGTATTGAGTTCCGTTTATTCTTTTGAATTTCCAGAATTTAATTTTCCGCCGATAAGGTAACTAAAGTTTATTAAACACCTCCGCTTCACGTATGTCTCTCACAACGACACAAGCAAAAACCCTAATTAAGCAGAAATAGACGCAAATAATCTGGCCCAGAAAATCTAATCTGATTTGAAATAACACCGTTCGGACATAAACAATCCAAATCAACTTTAATCGTCCACCAGAACAATTTACTGAATTTAGAAAACATACTGCATAACCAAAACCAGACGCAACCGGTACTTCTCGGTTACCACTAATGCAACCCATGTGACCGGAAACAGAAAATTCGCTACCCACGCCGTATTGAATAATCAGCCATTTACTTTACGGTGATATTCATCTACCTGTGGATAATACGCGCTCATGCGCGGGTTTCTCCGTATGTTTCTTGTCCACATTCGTCGGTCCCGCGCCCGTATGCTGGCCTGTACGAAAATTAAACTTTTTACTATACGCCTCCCAATCAAAACCGGGCTCATTGCGGGGATCAGGCGGGTTAGTGCTCATCTCCTTGGCCGTGGGATGCGGAATCATGGGCGGCGGCGGACGCCGTGCTTTTATAGCTGTTAAAGAGAAGCGAACACCCGCACTATCGAGCCTGATCCTCAACTGAGACGACAATAGGCGGAATCGGTGATAGACACACCATCCCGTACGTACCCGTCAAGTCCTTCTTCTTGGCTTTCAGGACAGGCGCCGTGGTTGAGATGGAGCGTGGTGAGGATGCTGGCGCAGTGAAGGTGCTGTTACTGGCGCGATACAGTGCCAGCTGACAGCGTAGTAGATGGCGATTCATGGCGGGAAGATGGGAAAAATTATGCAAAAAGAATAGCAACTGAAGCGATGATTGTGTGAATAACACAGGAACGAAATAAGAGTGCAGTAACTCAAGATCACGGAAAAAACCAAAACAGAACGCTCACAGCGGCTCACTGGCAGTTTAGAAATTAACAGGAAAGGCTGGAAAGCAGCAACTGCGGTTTGGAAACGAGGTGGCGTGGCGTTGCGAGCGAGGTTCAGTTCAACGGAACCTACGCACGGGTGCGGACGATCTACATGCCTGTGGGCTGTGAGTGAGTGACGCCGCTCTCTTAAAAAATTGAAACATTTTATATTCAATATATTTTCGATTATGTACAGTTTAACAAATTAAAACTAGTAAGTATTGAATTATCTGTATGTGTTTATTTATTTCAGTTAGCTAAATTTACAATACTAATTTTACAAACACTGCAGATCATAATGTACTTTTGCTTAAATGTGGTAATTTGGCAGAAATGTCTTTATAAACTGCTTCCGCCTCCGCTCTGTTATGTACTCTGAAGTTCTGTACAAGACATTCTACAGGATAGAACGTTGATTTAAACATCCATTTGCATATACTCCTGCACAAAATTACATACAAAATACGAACAAATCTGTTCTAATTGTTGATGTACCCCCAAAAAGCCTGGTCTTCGCGTGGTCCATAGTACGATACTACTTCGCGTAGTGGAATCACTGGAATGTATCTGTACACAGTACTCTGTACTAGTACAAGTACATGTATGATATCGCATACCGTCTACGGTACAAATCTGTCATTTTTTTCGCAAATAATCCTCACAATAAAAAAGCCCAGAAGATGCAATCAAAAATTACGCATCAACATCGGGAAAAATAAAAAAAAGGTTCTGCTGCGGTAATAAAACAAGGCTAAGCAAACGCTGAACACAAATAAAATAGTCACAATTTTAACATTTTATAAAACAACCCCGAAGGGCCACAAAGCGATACGGCGCAAAATTCACAGACTGGAAAGCGAGCACATCTGTCCTAATACATGTATAAAAATATCGTGATACGCCGATTTCAAGCGCACACTGAGCATTTACATCCGTAGTACCCAGGGGAAACCTTAAACATTTTCATCCGCTCAGAGATCATCGTTTCCAATTCCCTCAAACGCCACATTGTCACTCCGCACATTGCGCGTCACCGTCACACTCACGCTTAAACTCTCCGTCCGCCCGTTTGTCTCGCCGCCGTTGCGCACCTTCTTCTCCCACTTTTCAATGCGTTTCCCGCTCTTCTTCATCATCAACTCCTCAACCATACTCTGCAGACACGCGCTCATCCACACGGCCTCCTCCGACACCACCGTCACCCACTGCAGCTGCTCCCGCGCCATCAGATACTCGAACATCAACGACGCCGTGTCCGGACTGCGCTCCGCCGGACCGCCACTGCGGAACGTCTCCGACAGACACAAGCGCCAGCAGCGCATCCTCACAATGCGAAAGACGGCCTCCTGTTTCCCGCCGACATTGACCGGACACACAAAATCCTTCCCGGTCAGATACGGGACGGTGCGGGTGCCGGGAGAGGGATAGTCCACGACGGCGGGTCCAAAATGGACACTCCCGTAGCCCTTGATGTTGCGGGCTAACTGGACGAATTCCCGACGGGACCCTTTACTCTGCAGGTGTTCCAGTTGGGCTTTCTGCTCGGAGGTGGGGACAATCCAACCGCGATTGATGGCGTCGACGGTCTCTACAAACAGGAGGTTGATGCCCACGCGGCTGGGTGAATCCAGGATTTCCGTGTCGAATTCGGCGTCCCAATAGGATTTTTTCAGGATAATACGCAGTTTCGGTCGGGATAGGCCGTTCGGGGGACTGTTGAGGTGGAGGCAAGCGAAGGGATACTCGAATGGTGCGAATTTTTTGAAAGGGATGTATTTGGCGGGAAGGTCTTCACGGGCGAGATACAGGGCGAAGTAGTTGGTCAGTTCAAGGGGGAGTTTAATGTCCCGGCAAACTGCTTCCAGGACCTCGTCGGCGGAAGTTTTCGGGTCAAGCTGAAGGGAAATGGCACTGCCGTTGAGCAAAAATACCTAAACAAACAATCCTGCTCAAGCTTGTTTATACAAGCCATTATCCTTTTTTCGGCACATTCATTCCATACTTCATACACTTGTATACAGAAAAAACGTACACGATAAACAGCTCTTAAAAATTTTTGGCAAATAAAATATCATCAGATCTCCACAACGACTTGCATGTACAGATACTGTCAGGTGGCTTACATGAAATTACGAAAATCAGCTCAAATTCAAGACGAAAACTATAGCCATAACTTACTAAATTTTTATTTCACAGTTTTTTTGCAGAACTTTATCAAATGTTCTATGCTTATTTTGCACTGCATCGATCAACATGCATTTTCTCCATTCAGAAATGAATGTAAACACTTTTAAAACCACAATCCAGGCAGCTCTGCCTTAAAAATCGCGATAGCAACCACCAGAACTATTCGTGCAAATTGACAAAATTCAATTAAAACTGCAAAACAACAATTAATAAACATCGAGCAGAATCAAAATTCTTATATAAATTGTACTCGTACCTGTAAATCGGAAGCATCCAGATCGTGCGCGGAGCGTAGGATAAGTTTTTTCAGGAAATCCTGCAGCGGTGCACTGTATACCGCCTCGGGCAGCTGTCCCAGATTCTGCATGTACTTCTCCAGTTGAGCCCGGCGAGCATTGACCTCCAGGGCAGAGAGATTGAACATCTTCTTCGGTGGGAACGATGGCAGGCTGCCATTGAAATGATTGCGCAGCCCGTTGTGGAGATCGGCGAATTCCCGATAGCGAGCCGATCCATGGTACGTCCCGTTGCAGTACAGTTTGTAGGAGGTGTACGTCGTGCCGTAGGCGTCAATGAGATCCTCCGTGCCCAGAATGGCGAAATGCATCTTCCCAATCAGCAATCAGTTATTCGTCAATCTACAAGCAATCAATAGAAAATTAAAAACTTAAATAAATATTATCCGCTCATCGATAGAAACTTATTGTTTTTAACCGTCTAAATTTTACTGACTTAAAAAATTAAATCTACGAAGTGGCACGTTTTGATATCGAATACTATATTACTACGAGTATTACAACAGTTTCCCTACAACTACTGCACGTTACCAGCCGGCAGTGCAGAGAAAATCCTTAAAAATACTTACCAAAACACTAGAAACACTGCAAACCAAATTTGATTTATTGAACTTAATAGTAGCGTAACTGCACGATGAACACATCAGCACACAGTATAATATCAATAATCAACAGCTGACGGTGTTATTCAGGTAAACAATGATTTCCTATGTCAACAATATGTCAAGTCAAATACCACGAAACACAAAAACGCCACAATACGATCCATAAATCACCGTAAGTAATTTTTGGATCGAAAGCCGGAGGCAAAGGAGCGATCGAAGGATAATCATTTGCATTCCACAAGGCAAATCAGCAATTAACTGAATTAAGTTGAAGTGAATTAACATTTAACATTACCTAATATTACTGCTAAGTCAGTATTAGCTATACAGCAGACATTAATCGTAAGTAGTGTATAGACGAGTATTGTACAAATTAATGAGGATTTACAGCGTAGTAGATAACCGGGCAACTGTTTTATTATGGAACACTTATAATTGAGCAAAACATGCAACGAGCACTGGTAACTGAAACTACTGCTTGAAATCATATTGCAATATATTACTGTATACAAAAATTCACTAACAAACAGCAACAACAGAGAGCACTGCTGACTGCATGGCGGAGGAATTAATTAAAAGAAAAATGTTAGTGCATATGTACAAAATAAACTTTCGCAAACAAAAACGGCGGTTAAAAATCAAAGCAAAAACCGCTAATTGAGGTCCGAAGAATTCGGAGCCAAAAATCGAGTGAAATGAATAATTTCTTCAATGGTTCGTAATTTCAACTAATTTGATAAATAAAAGAACTGAACGTTGACCGTCAACGTCGATACAAGATGACGCAAAATAATGTTCAAATTACCAATATCATGAAAATTATAAGTTTAAAACCACACTCTCGTGGCTTTTATCAAGCCAATGAACCGAAAAGTCTGAAAGCCGAAGAAGCTATTTCGGGATCACATTACACCATAATTTACTATCAATTATGTATTACGATTTACGATTAGTCAATCCATTTCAGCCTTCCGCCTGCTGTGTACACCGCCCCCGCAGTCTCGGGCCGTCTTACTGATTTATTTGGCGACAGATCAAAAATATTTCGCTTCATCTTTACGTTAGAGATCGAACAACAGATAAGAATCGCAGTAGTGACTTTCTGCTGACCAACGTTGGAATGCACAAATATTGTAAGAAAGTCAAAAGTGCACCTCAGCAAACGTCGCTGTAAAGTGTGCCTACAAACCGATTGTCCTCATTAAATTTGGAAATTTATTTCGATCAGCCTACAACATACACTTAAAAACACTTCTTTCTGGATAATTTAAAAACACATAAAAATCAACAAGGGTGCACGATACAAGATTCAGATGGCAAACGCAAATTTGAAATAATTGATGCACAGAAGTTGACAGAACCATGTACACTGTACAGTCAGTCAGTCACTACAGTGTACAATACAGCTTCATGACTTATCTACAACTCCCAAAAAGAAATCGCAAACATCATTCATAAAAAATTATAGCAAACCCACTTGGCATTGATTTTTAATTACCGAGAAATGAGTTGACTCACTCGTCAGCATCAGAAGGTAATTCCAAACAGACAATTTTTTCTGTACTTCCAAAATTAAATTAATTTATAAATTTCAGCTGCGGTAACGCTAGCGGCTAGTTTCAGTTTTTTTCGTATTTATAGAGTCATTAAACACTTAAAGTTGAAAATGTTGTCCACAACATACAGTGATTTAAGGTCGACAAAAATCGTTGTGATTTATGTGGGACTGCAATCATTACATTTTAAAAAGGTAGTTTAAATTTAAACATGGTACTTTAAGTTACACTCATCAAGACACGAAGCAGCGTCTTACCTTTTTTCCCCACTACAATCCGCTATGATGGAATGAGTAAATGTCAACACCGAAAAACGACGCAGTGGTGGAAAATCATTCAAATCACAAAACACTTGGGAAAACAGAATCAACAGAAACCAGTTTGGCTTGAGAACTTGTTCCGATGCTCACACGACACGCACATTTCCAGCATCGTCAAGTGGACTTAATTCAGGTCATGTTATCAACCACAGTAATGCTGCAGTTCTTGGGGAATTGATTTACACGCACAAGAATGATAATGCCAACGAACGCGAAACAATCCCAGAAAATTTCCTTTCAAATTAAGATGCATGCGCATTATCAATTTACTTCGTAATGAGTCTGACGCAGACCGATATGAATATTTTCAGGTTTCGGATTCAGCCATACCAGATAACCAGAAGCAAATCTTGCCTGTCGCAGGTGTGCTGGTGTTATACGGACCATGATTGGCTTATAGAATACTATGCACCAATAAGCAATAGTGCTGACTCCATTTTGCATTTCCTATTGGACGGTGGTGAACCAATCGAAACGGCGTGTGAGACGGCCACTTCCCATTTTAAAATTTAAGTACTTATAACTTAATCTTTTACTAAGGTTTCATTAAATCTTTGATTTAGGACATCAAAATCACTTATTTAAAACCTGTTCGCATATATTAACTTTCAACTTTTCTGACGAAAATATTCTTTTTGCCAATTTGCAGCGCGTTTTCCTGCACTAAACCTAATACAGTGTTAGTTAAATTCTCAAACTCCAAAAATTAATGTAATGCCATGCGTAAACAGCCACCCACCAGGGTCGGCGATTCGTTTTTCTTCGCTATAATCTTTTTCTTTCAGTTTTTCAACGTTTTTAACAACTGCTGACTCGACTCATAAACGCGAAATCCACATTTCACAGGCAATCGAAACATATACCGGTACAAATAAAACAACAAACGATAAAATAATGCAATAAAAAAGATGTCACCATTTCCTTGTCGTGTTCAAATAATCGCCATCTGGTGAGATATATCCCGGGATCGGTGGTGTGTTGACAGGGCCCTTCAGTGTGATTGGTAAACTCATGTTGTCCAACTGCAAAACAAAAATAACCAAAACCTAAAAATTAGAGAATAAAAATACCGTCGTGGGACAGAAGACTACACGCTAATCCTGCAAACACTACTACAGTACTTAGTAAACTGCCGACATTCCGTTAACCGCGACTGTTTGGTATGTTAACGACTTAACGTATCTCACGTTTTATAATACTTTTATTTCTTTAAATTTACTATTGAAGAATTTTGAAAATTAACCGAATTGCACGGAGCACGCAAAAACCGAACCACACATCCACAATTTGCAATAAAATTCAAACAGAAGCAGAACAAAGTAAGTAATATTAATCTAGAAACTGCAATTAACTTATCACGATATGTTTACCTGAACAGCTTTCTGATACAGCTCCTCCGATTCTATTCTCAGCTCACGCAAGGCAGCTTCCGCCGACATGACCATGGTGGAGAGTTTATCCTGTTCGGCTAAATACTGGTAATGCTTGTATCTCGTCCAGGTTTTTCGCAGTAACGCACGCCGTTCCAACTCTTCTTCTTCCAAGGGCGGAGGCTTTCGTGTTCTCTCTCTACCAAAACAAACAAAACAGTGAACAAATAACGGAAGCAAACAAATTCTACTTTTCGTTAGAGCAAGTCTGCAAGTGAAACATTTCTCCTTTGCAAAATTCACCCAAAAACGAAAAACAATTCTTAACCATTCATGTGCTGTCAGTTAAAATTTATTAAATAAAGAAAACAAAAGAGAAGGAAATTATGTACCAGCCAATAATTACGAGTGTAATGCCACTAAGAAACTAACAATAAACTGTAAACACAATCTTAGCAAGAAATATAAAATTTACCAGTTTCTATTACACACTTTCCAATTAGCGGAAACTGGAAAAAACAGCAGTCAAAGAAAAACGCGACGCTCTGGACTAAAAGTGCTTACACAGTTTATGGTCGGTAAAAATTTGATAACTGTATAAACATCCTGTAAGTACTGTACAGATGTTACTAACTTCATTTCCAGCCTCAGCTGCTTAGGGACGACCCATTCGTCAATGGGCTTGAGTTTCTGCGCATTCTTCGCAAGCTTGCTGATCGTCTTCTCGATCCTCTTCTTCTTGCGCTCCTCCCTCGCCCGCAGTACCGCGGGATCGACGCGTTTCTTCTTTTTCATAGGTTCCGCGCTATAAATTACAATAATATGTACGGGTCGTTGCTTGAAGCGCGGTAGTGAATACACGCATAATTAATTCCTGAATTCATGAATTTCATATTATTCACCAAAGAACCGGGTTGGTCCAGAATAACGCGGGGGAAAACGTGTGGAAGGGACATGCGGACCGGACGCTCCATGCAGATGAGAGAGGGAAAGTTCTGGCGAGGAAGCTCCGCAAGACATTCATCCTGATGATCATATCCAGACATCGAGCATCCAATAATCCAAGTATGTTCAAGAATTTCACAGCGCACCAGAAACGCGATGAGCTCACTAGTGACTAGTCACTACGATCACAACATGCTGTTCCACAAATCAAGAAGCATGGAGAGGACAAATGCCTGTTATCCACGGATAACGAAGTATAAATGATAACTGACGAGTACCTGTAAATATAATATGCAAACGGAAAACTTGACGACAGTTACGAAACGAAAATAAATTTGAAACTTTCAAATTGGAAGTACAATTTGGCAAACCATCGAATGACACTCGCGAAAAACTTGCAAGTTCCACTGGAGGGTTGAGGCGCCTATCCGACGCACTTATAGACGTAAATGCTGTACAAGCCCCTTCTGCGCATACTTCGTTGCACTATGCTACCGCATCTTTATTACGCTCCTTGTGTTGCTTTTAGTTTTGAAGTTTTACTCTTATTCATCGCATCTTGTCATCGCACGCATAATAACGTTCATCATTCTAATATTTATGGATACAATACACCAACTGCGATAAATGTCGCAGCGATACAACAATGCGAAACTGGAGTTACTAGAACTGACAACTGGTTGTGGTAAAACATTTCCGCACGGAAAACTGAGAAGTGCCCAACATCACATATTTTTAAAACAAAAATCTAACAAATCAAAGAATCACGTATAAACGGACTTAAAACGCCTGAGTGTCTTCCACGCTTCACTCATCCTTGGGAATCACGGAATTATAATGCTCCCCGAGACTTAATTCATGCCGGTGGAAGACGACAGTCAACGGCAGCACCGCTTCCTTTTGATATTCTTCACCGATAAACACTTCCGGTCCCTCCGCCTGCAGCACCCGAATCGGCCGCTGCAGACCGGCCGAGAGGGCGCGCAGCTCCACCTGGCTGCCCCAGGCGTTGGTCTCCACCACCTCCCGGCAGTACTCATCGAAATCCTCATGGACGAAAGGTTGGAATTCATCGCGATGTGCTCGCATGAAACCGCCCGCCATCTCCCGCAGACTCTTCACGGTCTTCTCCACACCGTGCAGTTTCAGTTGGTGGACGAGGGAAAAATACAGGCAATTGCCATCCGCTGGCATATCCACCACGCGCAGCCCGTTCTCATCCAGGATCTTTTTTAATTTGATTTTTTCCATGGTGCGCGCTGACACCTGGATGGGACCGGTGTCGTCGGGTTTCAGGGACTTTTTCAGCTCGGCTTGTTTGGCTTGCTTGTTCTGGCGACGCCGTTGCGCGCGGGTGGCTTTTTTTCCGGGTTCCGTGGCGGTTTCGTTGTCGGAATGCACGGGAGATCCGTCCGGGACCTCGGCGACCTCCGCAGGCGTTATCTCCAGGTTCGCTGTCTCTCCGCTCAACTCATCCACGGAGGCGTCCCCATCAGTGTGGGGCTCGGTTGGAAGGGTAGCCTTGGGTTGGAATTCCGCGAGTTCGCGCTCATGACGCTCCTGGAGCTCTTTTTCGAGGGCGGCGATCTCCCCGAGAACTTCTTTGCGACGTTTCTTGTCGGAAACGGGTGCTGATTTCTTCAGCGTTGTACATTTGGTCTGGAGGTCCTTCAGCTCCCTCCGATGCCGCTGATGGATATCCTCTTCGTCCATCTGTTTATCTTTGCGGAAGTAGAGATACAAACAAAGAAGAAGGAGAAGAAAATAATGACCGAGTGTCAATATCACGGAAAGATTGATGGCAAACGCAGTTTCGGCCAGTTTGCCTGACTTTGAACGTTGCTGCTGAAAATTCTTTCAGCCACTCCTAGGTACAAAAGTGACAACAGGATCACGTTTATTTATACCTTACGAAAGTTGGGGCGGCTGAAATAATCAGAGAAAAACTCAAAAGAAGTAAAAAAACTTACAAAGTTAACTGTTAACAGTTAAGTTGTTAACTTAAAATTGAAATCTTGGAATTCTGCATTCTTGGATGTATTCTGACGATCTGTTTTGATTTGCACTTTTGCAGTTTGTAGCTTGCTGCATCAGACTTCCTGTCAGCATTCCAGAATAACGGCGGCCTACCTTGCGACACACCTGCCTCCTGCCAGCCGCCCATAGTATCCATGCCAGTAGTACTGTAACCAAAACGACTTGGTGGTTGGCTTTTCTAATGGTAAGTGACCGTAAGTCTTAATTTTTTCGTTTTATCAATTTATCATAAAAAAAACTTTTCTGACACTTTTATCAGCTATTTCACTTTCCTGTTTTACCTTGTGCTTACGCATTCGTTGAATTTATCATCAAAATTTAAGCGCTTGAATCCTACACTTATCACATTTTAACATGGTAGTCTTCGATTCGGACCCGATGGAAAGCATTCCCCCTCCGGAACAGGCGCTAACGCGTCAAATTTATGCCAAATGGAAATCTGACGGCTCATCCATGGAATCTGAACAGCTTCCCTCTTTCTACCGTCGTATTATGCCTAACGATAATGTGCTCCAGTTCCGTTTGCTGGAAGAGGCGCGCGGTATGGCTCTATCGAAACTGAATGCCAAAATCCTCGACAACGAAGAAATACAGGAGTTGTGGAATCTGTTCCAACAGCATGCACAGAGCTCGTCGCAGGTTAGCAATAAGCGTCAGCGTTCCTAACAATAAAATTTGTCGCATTGTCTTTGTGCGGCAGCATATTTAGCATTCAGAAATCCGTGAAATTATTCTTCTTTGATTTCTCAGCGTTTATTTTCTATTATTTCATCGGTTTCACTTTTGTTCTTGTAGAATTCCGATGCTAAAGCGGAGGAGAAGCATTATCTGACATATAAGAATTATTCCACCATTCGACGCGCATCCTCGCCCAAAGTGCAAGCATACCTCCGTCCGACCACATTCCTCGCGTTGATCTGCACGGAGAACGCCCGCGACAGCAATCTGATCCGCGTGGCGGATCTGTTCAATTTTGTGGTGCGGAAAGTCTGGCTGGAACGGACGCGGTTGGCGTTGTCGCTGTACGATCTGGAAGGGAATGGTTTCCTCAAAGAAGCGGATCTCGAGCAGTATATCGATGAGCTGATTCCCACCATTGACTCGCTGGCCCGCATGGATCCCGACTTTAAAAAGTTTTATGTGTGCTCCGTGCTGCGCAAGTTCTTTTTCTTTCTCGATCCCGGGAAACAGGGGAAGATCAAGATCACCCGCGTATTGGGATCGACACTCATGCAGGAACTGATGGATGTAAGGTGGAGTAATTCCAGAAAGCCGATAAAGTCCACAACAGCGCTAAAGTAGATTGAGTCAAAACTGATTTGCTTTATTCTTTTTGGTTAAATATTTCGATAATGATAATTACGTAGGTTTTAGGATCCTAGGTAGTATATTAAGCAGTGGCGCGGGGTTTTCGTTCTTATGTATATTGCAACTTTTAGAGTGTTGCATTACTTACTTGATAACTGTAAGGTACGCCACTTACTGTATGCCAGGAGGCGCTTTTGAAAAGCAGTTTGTGGAATTACCAAAACAGCTGCGCATTGGGCAACCCCTGCAGGTTTGGTGTTTTTTCGATTTGTTCAAATTCATACAATCCGTGCGTACCACAGCTTAAAAAATGCAGAAAAAAAAGTTAAGTTTGAAAACGAAAAGTTTATAAGTAAAACGTTTTGATAGAAACGTTTGATTTGCGATTTAAGAGAATTTCGTTCAGCATGGAGGTCTACGAGGCGGTTTGCCATAGACCCCTATGCTGAACGAAATTCTCTTTAATCAAATCAAACGTTCTTTCAAAACGTTTTACTATAAACTTTTCGTTTTCAAACTTTCTTTTCTGTATTTTTACGGATATAATTGAACAAATCAAACCAAAACCAAGTTGCCAACTGTTTTAATAACCCTTTTCAAAAGCAACATGGCTAATTAAGTGGCGTACCTGTAAGTTGTTGAAAACTTTTTTGGATTCCTTAAAGAATTCTGTAACATGTTTGTTTGAATTTAAATAGTGCTTGGTAAGAAACCCATTCGCCGGTAAACAGTACGAATAAAATAGTAGTTGCTGGTGAACTTTTAAGCCGTGCTGGAAATACCTACGTACATAGGCTAACATAGCCCATAGAAGTATTACGGGAATTTGGTTGTTTTTTTAATGTTTAAATTCTAACGACTACGTAGGGTGTCAGCGCGTGCATTTTTTGTTAATATAATTGGGTGGCTATTGCCAATAAAACGGTGTATTTACGTGCAAACATTGATGTACTGTTTGTCGAATTGGCTAATAGGTATGTTTAGATATCCTGTAATTATGAAGTCCGGTTTTATTAATCGTTCATTTCTCCCTTAAAAGTCGGAAGTTACGTTTGAAAAAACTGTAGTTAACTCACACTACCGTTTTGGCTGTTTTGAGTGTAGCGTTGTAACGTAACTGTCTGTTACTGTATCGCGCATTTGTTTTACTGTCGTTATAGATTAATCGTCATTCGTGGTGTGTTCGTAGTACATTGGCTTTAGTTCAACGCTCCTCTACGATAGCGCAAAGAAGTTGTGTCTCAACTTTATGAAAAAAATGGAAAGTTTTTCCTACATTTTTTTCTAGGTTCGAGAATCTGGCGAGAAGCCAGATAAGAAGAACTGGTTTACACTGGAAGCCAGTATGGACACATACAACGACTATCTGTCTCTGGACCGGAAGCGCAACGGGCTTTTATCGCGGGAAGAATTCGTCCACTATCCCAAAGCCAGTTTGACGGAAGCTTTTGTGCGGAGAGTGTACGAAGAATGTTTGACGTATGAAGGCGAGATGGACTACAAAACCTTCCTGGACGTGGTGCTGGCACTGGGCAACAAAAACGAAGCACCGGCGGTGCGGTTTCTCTTCCGGATCCTGGATGTCAACCACCAAGGCGCTATCGACCGCCAGACAATTTACTATTTTTATAAAGATATACAAAAGCTCCTACTAATGGATAATGTGCATCCGCCGACGTTTGCGGATGTCGTCGCGGAGATTTTCGATATGGTAAGCGCAGAATTTTGTCAAATTTAGACGTTCGAACCAAGGAAAACGTAGTAGTATATTTTGTTAATAATATGAAAAATTCAAATTTTATGGCGCGTATCGTGATGGCATTTGGCACCAAACTCGCCTTGCAAACATGAAGTGACGTAGAAGGAGAGCGTGTACAATGAACGATTAGCTTTGCTTTCCCTCGTTTCAAAATTTGCAGCTAGTAACAGTGATGTTTGTGTTTTGTTGTGTTACTAATTTACTGCGCGTTGCAGGTGCCCAGTCGACGATACGGATGGATAACCCTTCCCGAATTGATCCACAGTCGTTTGGGCGGGACTGTTGTCGGTTTGCTGATCGATAAGGACTGCTTTCTGGCGTATGAATTTCGTGAGCAGCAGCTGGCATCGCCGACTTAGTTGTTCGTTCCGTGTAATTAGCAGTACTGTCTCCGTATATCTGTGTGATATTTACGGTATTTTGATCTCCTTAAATTGCACAAATGATGTGTTGCAATCTCAGCATGTACAGCTTGGTAAAATGATGTTTTGTTTGTAAAACAGTTCCTTAATATTGTGAGTTATCTTAAATATCTTGAGAGGTGTGATTCTGTGGGTCAGTCAGCGCCCTTATTCAATGAAACCAAAATGTTTCGATTCACTAGAAGTATGTATGTTGTAGCTCAAACAATCTAATATTCACTAATTATAAGTAGTTGGAAGTTGGAACACATTTTTACCTAGTAGTACACATTTTTTGGAACTTCTTTCACTAATCAAGCCGTCTAATACCTTATATCTATATACCTTTTTAGACCAGTTTAGTGCTTATAATTATAACGCAGCGGTACTTCACGCTTTTTAAGCAATTACTGTTCAACCGCGCGAGCCGCGTAAGGCTTGCACACAGCAATAAGTAATTTGATATCTCCCAATTCATCTAAAATTTTATATATTGTATACGTAATGTATTACTTACATATAAATACTGTATTATACACAAATTCACGTGAAACTGATTTTCGAGGTGTTTGTTTGTTATTTCGAAATGCATGCACGCTTTTATGTTGTAAAGTATACTGCAATGTGGTGATAGTGGGTGTGGCATGATTATAATAATTAGTACGAAATTAAGTTTATAATTATCTATGTTACTCACTTTTTATACAGTATGTACAGTACAGTACGGTGTATTGTTAAAGTGCATTAATACTCGCATACACAGTATTAACGATAACAGTGGCGAATTTAAGGGGGTGCTCCCGGGGCTAATGCCCCCCCGTAACTCGGACGTCAAAAAAATTCTTAAGAGGGGGGTACGTTGCGAATTTTTTTACGCCCGAGGTCGCCGAAAACGCGAGAGAATACTCCCCCCTTTGGTGTGAGTTCTCTAGCCCCCCCCCCCGTCCGAACCCGCCTAGATTCGCCACTGAACGATAAAACCAGTACAGGTAAAACGAGTACAGATTGTACACGTACCGCATTAATTTTCATAAACTCTTCAGTCTTGAGCTCGTATCTATATAAGGACGCTCTGTCCGCATTGTTCATCATATAAACTGTGGTTGATACTAAGTCTTGAGATCCATTGTGCGCGAATCAAATCCCATGGTCGGCCGCACATTTGTGTCACAACTTTGAGCTGACCGCCTGATTGTCGTCATTTCACCGCCTCGATCAGTTAAATGACAATGAAAATGGACGATTCATAAACTGGTTTAGCTCATTGTCCGCTAAACCGCGCTGCTATATATAGAAGCCTCGCGTCAGTCGCGTGTACAATTTACAAACGTGCACTAACGGGCCAATGGCTGTCCAGCTAGCAGTTAAGTTTACTTCCGGTGCCCACGGCTTAAATTCGTTGCATGCGCGTCCTGTAGCCAAGCAGTCGACAACTGACAAGTGTAATGGATTTAAGCGTTGGAAAAAGAGGCTGACCCTTTCTGTAAATATGTGATGCTGGTTGCACACAATGGTGACCTTCATAGAATATTAGCAATTCCCAGAAATTTGTAGTTTTCCCAATATGTCTGATGCATATACGAGTAATTCCCAAATCTTCAGTTCTGTGCATGATATAGTATAAAAGTTCCTTTATCTTCCGGCAACCGCATGGCGATCTCCATAGGTAGTACTGTGGAGTAGCAGGATACTGCAAGTACTTGTAAGTTGTACTTTATAATGTACCACAAACGGCTACAACAATACTTACTCTCGTGAGAGTAAGTACCTATAAAAAAAAACCTATAGATTAAAAAACCTATAGATTAATAAAAGTACTACGTACGGTACATTAAATACGAGTACGCAGTACGTACAAAAGTACCGCATTACGGTCGCGATACTTTATAATGAGACCAAGTGAGAATTATTAATTATTAATTATGGACCTGTTGGCTGTTACAATTAATAGCAATATAATTAAGTAATTTTGCTGACGTTGAACCATGCCCATGCAACCGTGGCGGCGTGGCGTAAAGTGGCTCATAATAATATTCCGGGCTACCACACAAACTGATATTCCTTGACTACTACTAATATAACAGTACTAATTAATAAGTATTGTTTGACTACTCGTAGTACTGTAGAAGTACTTACTGTAAAGTGTAAATCCCAGTCGAAGTCAGTGTGTTCCGTGGAAGCTGCGGGCCTGGCGCAGTGACGTCATGCTACGACCTTCAATTTGATCGGTTACCGGCAACGTGCCGGTTAATATGGCTGCTGGAAGACTAAGTACCCGCAGGCTCGCAGGGTAATAAAACGGCCAGATAAAAATACCTGTTGACAGCGGTCAGCGAGTAAGGTTTAATTCTGTCGAACTTCGTAGCATACGAACTACGAAGTTCGACAGAACGTACTTACAGAGACAAGCGAACCACCAGAACATCACAGTTTTGATTTCGTTACATTTATAAATACCGTGAAAATAGAAACGCAAAATGTTAACCGAAGTAGCAATTTCCATGAAAAAAGCAAAGTTGTCCGCTCTTTGTTCGTCTCTTGTTTTATTTTACCGCCTGTTGCAGGGTGTATGTAGTCATGCGGGCACGATCTTCTCATCCATACTTTACCCTGCTCAAAACCATCAGAGGATCGAAGAAAATTCTTCGATCCGCTGTTTCCTTGTATGACGTCTTCCCAGTCATACTCGTTGACCTTTACAATGCTGCTATAATAAAGCGGCATTGCTACTGTTTAAAAATTAATAACTAATAATTTGGTCTGTTTTAGTGCTGTTCGCAATACTGGCAATGATGCTCCGCCTCCAGGCTTTGTTCACTAATAAGAGGTCATGCTGTCAGCCCGCTCCTGCCACATGCACTTTTCGACTGCAGACTGCAATCGCTCAATGTCTGGCACTGCCAAGTATCTGTGTGAATTCGACAGGGCACTTGGAGACAGAAATCTCTTGTCAGTTGCTGCTGAGTTGCAGCACTGGATTATTTGCCCTTTCCAGTATAAATACCTGAAAATATCCTGAATAATTTTGTACGTACTGTTCCTATTTCCTCCTGTTTATGTGGATTCACTGGATTGTCACCGATTGTGTTGATTATGGAGTACAAATGCAGTGTACGTTGTATCGAGATGATGAATCGTTGATCACTACTTTACTTCTTTGGGTATCTGCTCATCTTACTGAGATTTTAGATGTAGTTGTAATCTCCGCTTAAAAGTTCTCTGAGCAATTTCACTCTTCGCCCGAAGTGTCCTGTAAAAGGACGTTTATTCGGCAGTTAATAATATCAGTTTTGGGTGGCTTTATAGGCTTTATTGCTTATGGCCGTCCGTTGGAAGCGTGGTTTTATTCAGTCACTTGATCGTGATGTCAGTTATTATCAACTCCCTGTACCCATTATGTATTGCTGCGGGGCATGTACAGAGATCGATCGCTTGTTTGAAGTTTTTTGTGCTGGGTGTGGAATCGAATGCTTGCGCAGGTGACACCGTACTGAAGTTGTTCTTCTTTAATGTTTAACCTTTTCTTCGCTTTTTTGAATTTCTTTCGGTACTTAGTCCACGATAGATATCAGACAGGGCAACCTTTATAATTTTACAATTCGTAAGAATAGGTAATAGAGTAAACTGCAACTGTAAACTGTAAGGTGTAATCTAGAGACTCTACGACAGCGTAGGTATATACACCACACTGTGCACTATTTCGGCTCGAATCCCGTGCTTCGTACCGAAAAAATTGATGCCTCGGGTTGTCGTAGCCCTGCCCCACGCCTTTCTGATTGGTCTCATTTTAAAATGCACCAATCAGAAAGAGAATTTAATTCCCTATCGAATGGTGTATGGTTTATCCAGAGTACCACTACATTGAGCCACTATAAACGTTGTAGACCCAGTCGCACTATACAGAAGTTGCTGTTCTGTTGCATTTATCTTTTGAACTAGGACGATTTACCACAACTTTACCAAATCCACAAGTCTGTAAACTTCATCATCTTTCGATTTCATCCAGTTTTGGGATGAAAATCTCCCCGGGAAACTCCGGATCTTGAAATAAGTGCGAACTGTGAAATCTGGTGTTTTGTACGTTAGGTTCCCTGGCAAACGGCATACTGATAAACTTGCATTTAGCGTGTCTGCCTTGCTGGAACTGATGAAACTGATACATACTTTCAAAAATTTTGAGTTGTCTAGCTTGTTGCATCTTTTCAGAATTTTGGGAAGCCACAGAACATGAGCTAAAATCGTCTGTCACGATGTTTAAGACATTAGGGCTACCGCACACGAGTTTCTGTGGCTGGCCCCATGCTTTAAGTATGCAGTGGAGATCGGCTCATATTCGGGCTGGCACGGCTAAAAATGCGGTTCCTCGTAGACCCTATTGTGGGGCGTATATTCCCATCATTCCTGCTTTCTGGAATAGAAATCTTTTCCTTTCGATTTATTCAAAAACACTAAAAAGTTTTAGATTTTTTTCTCTACAAAACAAGCCTATGTGAGATATGATTGAGGCCATACAGAAAAAGTGGCTTTTCGCTAATAGAGTCTCTAGTGTAATCACGTAATGCACGAATAAACCGTGGCCATCGTGTGGTGTGCATGCGCAATCGGGCCTCCAGTTTTCCGTTGAGCTTGCGGATGTGTGATTCCCTTTGACCGTTCCTATTCCTAAAGAAGTATGGCACCGGGCTGGTTCCGGGATGAAGGTGGATTTTGAGTGGCTGCTGCGCAGTTCATCGCGGTTGACACTGGAAAATGGAGTGAACGGTAAGGCTGTTTTTGTACAGCAATTAATTTCACAATGTCGTAAATTTTTTGGCAGTAGCATCGATCAAACGAATTGTAGGAAAAACAACAGCATTATTAAAACTTTTTAGAATTATTGAGTGCAATAAATACTGCAATTAGTAAATAATTTGTTAAAATTATGGACAACTTGTTATGTACTTCTGTCTGTTATAATAAGAAATTATTGTTTGAACGTTTTTGCGAAAATTAGTGGATTTTGTGAAGTGTTTTTTTTCGGAAGCTGCACAACAATTGCTGATTGCTTTTGAAGCGGAAATAGGAAATTGTTATCATGTATCGCTTTCGTTTTTTGTACGCCATTTTTATGGTAAAACAACCACACAGCCTAGCAGATTTGTTAGCACATGTACATCATCAGTACATGCAATATAACTGTATTATGCCGTACCTATTCGTTATCCGCCTATACTAATATGGCCTGCTTTTTTGCAGTAATCGCATCACGTATAAATTTATATTAGTTAAGCCGTATCAGCTGTGCTGTACTCTTAAACCTAAATTTCCTGCCAAATTGGTGATGATACTGTTGACAGACATTTTGGCGTTTTCTTTCGTTTCGCAGTCCGTAGCGGGATGATTGGCATGGGTTGGCGTGGCCTGACTTGTGTAGTCATGCCACGTATGGTTTGGTATTCTGTGATTGCACGTTCATGGCGCTACAGAATTTGTGTGATTTTTGAAATTTGTTACCGTTTTATGAATTCTTTTACAAATTCTTAAGATAGGATTTTAATAACAATACGATAAAACTTATTTAGGATGCTGTTATTTGAAAATGATAATTATTGTACAGATACCAGACCGAACATACCGGAAGTTCTTGCTTAGTAAAGTGGTTGTTTGCCACACCGGCTGACACAGACAGCCATGCGATTACAGTCTCCTTTTCGAATTTACAGTAAGATTTTATTTAAAAATCATATTTAATTTTCGGGTTTTTTGCCATGAAGCTGCACGTGTGTTGAAATTCAAGTGCCAGTCTGTAATGTCTTTGAGGCGACAAAAAGCCGGCATTGCTGCGTAATCAACCATTGCGACGGTATTGTAGCTGTTTGGCAAGACAGTGTTAATTAAGTTTGGCTTGCTAATTGTGTGTTGGATGATTTGTTTTCTTCTCAAATGTCGACTGTGCTGGTGGACTGAGTCCACTAGCACTGCAAAACAACTTTATGCAGTCTAAACTGCCTAATTTTACGTCTCACACAAAGAAGCACAAAAAGCAACAAAAATGCAGAGATTACAAAAGGGATATAATATTTTCTCTAACTTTGGCATTGTAAAATAAAATCTCAGTGAAATCATGATCAGTTTTCCTGTTTTTGCATCTTCGATTAGTCAGACAAGCGCTACGAAGATTTTTTGCCGCTTGCTTGTTGTCGGTGAACGTGTGTCTCTATACAGTACTTTAGATTGTGTAGCAGATTATATTGTACTAGCTTGCGATAGCTATACTGTAAATGCAAATTAAAGCCGCAGATGCAGACGACTTTGTAAAACCTTTCGAATTTTGCTGCCATTTTGGGGTTGAGCTGGTGTTGAAGGTTATAAGTATGGAGTATTCAATATACTAACTGCTTCATTAGTACATTCTCTTTATTTCCATAACGCGATAACAATATCAAGGTTCAGTTTCAATTAAACATAACAGCATTTTCTACAGTACCAATAACAGAAGCGGCATTACCTCTTTGAATAGCTAAAGAAATGTTCTGCCTTAAAAACTCGTGGCTGCGCGTTAATTCCTCTTCTGCATGAGTTGAATTGGAAACTTTAATTAGAAGCTTATCTACTTACGCTCATGCATTTTTCTGGCATGTACTGAAAATTTACTGACAATTTGAAATAGGATTAGAATACTTTGCAGTATTGTGAACGATCGAATTAATCATAAAAGGCTGGTTTGATTTGTTGGCACGTTAGCATGTCCCATAAGTCCATAACATATTCTACCTATGGTGCTGATTGTGAGAAATTACTTGGCATCCAGCGCGGAGGCGATTTGAACCGATGCGCGCAAATTTTGAATCGTGGCAGTTTTTGGACGATGGCCAATGCGAGCAGCAGTTGTCTGTAGTCGTACAACTGCAGCGATCAGATCACAAAATCAACCACTTTTGGTCGCAATCTGCAGCTCATCAACGACAAATATTATGTGCTGTATATCTATCTGCATTATTCTGTACCTATTAATTTGATTAATTTCATTTACTTTCTAGTCAAAGGGGGTTTTATACGTCTTTCGTTATTCTAGAAATAATTTTCCAATATTTTTGTTATATATCAGCGCTTACAGTTGTGGCTAATTTTTTTTAATTTATTCTACATGTACAGGGCCGTAGCGAGGTCCGTTGGATGGGGTAGGCGCAATTTGACTGCGCCATTTGCGCCCGCTTCGAAGGTCAATCTGAGCCCACTGCGCCCATAAATTTCGAAGCCTGCGCCCGTTGCGCCCGTATAAACAGCCCGCGCTTTAATACTTTAATTAATATAAATAGTTTAATTATTGTAGTTCTTGATCGCCGTACATCAGACCAAGGCACATCCGGCCAAAGTCCACTCTGCGCCACGGGCGCACGGCCAGTGGCGCCCGCTGCGCCCTTTGAAAAATCCAGAAATTTTGCACCTGTGTGCCAGTTTCGGGCGCAAATTTTATTCAAAAGTTGGCCGAGGAGGTATAGGCGCGCGCCAGTGCGCCTATACCCTCGCTACGGCCCTGTACATGTATTAGCTTGTAGTCGAATCGAAAACCGTAAGACGACAAGTACAATCTTAATCAGCACATATGTAAAACTCATGGCGCTGAAGTTTTCGTGATTCAATTGTTTAAAGAAATACTTGCTATCTGTTTACTATAGTCTGCACAGTACAAATTTCTAGCAGATTCCTTAAATAATAATGGAAGTTTATTGTCCTTTGCACGGAGCATTAGCCCCCTCTAGGCTACAGACAACAGTCGTGAAACGACATTGGAGTACAACAATGAAGATCGCAAAAACAAAACACAAAGCATTCTTCAGCAAAACACAAAAACATCAACCAAACGACTGATCAGATGCAGTAACATTAAGAGACATAGAGATGGAAATAAACATTATTTTTTCGGTTGCGATAAGTTGACGCTATATTACTGTGGAAAAAAGGGAGGGAGACGATCGCGCTGGGGTCGATGCATAAAACCAAAACCCACGTACAGCTAAATTAATTCAAATTTTCAAAAGTATTCCAAAAGAAATCGTGGGAAAAAGGAAAGCAAGGACACTTACGCACGTAATCGCCTTTCTGTACTGTACTATTTCAACTAGTCGCAGCCGTTTATGCGTAACAGTACACACTCAATAAAGTACCCATTACCTACAAGGATAGCAAAGAAAAAAGCGCAGATAAGCATTTATTTAGAGTAAAGATTGGCTTTTAAGATTTCAACCGACGGCAGCACATTCAATTTCACGGTTTCAGGGCTTCCGAAAAGGCTTTAATGTGACATAGGCTACTGGCTGCAAAGGAAGCTCGTTCCAGATGGAGGCGAGGGTGTTTATATAGGACAGGTGGTCAGTAGTCACTGTTATCCCACAAAAGGTCGTCGCGGCAGGTTTTATAGGACATGGATGTTTCATTAGACGCTCGGATGATCTTGTGTTTCCTGCAACAGACTCAAACGCAGAGACCGAAAACGTAAGAGGAGTTACGATTTGATCACCCATAGGAATCACCCGAAAGACCAATTTATACAAAACAACAGCGCTTTTTTTAAACGGCGAGTAATTAAATCATCCCATTTAAGCTCTTTTAGCCGTGCACCATAATTTAGAACATTGTTGCCGAGTCGCAAGGATTTAGTGAATCTTCTCTGGCAACGTTCTAAGAGATCAGCGGACTGTTTGAATAACGGGTGCGTGATGGAGCAACAGTAATCGATGACCGAGAGGACAAGAGACAAAAAGTCGTATGCGAGCACCGCAATCAGTATAACGGAAAATGTGATTAATGTAGCTGATTTTTCGGTTGCATTTTTTTGCTACATTTTCACTATTTAATTTAAAATTTAGTTTTCGGTCAACGAATATGCCCAAGTGTTTGACATGATCACAATTTGGAATCGTAACATTATCGATACTGTAATAATATGGGCAGACCGAGGATTTCTGTTTTGAGAAGTGAACGTGGGCAGACTTAGCAGCGTTTAGACTGAGCTTTTTGCTAGCAAGCCATTCATTGAGAGAAGTAAGATCTTCCTGCAACAGCTGACTGTCACCTGTTTCAGTAATGGGGCGAAAAATAACTACGTCATCTGCAAAAACGAGAGCGGCGCTACCGTTTTTTAATGCGCGGAGAATGAAATTTAAGACACAAATGAACAGTAGTGGCCCTAAAACTGAACCCTGCGGTACACCACTGTTAACGGGTAACGAATGAGCAAACTCATTTCCAACTGTCACACATTGTGTTCGATCTTTCAAGTAATCAGAGACCAAATGTACGATGTGACTGGGAAGATTCATTTCGATCAGCGCGTTTATGATGGATTCGTGGGAAAGCTTATCAAAAGCTTTTGAGCAGTCCAAGAATACTGCATCTACAGCAATGCCGCTTGTGTTGAAATCGTTCAAAGACTTGACAAAAAGAAATAGCTGTAGCTCAGTAGACCTTTTATGCCGGTAAGCAAACTGGTGATCCAGAAGTATTGAATTTTTGTTCAAATGTTCACGAATTAATTGATCAAGACAACGTTCAAAAATTTTTGAAACTGGGTTCAACATTGAAACTGGTCGATAGCTACCCGGCAATCTGTGATCTGCAGAGATTTTCGGTACTGCTGTTATAAACGAATGCTTCCACTTCACCGGAAACACACCTTCATTGATAGCGGCATTAAAAATTAATCTGAGCGGAGCAAGAATGCCTGGAGCAGCAATTTTCAGAAGTTTGTTAGTGATTTCGTACTTGCCACTTGAAGTTGTTACAGAAATTTTCGCAAGTTGTTCAAAATCAAAAGCTCCGAGATTTCCCACCTTTCTTCGTTGCCGCAAATTAAATTTAAATCAGAGCCAGTACAGTGCGCGTTGCAGGTCGACTGAGACTCGCGGTACAGAGCGTTCAGTAGATTAGCTTTTTCGTTATCTGTAGCTGCCGTCGTGCCATCCGGCCTTTTGAGAGGTGGCATACCGATGCGGTCATTCATCGATTTCATATACCGCCAAAATTTGGATGGATTGTTTCTGTGTGCAGTGGAAATATCAGAAAGTCTGTGTTTTCAAATTTTCTTAGCAGCACTTAATTTCTTTGACAACTTTTTCCATTTAGTTTTCAAATTCGGTAGATTTATCTGTCGGTATTTACGAAAAGCAAGATCTCTTGAATTTATTACTTTTTTAATATTTCTAGGATATTTCACTGCACCAATCCGAATTTTCACGTCACTAAATTCAAAATATGCTTTTGCTGTTTCGAGAAAAACATTTTCAAATTTATCTGCTCTTTCATTAACGTTTAAATTGCAAAATAAACTTTCCCAGTTGACAACATTTAACGCGTCGATGAACTGACCAACATTATTGCTTTCGATTTTCCATCGCTTAACAGTACGAAATTTTCTGCGATATTTCTTTAGTTTCAGAGAAAATTCAAAACCGATATGATCGTTGGTAGAGGAGGGCGGGCTGATGGGAACTGCTGGTGAAAAAAGCGAGTTGGCACTGATGAGACACAAGTCAAGACAATTGTTCTTCCTGGTTGGAAAGTTGACTAGCTGTATCATCTCGAATTCTTTGATAGCGGACAGCAGCTCACGACTGGCTGGTTTTCTTGCGGTTTTATTAGACCAATTTATGTCAGGCCGATTGAAATCACCCATGATTATGCATTTTGCTAATAGACCAAGAGAGAAATTAGAACGCAGGTGTTTAATCAGGGCAGGCACAAGATGAATACTTTTATCAGGGGGCGCATAGAAAGCAATAAAAATACGATCAATAGCACGAGACTCAACGCACAAAATTTCAAGGGAAGGAGTATTAAGCTCTGGCATGGGAAAAGCACAAAGAGATTTTCTGATAACAACAGCAACACCACCACGACCATCAGCTCTACCATTTCGAAAGACATTGTAGTTATCCAGGTCAGCAAAATCAGAACCTGTCATAAATGGTCTATCATATGTTTCAGTAAGAACGGTCACATCACTGTCCGAGCAAAACAATTTCACTTCTTCACGTTTGTTCTTGACGCTTCTGACATTACAACATCGTATGCGGATGTTCTCAAGAAGAACAGGATGTTTCGGTTGTCGACTATTTACGGTCGGGTAGCCAATATCGTTACTGGACAAATTTTCATCGTTAAGCATTGTCGAACAATTGTGGCACAGCCTGGTTGTTAATTAAAATTTCGTTAGCGTTTACCGGTTTTTTGGGAAATTTCGGTTGTAAAAGTATCGCGAATTTTTGAAGACAGAGCAATAAAAGTGGTCATACGCCGTATGGTAGTTTGTCGGAGAATAAACACCGCTATCACTACAATTTGCGCAAATGAATCGAAAATCAGCATTCTCCGTGCAGTCGTTAGTGTGATGGGATTTAGCACAAACGCACAGCGAGGGATTTTCACACTTTGTCGAAGTGTGACCGTAGGCACAACATCTAGTACATTGTGGTACGTAAACATGGTCCTCTATAGGACATCAGGACCACTGAATCATTAAGAACCGTTGGTCAGTCAGGATATTGCGAACATCCTGGCTGACCTCGAAAACTAATTGCACACGTGGATACTTCCTCTCTTTGACTGGTCAACCGGGTGACAATTTTAAGCACTGAATTGGGTGGGATGTTTACTTTAACGCGTAATTCTTTCAAGAAATCGTCATTAGACAGTGTTTTTGGGACTCGGCGAACAATAACCCTTGACGTTTTGGGTTTAGTACTGACCACATCATAACCCAAAGCTTCTGAATGGCTTTCCAAGATTGACTTACCATTTGCGGCACTGTCGGCATTCTTAAAACGAAGTAGAACACGCTTACCACCAATGGGACGGATGTCGGTCACGTTCAGATCAGCGGCACCAGCAGGGAGAGCAGTGTTGAGAGCATTGGATAGTTTGGTGAGCTCACTTGTTGTTGTGCGGGATCTGGGAGGAGGTAGTGGCTCTGTCTTCTTCGGCTGGAGGATGACTGCCGGCACAGGTTCTTTCGTGATGGCGGCATAAGTTTTTCGCGGCTTGTCGTGGTGGTCATCGGTAAGGGTGCCGGTATCTTCAACACGGGCACTAGTAAGTTGTCTTGTGCGCTCCTTTTCATGGATCAGTTCGGTTTCCGTCTTTAGGGCATTTTCATATAATCGGATGTGGTGATCTTTCAGTAAAGATGGGATTTGCATCAGGACATCTTTGTTCTTAGTGAGGATCGGGCGGAGTTTGTGATTCTTGGGTGGTAAATTTGCATACACTTCCTGCAGAATACTGGATAGTTTCTTTGCCAAATCAACAAACGGCAAATCAGACAAATCCTCTTGAACAAAACCTCCACTGTCTTCAGAATCAGGCATCATGCCTTGCAAGTGTTGTCAAAACTTTAAAGGTCACCGTAATTTACATGTCATATACTTAGTCAAGATGTTCGACTATGTATACTGTGGAATGGGCTGAATGTAGGCTAAAGGCTGCAGAGAGAAAAGTTCTAAATTTATTGGGCAGTCTGCAAGCTGTCCAAGCAAGAATGTGAGTGAGTTAAGTGAGTTAAGTGAACTCCAATTTTTAACCGCGTCGTTTTTATGTGCATTTAACACCTTCGTCATTGCATAAAACGCATAATAAACAGAAGAATTTTAATGCCAGCGGTCTTGTCCAGCCTGTTCACTCTTCAGTTAGATCATAATGTTTGACACGGAAGGAAAAAACAGCAATTTTTATAAAACACCGCAAACTTCTTTTACTATTATTTTGACTTTTGTCAGCATTGCAAGTTTTGTGAAACTTCCGCCTAGGAATGAGTGCCCGAAATCTGCGGGTATAAAATGCCTCTAGCGTTTTGGCAGTGGCTTAGGAGTCGATCGTATAATATTAATTATTGCTAGTGCCGGGTTGTTTGATTGTCCAGGAATACGCTCACAGTCGCAGGATTTCTCGGTCGGAAACTCCGAGCGATAATCGTAGAAGCTCTTGGACTAGTCTTAATCAATGGATTATAATTGCTATTAGTTCTCTGGAAAGGCCTGATCGTAAAAATAAAGTGGTTTTTAACGGTTGCTTACTGCAGTACTCAATAAATCCTCCGGTTGAAATTGTGGATAAACTTTAGAATGGCACCAGATTCGGAGGTTGTGGTTGAGTGGAGGTTGTGTTGTATACCGATAGAATGAATGTGCATGCGGCTGACATGTTTACGTAGGGATATTGCAATTTTTCGAGTACTGTAGTAGTGTAATTCATGTTTCGTTTTCGGAACACAGAACAGTGGCAGTGCCGAGGTGCTTGTCGGCATGCTGAAGTGATGCTCAGTGAGATTCGAAAATTTTATGGCGCTGTATTACTGTAGTAATTATGGAGAGGCTACTGTTTGTGTCAATGTACTCGTACATGTGCTTGTGTTTGTAGCGTAATTAAAATTAATTAATGAGATAGTTACAGATAGATATCTGTCTTAAAAGCCAGAAAACACATGAGAAAGCGGTGAACACAGAACAGTGTGATTCGCAGCAACCCTAATAACTTATGGTTGCATGATGCCGGAAACGCTGATTGTGAAAATGGATAAGTGTTCCTCTTGGGCGATAACCGCGCGAGGCGGTCAACCCTGACTGGATCTATTGTCGGGATGCCAATCTTGGTTGCATGCTCAGTACGCCACGTAGACGCATGTCTTGCAATTCGGGTAGAACGTCCAATACCTGTACAAGCGTAGAGTTAGCGCTGCCGCTATATAAACGACGGATTTTGTTGGCAGTGCGACTTGCAGTCTGATCTTCTTCCTCTTGCAGTCGAGAATTTTCGTTATTAGCGTAGTAACACAGTGACCGTAACCTTTACTCGTCTATTAATGCACCAGCCTTATTTCCTCATTCTATTTGCTCCAAATATGGCATTCGTGAGCGATGCAGCGGGAAAATTAGTTTGCGTGGCTGCCATGCCTGGGGCAGCAAATCAGGCGGGGGCTTCACTGCGAGCGATCATATTTGAATTTGATCAAGGTCAGTCAGTCGGGCTCTGGGATTTTGCCTATTGAAATTTTTGATTCTTACAAGTCGACCTTTCCGTTTTCAGTAAACGTAGTAGGTTATCTTTAATTCTCGTGTTCACAATTTTCGTTATGTAAAGGAATTTCTGTGAGGCTTAGCTTGGTCATGGCCCGTTAGCTAACTGATGTAGCGTCTCCGAGTAGTCTAAAAGTAACCTTTAGGTCTCCGCGCAGAGCATCCTGTAATCTTTACAGCTTGTTTCTTATTGACGCTGTCAGGAATTTTTCTCGAAAAAATTGATCTGGATTAGACTTATTAATTTCCGAGCGTGAATATTATCAGCGGTTGTTATGTTGCCGATGCACAGCGTGGTTGTCTGTATCAGACTGTACTGTATCTTGTAGACTGCATGTGTAAAATCTTTACAACTGTACTCTACTAGGCAGATTAATTTGTCAGTACCATTTAACCCGAGAGACTTTGTTTGCTTTTTTTTATATTTAACAATTTTAACTGTAAACTTGTCAAGTAGTGTACCAGCGCTAGCATTTTTGTTATTTGGAAGGCTGTTGCTAATAAACTATCTGTATAGAATAATTTTTCTAAATTGAGGTAAAATTAAGCTTTCGAAAAGTGTTTAAAAATCAGCTAAGTAGATGAGAAATTGTGGCTTTAACGATAAAAAATTATCATAATCCGCCATTATAATAGCAATCAAGGATGTCGAGGATGAAAGTGTAACCTTGTGGCATGTGTTGCAGACGCGGATATTCCGGAAGCTCCAGGTACGGAGGCGTTTTTAACTGCGCTCCATCTTACCGCTGATATGCGAAACCATTTCGAGGGCTGGCGAAATGTTATCGGAGAAGGCCAAGCGCGCTACGTTTATCTTCGTCCGGATCACCTCATAGGCAATCAGGCCGCGCTACTCAATTCTATACGGTAAATGCACATGTATTGAATTATGGAATTTGTTTTGAAAATTATTGTGAAAACCTTATTGTTAAGAGTTATTGTTTGAAATTTACAGTGAGTAAGATAGCAGGTACTAACTTACAGCTATAGTTCTCTAATTACTCTATTACTTCGACAGTGTGGTAACAATATCAAGGCCTATTTCCGGTTTAAAAACAACGTTTACAACAGTGCCAATGACAGTCAGACATTTCCTCATTAATTGCTCGAGATACGTTATGTATTAAATACTTAATAGTTGATACTACAAATATTGCCAGTTTGTAGCAATGCTCTTTCCGATTTTATTGATTACTGTCTTAGCTGATGTTCCCTAACCAACTTATAGGTGTCAGTACCAGCAAGTTTATTCAAACCTTTTGCGCGTAAATTCTAGTCTCTTTATGCTTATGGCAAGCTTATGGTTACTTATATCAGGTGTTGACAGTATACTGTTCTTTCCAGAGGAGTTTTGGCGGCGGGCGTAACCTGTGCCGCTGCCATGGAACGCCGACATTAATTAATCTGCTGCTGGCCACGACTACGAGTCCATTCACCATGACACTTATCATTTCCTTGAAGCTGTGATCCTGTCCATAGCCGTGTCCTTGTTCCATCCAGCTGTTTTACGTATTATAACACAGGGACAAAAATATTTCCTAATCGAAGCAAGACAGTTCTTTGCTTAACAAGAATTTTAACACTATGTTGCCCCTATATTTTATTTTGTTGGAGAAATCTGGCGGTGATTTCGTTTATTTCTCATGAGTAATTTTAGCGGTGTGTACAATATTCAGACAAACCGGACGAGTATGATTGGTTTGTGGTTTTTTTGTACTGAGTAGTTACTGATTTTCCCTCGGAAAAAATTTGGCAAGTTGATGGAATATTTTTTACTCAGGTTTCTCTGTTAACAATGCAACGGCTGTTCGACGGTATTTCTGGGAATAAAATTGTTTGTAATGAGTTTCTGTTTAGTTGTAATGTCAAGTGTTATGCTGTAAATTCTGCTGTAACCATCATCATTCTTTTAAGTATGATTTGCCTAACTTTTCAGCGCAAACGTAGGCAAGGAAAAATTATTAAGTATGTGAATCATTTTAGGGCACACTGGCCGAGTGTCGGTGCCGGCATCCCGGCCTTCTACACGCCCACTGCCGTGGCACCCCCTGATGCACGAGGGCGCGGCGCCCCATCAAGTACGGGCCCAACAAGAAGATCGACATCGCCAGCCAGACCCGCGAGTCGAAAATGTTAAACAACCGCCGCGCGGCCAAGGAGTTCAAGGACGGGATGTATGGCAATCTGGGCACCCATGCTGGTTAGTAATCAAATTCGCAAGGGATGAAAGTACATGTTTTTTTCCAACGTTTTCTTTGTTTTAATTCTTTTTGTCTTTTTTAAGTTTCTGATTTTTTATTGCTCCGCATATTGTAGTTGTTTGCCGTAATCAAACGGATTATTTTATAGTTGTGTTTGAGGAACGTCTCTCTTACTTCCAGCGAATTTATTTATTAATTCGGTATTTCATTGTGTGCGTGATAAAGAGTCAGTATTACGTGGTTGTTTCAAGCATCAGTTCCCGTGTTGCTGAAAAGGTGCTCTTACATATTATGTGAAAACTGTCATAAACATCCGAGTGAAAAGCAAAAATTGCATGCACTACAGAAACTGCCAAAGAATTAGAAATGATAGCAAAGCGTTCCGGAAGTGCTTGTTGTGACGGCCGTCATGCAAAATGGGTTTGGAGTGTTTAAAACGATATCTGAATAAATTTTTTGAATGTTGCAGCTGAGTTTTCGACACATTGGTTTAATGGTTAAACCTTTCGATAGCCACTAAATTCACAAAAGCTGCAAGCGCGGACACTATTAATTTTAACAGATGAAGTTCGTAAATACGTAATTAGTAAGTGCAGTATCGATGCAAGACTTGTGAATAGGCGATCGATCAGCTGTGAGCTGTTAGGTAGAGTTGCGGCTGGTATTCTGTGCTGGAACGTTATGTTAGCGTGATTTCGATAATAATTTTCTAGTATTCAGACAGCATTACATTTTGCAATAATTTTTTTACAAAATTCTTCTGTTTTTGTAGTGAAAACGGAATACTGGGCTGTGGTGAATGTGAATATCCACCAAGGAGCAAGTGGACGCCGATGTGATCAACGTCGGCAAGCAGACTGACGGTGTTGCCCGGGCCAGCTACTTCAGCAGCGATGAATCCTTCGCGATGATCCGCGGTGGGCACATTCACCTGACGATGCTGGACGCCCTGCAGGTGTCGAAGCGCGGCGATCTGGCCAACTGGATGATTCCGGAGAAGATGGTCAGGGGATGGGCGGCGCTATGGATCTCGTCGGCCAGTGCAGCCGGAACAAAGGTACAGTAAGTCTTCGTGGAATGGTTTAATTTTTAACGTTATATCAGTGGTGCTCATTGCTCAGCAAACTTTGCTGTCGCAGCATCGAAAAACTGCTTTCGTTGATTTGTATAATAACCATTATATCAAAAATGTCCGTGTGAACTGCATGTTTTGAAATATCTGTTTATTAAACAGTTTAAATTAACTCGTAGACACATCAATGAGGCTGGCTACATAAATGTTTGTTATCGTAGTGTTATGGCTAGAGTAGGTAATGATAGCGGTTTACGTTTCCGGTTTGGTTGCCGATGGCATAATGTCCGAAATTTCGCAAGAGAAAGATGCTCTTAATTTTACCATTTATTTTTTAAGCTTTTCGTGCAGGTGGTAAAGAGTACTAGAATAGTCGTGATGGAGCACACATCGAAGGAGAATGATCCCAAGATCCTCAACGAGTGTACATTGCCTGACCGGTAAAGGTGTCGTCGATATGATCCTCACGGAGAAGTGTGTCTTTGTCGTGGACAAGGCCTATATTAATGGAACACTGCGTCTGGCGGAACTGGCGGAGAGGTGGCGGTCGCCGATGTGATCGGCACAACGGGATGAATTTGCAGTGGATGCCAATGTGAAAACCATGGAATACAATCCCGGAGAAATAACAGATTTATTGTTTTTTTCTGGGACTGCCAGTCCGGTCATAGCAGGCGGTGGAGGTTGTTTTTTTATTGGGATCGGGTTTTATGGTTTTATATCTGTACAAGTATCTGCGCGGCGGTGGCTAATTGGTCGGATCGATGATTGCTTTTTCTCGCGCGAGACGTGATGGTTTGATAATAAACAATTCTGCCGAGAAAATTGAAACAAAATTGATGAGTTCTGTATAAGATGGCCGGATTTCGCCGGAACCAAAATTTTGCTCATGTACTGCATACAAAGTTGTAGATACATAATACATTTATAGCCGTTTGCATTCAGACCGAGCTACGGCTAGCCAGCTGTTCATCGCAGCCTAATCGTGCAGGGTATGTTCACAGCACCCAAATGTCCTCGTATTCACAATCAAATTAATTCAACTCAGCGGAATGGCATTATTAGTTATTCTACCCCACTTAAAGATTTCTGTCGGTTGTTTAAAATTATTATAATAATTAATTTGTACGGTGGTTTACATATAAGGTGGTATTTAATTTGTATGGTTTTCTTATTCGAAATAATTTCAACAGTTGTTGGGTTTTTGTGCAGGAATGAATAAAGAGCAAATAGTTCCTAACGTAGATACGTTATAGCTAGGAACATCAAATTAACAGGTGATTTAAGTACTTGAAACATGATTAAAGTGGTGTAATCGATACGATTTGTACTGGAATACTTCAACATACTGCCAACACCATAATCTGTGCGAGCAAGTACATGTATATGTTAAAGCAATTAATAATGCCAATTATTATGTTAAAGCATTTGGTAAGACTATACGAGTACAATTACGATGTAAATCATGTAATCATGAATAGAAGGCCGCCGTTTGCAGATGGATATTTCGGTTGCATGTCACTGGTGCATAACATTTAATGAATATCCCGTGAATACCTAATAATAAGTAAATGCAGTGCCGCTCTACAGTAGTATAGGCGGAACTGGTAAATGTTACAGATACTGTAGACTTTACCTGGAAGTAATAGAGATTTGATGCGAATTTATTTTCAGCGAGGAGGCAATCGTTACGTGCTAAAACTTTTGCTGCCCACCAGGCCCCATAGCTACAATACCTATGTACGAACGACAAAAGCAAAGCGTGTCTCGGAGGCTCGGTCCCTCTGTACGATACCACCTCGAACGGCATTTATAGCCACATGGCGAGATTGGCGACTGATAAGGTTAATGGTAAGGTGTGTGCTTCTATTAAAAAGTGCATCTTCGTGAACAGTAGTTCCCATAATAATTTCAAAAGGGATGAACATCTTCTAGAGGCAAATCATTATTAAAATTGATCAAGTGCAGAATATAGCGGCTAAGCGGCAGATCCTCGAAACGTCTTAAATCCAAATTATCCCAAAATGCATCATTATCATTTTCCACGGATCGTGTAAACGTGTGCCTGCAAAATTTTTACATTACATGTATACGTACTCGACTATGGCATTAACGAGATTAGCAGTGCTGCATATTTTACGCTTTTTTTGCACCGAGGAAGCTGCAATTTCGTTAATGTACGATCATGATACATAGTACCTTAGCGCTCCATTGCAGTGCATTTTATATGGTCGCACTCACCTCTTTAACAGTTTTCGAAACTTGAGCCGGCCATCTGGGTAAGGTACCGTTTCCATCATCAGCTGATGCTGCTGCTTCACTCGTTGCTTAATGGAATCTGGTGGCAGAGAATTCTCTAGAATATCCATGAAGCATCGCAGGATTTCGCCGGCATTAGCTGAACAATCAAACGACATCCTAGGAACCGTAACGTCGAGCTTTTTCGAAGAGTAAGACATCGCTAGATATTAGACGCTCATCGCGGTCAGTGGTTGGAACAGGAGACAGCGTTTACTATGGTGCAGTTAACCACCAACAACTGCCGGCAAACCGGCATAAGTACCGGCAGGCGCACTAGGCGATGACCTGTCTCAGTTGGAATAAGTTCCGAACACGCACAAGTCTTTGATCAAAAATATATAGCAGTTTAAAACTCTTTAGGGAAAATAAGAATAGATAGTGTACATGTCGGTAAAGACGCAACCGCGACACCCCGATTAATTAAAACTAGAGCTTTGGTTGAGTGCGTTATGCTGTAATCCATCATGTATCCAATGTGGTAGCCTTCCGTTTCACGAAGGCCGGAGGTTAATCTGCTTATGGCTTGAAAATCAACGGTGACACAAACATCTGTCGTTGCCCAGGAGCTAGTTAGCACTTGCTGCCATAACCGACAAACTCTGCAAATAGTTTACGTGTACAGCATGTGAAGTTTGCAGTAATTTTTTATTGTTTTCGCAGTACGTAGTCAACTCTATTTCCCGCTTGTGGTTACAAATCACCGTAATTTACTGCCCAAGTGTATGACTCGTTAATCGATCGAAGCGAAGCATGCAAAGGTTACCTATGTTCAAGCGATTAAGAAACAAGTGGTATCCGTCAATCACACTCTAACGCCACGAATCCAGATACACACATGCGCCGGTCATTAATATTATGTACCATACAAAGAAACAGCCTCGGCTTCGCCTCCGCGTTTCTTGGGTTCTCATGGCCGGTTTACGGATTGTTAACTTAGAACGGATAAATCTGAAGAGCCCGATAACAAAATTTTATAAAAAATAGATGTTTTGGTTTCGTGCAGTCGAACGCAATTACTTTGACTTTACAGATCATTTTTGTAAAATTTTCTTAGCGAAACCATCCGAATCTAATCACCGAGAGTATCACATTTACAAACTAAAAGGGCCTTTAAGACTGGACAGTGGTGCTGAATGAGTCACTTAGGACAGGCCCAGCTCTATTTTGCTCAGTAATATTGCGGTTCGATCATACGTTTACCTAACGGGCTCTGTGCACTGGATAGCTTTGGTAGCTCGGTCACCTACCTAACAGGATCTATGCAAAAGGATGCTCGGTCACTAGATCACTTAACGGAGTTTATGCGCTGGACAGTAGTGCTAGCTCGCTCATTAGATCACTTAACGGAGTTTGTGCACTGGACAGTGGTACCTCGGTCACTAGATCACTTAACGGAGTTCGTCCACTGAACAGTAGTGGTATGGTCACGCGTTCACCTAACAGGCTCTGTGCACTGGACAGTATTGGTAGCTCGGTCACCCATCTACCTAACGGGATCTATGCACTGGACAGTAGTGGTAGCTCGGTCACTAGATCACTTAACGAGTTCGTGCACTGGACAGTAGTGTTAGCTCACGTACTCACCTAGCGATTTTTTTGACGCACTCAATCACTAGGTGAGTGACTGACCGAGCTCAACCTGTCCAGTAAGAAATATCGCTAGTGGGGAGAAAAAGCTAGGTGAGGATGTGACCCTGCTACAACTACTGTCCAGTGCACAAGCCGTTAAAGGTAACAAACAAAAACCCGCTCGATGACTCACTCACCTAGAAATTCCGCTCAGTGGGCAGTTATGGTGTTTCGGTCACTCACTCGTCCAGTGATTTTTCGTATTGATTTTTATATTTGATATTTTTACATTTTTATATCGGTTGATTTTAAACGTGTTTCGAGGCTCTGGCAACACCGGTAGCGATGTTTTGAATAACGAGTGTTTGAATAAGTACAATAATTTATTTGTTTTCGGTTTAATTAGTGTGATAATTATCAATTGGTATTTTTGTATTGTATCTAGGCAAATATTTTCTAAGTTTCAAGGTGACCTTTAAGATGGGTTGGATCAATCTGGTCTTGATGCCGGCTTGATGCCGGCTCGATATTTTCATAAAAAAAACACGTGCCGGCCACTTCTGAACTATCCGGATCTAATGGTTGTCTGTTTTCCAGAAGTTTTATGGTTATAGAATCTCAAAATATGAACCGCGTAATGTAAGATCTTGTATAATAGATAGCAGTGGTTTTGCTCGATCATTTGCACCGAGCGAGCGCCCGATAACACTGCAAAGCGAACAGTTTATGAAATTTGAAAAATGTCACGCACTTAGATACTTTGAGGATAGGTCCGACTGACGAACGCTAAATCGTAGCTTCTGGTTGCGCTCGATACAAACAAGTGCACACATGTCACACTCACTGGTATCCTTACATTGACTCGGCCGGTGCCCCTACCCTATGCAGCCGCACGTGGTGGCCGCGCCCTGTGACAACGGATACGCGTACCTCGGTTACCAACACAGCACCACCCTTTAAAACTGATACGACGGAGGCCGTTTACACTTGGTATAATTTTCGTGGTGCCCTTACCCTTACGTTACAATGGTCTGTTAGTATCGAATGGAAATGTTGAAATGAAATTCGTGGAATTGCTTTTGCGTACTTATTTTGACCAAAAATTAGCTGAATATTATTATTACCGTTACTGCCGCTCCAGACGGCAGTAACTGCTTAAACCTTTCTGCTAGCGTACAACCAACTAAATTAAGAACAACAGACTATTATTTATTGAAAGAGTCACTGGGATCTGGGAATCTGGGACTGGGAATAATTACTCGCAAATGACAAAATACCCAGCGAAAACAGTACCGAGAAAGACAAAAATTATAAAATCGCTGAAAAAGTTTTGCAAATGACGGAATCAGTTCCGTGAACGTTGGAATTTATGGTACAAAGTGCATTCTACTTTCAACGAACCGTTTTGCTTTGGCCTGCGAATAGACATCCAAAATCAGAAGTATTTCGGACAGAACGTTGCACAAAAATACTTTTATGATGAACTCCCCGTTTTCTGTAAGAGTCAAAGTCAACATTAGTTTGTAAGATTAGTACAGTACATTCTGTTATTCAATAAAATTAATGTTACTACATGTACTTGTATGCTGAAAATATTCGGAAAACAAAACCGTACTGGGACAAGTAGGGCAGTTTAACTCCGGATGGAGAACTGAATGTTCACACTCCGGTTTGTACGGGCAAGTAACG